AAGCGACTGCGTCGCGCCAGGTCGAACGTGAGAGGATGCGCTGGGAAGGTGAGTGCCGCCTCCATACCAGTAGCAACTTGGGTAACCACATACCTCCAAGAATGTTCGACATACATAACATAACATTACTCACCTAGAGTGGTGTTGCGACGGCAACACCATACACCACAACTCACCTTGTGCTCATACTCTAGACCACAAGACACACCTTTATAACTCTCTCCAACCCCAACGTACCTTCGTGACACCATTGCACAGTGTCTGCGCTGCATTTTCACCCAGGGAGAACCGGCTGTTGGTCGAGCAGAAAGAAGAGAGGTTGCAGAATAGGCAGAGGACGGCGGTAGTCAGTGCAAGCAGCAACTCCACCACAATGACGTCACCATGTTTAGGGCAGGTTCCTACTGCCAGAGAACAGAGACTTCGTGTCTCCGGACCTTGCAGTACTTAAAACAATCACAGTAGAAATGTTTGGGAGGAGGTGGCATCCATGAGATGGTCCCATAGTGGGTGAAACCGTGGGAGAAGGCTGCGGACGCCTGGCTCGATTGTCTGATGGGAGCAGGCACTGAGAGGAGGCAGAAGCCTTACACGGCAGAGAGAGGTCGGACTCGCACGCAATACTAGAGACAGACACAAGCTAGGCTAAGGCCTTACGGGGCCACAAGCTAAGGCATTACGTAGCTACAGCTAGCTAGAGAGATACTAGCATGCATAGACATCATGCCCTTAGAGATATGTACGTCCGATCTCGCGACCATATGGCTAACACAGACGTCAAATGGGCGCTAAACACCGCCCATCCGACCTGAATCGACATAGCACGAGTATGTACAGCCAAATACGATCTCACACGCCCCAAATCGACCTGAATCCGGCACATTCTCACTGGGACTCAAGTCTCAGCTGTCCAAGATCCAGAAGAGCCTACAGCGCCAATCGTTTGAATAAAGGCATATTCGTGAGCACATGAGGGTCGACATCTCTGATCAAAAGAGTGACTGAACGTACTGAACTTCGAAGCGGCGGTTTGTCCGGTCCGGCGACGTCATCTATCGATACTGTTTCGCCGAGCCCCCAGGCACTTTCTCGACATTCACCCTGCCGGGAACATAGATATAAATAAGCCTAAGGGTCACAGGGATGGCCTCCGCAATCCTTCTCTCCAATCTCTCTACTTCTCGAGCGCACGTACCCTACGAGACGTAGCAACATGGCCTTCGAACTGCGATGGGGCATCATTTCCACCGGCAGGATCGCTATGGAATTTGTGAAGGTACGTCTCGGAGTGTGTCAGAGAACACACACCTCTGACTAGTGTTGGGCTGTGGTACCAGGATCTCCTCGTTGACCCAGCGAGGTGCGTGCTATATATTCATATTCCGAGCGGGGAGGACTCTCGATTGAACCGGTGTACCTCTACGATGCAGTCGGGACGTCACGGATGTCGCGCATAAAGTCGTGGCTGTTGGCTCCCGAAGCACGGAGAGTGCTCAGAAATTCATCGACGCGTACATCAACGGGGACAACAACGTCAAGGCGTACGGTAGCTACGCAGAAGTCTTCGCCGACAAGGTGAGTGGGTTGGGGTAATGGCCCTCAGTCAACTTCCCGCTGAGACTGACCGCCAGAATGTGGATGCGGTCTATATTGGTGAGTGAGGGCTACATGGGAGGCAGAACCTCCAAGGCGAGTTCTCAATTCCACCATCAGGAACTCCCCATACCCTTCACTACGAGAACGCGGTTGAAGCGTTGAATGCCGGAAAGCACGTCCTGTGCGAGAAGGCGACCACCTCCAACGCAGCGGAGACGAAATCCCTGATCAAACTCGCAAAAGAGAAGAAGCTATTCTTCATGGAGGCGTTATGGACGCGCTTTCACCCGCTCACTTTGGAGCTGAAGAAGATCGCTGAGGAGGGCACCCTTGGTGACCCGGTGGTCCTGCACGCTGACTTGTCCGCCGACTTCCATATCGAAGGTACGTCTTGCATGACTATTGCTTGAATAACAGAATAACAAGATTTTGACCCACGACACACGCAGACAAGCCCTTGAACCATAGGATGCTTGACCCGAAGCTGGGTGGAGGTGCACTTCTAGATCTGTTAGTCATCTCCAGCTTTGAGCACAACCACAGCCAATGAGCTCATATGATCGCCCTTGCAGCGGCCCCTACCCCATGTTCTGGGTGAGTACACTCTGCACATGCTGCGGCAACGGGAGTGTCTGAACTGCAGTCGTCGAGGCCATGCTTGCGCTCTACGAGCACCCGTCCAACAAGAACGCCAGACCAACCAGTGTTACTGGCTCCATCCTCAAGTCCACCATCACCGACGTCGACGCGTCCACCAGCTGGACGGTCAACTTCACCGAGCACCTCAAGGCCCAGGCGATCCTCAGCTGCAGCATGATCGCCCAGACTGCCCACTTCGGAGCCGTCATTCGATACAAGAAGGGCAACATCAAGGTCGCCACACCGATCTTCCGCCCGCCGTCGTTCACCGTCGAATACTTCGACGGCCCAGGCGGGAACGTGGTGCGCGAGGAGACACGATCGTTCAGCTATGTAGGTGGAGGCTGGCACTTTGAGGCGGACGAGGTCGCGAGGTGCATCAAAGCGGGGAAGATTGAAAGCGACCTGTGGACGCATGAGAAAACTATTATCATAATGGAGACATTCGACGAGGTGGGCGAGTTCAGTCTGTCGACTGCGATACCACATTGACCGACTGCCCTGGCACAGGTCCGCCGACAAGGCAAGTATGTGCTACCGGAGGGCGTCGAGAAGGTCGATAGGGTCCAGTGAGGGCCACACGAGAGGAGGATGTATAATTGCCATGTATTTGTGCTCGTGCTAGGAATAGGAAGAATAACATAGTGGGAGGAGGATGCTCCGGTCGACTTCTTCAGCAGCGCTTCATAGTACGACCTGTGGATGAAGCATGTCAGTCAGTACGATGTGCTCGAACTGTACGTAAAGGCAGTTAATGGTTCAGAAAAAGCGGACCCTCCCGCCAAAGCGGGGGACCCGAAGGTAGCTGAGATAGGTTTCTGCAGCGCAGGAATGTCCTGCTAAAGCCAAATGCCTCAAACATCATAACAGAACACCAGGAAGAAGAAGGTATTCGCTTGATCCCAAACATATGGCACTTACAACTGACTTTCGAGCCTTGGCAGGTGTAATAATGAGAGAAGAGGGAGGGACGTGGACGAACTGAGACGCGCGAAATTTATGGAGATCGTAGAGTAAACGCCGGCCGGATCTCCGATACGGGCGCTAAATGAGCCGTGTTCCGTGCGGTGGACTCGCATCCGCGTCGTCGACCACGACTCTCAGCCGCTCTCCTGCTCCCTATAACGAACGTTGCATCAACCATGTCTACACCATTCCAAGATCAATCCCAGAACTCTGCCTACTATACTGCTACCCCGACTCCTTCTGCTCCGTCGCCACACCCACAGTCGACTCCGGACTTCACGCAACCGGGACCTAGTACAACACAACCCTCTCGTCCGGCCACAGCAGCACAATTGTCTGAGGAGGCACGAAAGGATAAGACTCTGGCAGAGTTTTTGCTCATGCTTGACGAGTATGAGCCGTTGGTACGTAAAACATCCGCTATCGTATGACTGCCGTGGTGCACAGGAGATGCTCTCGCGCCCGTGCTCTGGTGTGTTAACTTGTGAGAGCGCAGATACCCAACGAGGTTACTGAGTACTACCTACAACGAGTAGGGTTTGAATGTGAGGATGTCAGACTGTGAGTACTATTGTGCATACAAGCACTCGACCGTGTTCAATCGAACACCATATTTGGCTCTGCATATGATACAGCAAGCGGCTCCTGTCACTGGCAGCGCAAAAATTCGTGTCAGATATTGCCGCAGACGCGTATCAGCATGCTCGTATACGCGCGAACGCTGCCGGGGGCCGCTCTCGCGCCAACCAGCCGTCCGGAACTGCGTCTGCACGGGTGAGCGCGAACCTTGTCTTTCGGATAATCCATGACTTGCTGACTGTGGTGGTGGTGCGCCACAGGACAAAACGAAGACGACGCTAACGATGGACGACTTGAGCGCTGCCCTCGCCGAGTATGGCATCAATTCGCGCAAGCCGGAGTTCTATATGTAATGCCCTGCTAGACCTATAGCCGCACGTCTCTTTTCTCGGACATCAGTATTTCACACTTGCATCTGGAGATGACTCACTTGTACAGTATCACCTTGATTTCATTCATGTTGTACGCATCGTACCATGTGGCCCGCCGCCCCCTTGCTTCCGCCACCGTTGTATCGCCACTAGGATGCTTCCAATCGCGTTCCAACGTGCCACCGATGTTGGACGATCGCACGCAGAGGTAAGTTAGTTCAGGCTTCATGATGCACAACTAATTAGAAACATTCTCCCCAGTAGCAGATGAATGTGTTTTGGACTAAGATTGAAGGCCACGATATCTATTCAGTTTCAATCAACCGGTGGACTGTCCTCTAGCGCTATCAGAAATACCGCTTGACGTGCTTCGGAATTGGCATTTCGCTCCGGGACCCGTCAATTTCTCCACATATGCACGGTCATGTCGACTGTCTAGCACAGCCGGCCCTTCAGCTCCTTGGGGAGAACCGGCTTCTCTACCCAACAGCGACCTGCAGTCTGCCGAGCTTTTCGCTAACGTGCTCCTGCAGACGCATCGCAGCTCGTGTTATATTATGCAAAACAAAATCATACGACCGCCTCGCCCGGTTTAAGCCGCCGATCGACGGTGATGATGCGCTCATCATGACTCCAGGCTGATCCTAGTGGCTTGGGCCCGTGTGATGTGCGCCTGCATGACACCGCTCTACCGTCGTATATGAAGCATCGTAAGACTTTGCTCCTGCGCCTCTTGGAATGCAGCCCGAGTAGCAACAAGCATCACGCACCGACTGTGGCCGAGGGACATAGAGCTGCCAGGACCTTCTCCGCTTCGTCAGTCAGCATCTCGCTACTGCGTATGTACCGGAGCAAGTCGCGCGTTCCGATTTACTCTCGGTGGCGTCGCTGAGTTCTGGGGCGAGGATCAGAGGCAGCAGCGTCAAGATAGGTCTCCGTCCCCAGTGGTTCGTCGCGCATGCGCCTTGCCCTCGCACACGTAATGTGCAGGGTCTGATGCTATGCCTTTCCCCATACTTATGGGATCTCATTGTGAGCGTTATGCGGAACCTTCGAAGCTCTGCAGCTCACCCCATCCGAATCATGGCGAGCAACCAGCCCCTCCTCGAGAAAAAGCAGGTCCAGGCCAAACGGTCGCCGCAGACCTTCGCATCCACGGCATGGGCCTACTTCCGCCTCACCCGGCTGCACAAATTCCCAGCGGGGTCCGACCTCATCTTCTGGCCCAGTGGTAGGCATGTTCTGTCGGTATCTGGGCTTCGTCTGACGGAGCTTCGCCCATAGCCTGGGGTGTCATGTTGTGCGCGCGGACCGAGGATCTCGAAATAACTACCGTTTGTGCTATGATACTCCTCTATGCCCTCGGTGGCACGTTGCGCCATGGCGCCGGGTGTTGCTGGAACGACATTTGCGACGTTGAGTTCGATCGTCAAGTTGGTGGGTAGTGGGGTCGGTCAATCCTACGTCGGAGGGACCGTGCTCATTGGCCTGGACGTTTTGCTAGAGCGATCGAAGAGCAGACCCCTGGCAAGCGGTGCGATATCTATGACTGGCGCCTTAGCGCTATTCGCCGCACACTACGCCGTTCTCTACTACCTTCTCACACTTGCCGGAGACGAAGCGTGCGTCGTTGCTTGCCTTGCAGGACATCGAAGCATACTCATACCTTCTGGACAGGTTCAAAGTCGGTCTCGTGGGGCTCTACATCGTTGACCTCATCTACCCTCTCATGAAGAGATTCACGCACTGGCCGCAAGCTATCCTTGGTACGCCGTCTTACATCATCGAAGTAGTCCATCGCGTACTAACACGGGTCGTAGGCCTCGCTATGACGTGGGGTCTGCCCACCGCCTGGGTCTCCATCCGCGGCTATTCTGACATTGATGCTGCGGTCGTCTTGTACTTCGGCGGTGTCTGGTGAGCACCTACCGTTCCGATAGCATCGGTAATTTGCTGAAGCAAAGTGCACAGCTGGACTATCTACTACGACACCATCTACGCCTGTCAAGACCGCCGCGACGACATCAAGGCCGGTGTGAAGTCCACTGCGGTCCTGTTTGGAGATTGGATCCGCCCTATCCTATCCTTTTTTGCCGCCTGCTTCGTCGCTTCGCTCGTTTACGCGGGGGTCATCACCGAGGCTGGCTGGCTGTACTACACTATCACCGTCGGAGGGGCTGCCGCTTGCTTTGCCAAGCAGATGCTCACTATCGACTTCGACAACGGGGAACAATGCTGGCAGGCGTTCAAGGTGAGCGACCAGCTATCGTTATGTGCGCGACATTTGTTGAAGCTACGGCCGTCACGTATAGACGAACGGTACCCTCGTTGGCTTTCTGGTTTGGGCGGGGATGGCGGCAGACTACGCCGCTGCGGTCGGGCTTATCTCGCTGTGATTTTGGAACAATATCTAGGGCCTTCTGACATTCACATTCTCCCAATACCTGCCAACACTCCCCGCACCTGAGCCTCGTCTCTTTCAAGTTGTACCCATCTTTAAATTCCACCTTGTCTTACATGTTATAATGTCACGAATATAAATAGATGTTCTTTTCTTACCAGAGCCTACGCTGTTGTTTCGAGGGTCTATTGCGATTATTTGACCCGTTGATTTGAGTAAAGGTGGATGACTCTTTGCAAAGTCGATTGCCTACCAATGCCCGTTGCAGTGACGCCCATGCACATCGCAGGCTGTGACAAAGGACTGGAACGGGATGGCAACGAGATCTCACTTCGCAGTGTGACACAATGCTGTATCAAGTGCGACAGTAATTTTGAACGAGAAGTGATCTTGTCGAACACGGGAGCTCAGGTTGACGTTAGTCACGTGATGCGCGCGGGGGAGGTGCCAGCAAGCGTCGTCGAACTCGCCCGACCGCCTTCAACAGACGTGCTAGCAGGAGGAACAACGTAAGTCGTGTCGATGAGCACGTCATTTCTGTCTCCGATTCGGAATAAACCTATCAATTAGGCATGTTTCATCCGGCCGCGGATCGGATTCGAAGGCAAACGATGGAGCAATGAAAATCGTGGTCCGTAGGGGACGGCATCCTCGAGTTCATCTGACCAAGAGCGCATTACTCAAGCTACGCTCTCCGATGATATCGAGGGAATTTCAGATAGACTCGCAGTGGCTGCTTTTGAAATGCATGGCGAAGAAAGGGAGGGAGGTCAGCGCTTCAGCTCTAGAATGATGCAAGCGAAGCGCTTCGACGGAATCGGGCATGACATCCGCAAACACCTGTCAGCGGTGCCAGTGCATTGCGCTCGATCTGCGCCAACGTCGGCTTCCTCGTTCGGGGACAATTGCCAGAGACGCTACATACCGTATAGCAGCGAAAGCGAAGGTGCTAAGGGCTCGTCGCAACAGGCACAAGTTCGTGTTCTCTCTTCTCAAGTACGTGCCAACAATGTCTCGAGTTAATCTTAGTTCAACACCACAGCAGCCCAAGGCTCTAGTAAGATCGAAACCGTCGTTCATGGCATGCGAATCCTCCTCTTTGGTCGTACCATGGCTCGGATGGGCGAGATCCACCCCTGGATTCTTTCGACCTAGCAGTGGCTGTTGTTGCCGATTGGCAATTCTTCGACTTAGCCGCCATGCTTGTGCTCTAACCAGCCTTGGCGAGGAGCTCATCCTGCTGTCCTTCCCACACACTGTAGTACGAAGCTGCGAGGCGTTTACTGTGCGCTCTAGGCACAAGCGCATCGGAGACGCTGCGGCTCAGTGGTGTCAGATCGTCCTCGCGGGGCGTTCAGTGGTCTCGGAGACACCGGTGGCAGATATGTTACACTCTCCACGGCCGTCCCGTTGGACTCGCAGTCGCAAAAATGTCGTCCCACTCGCAAAATGCGCGTCCTCGCACCAGCGGCGGCGATATATGTTACTAACTTTCGGCAGACCGTGCGTCAGGAAACCTTCTCTTCGTCCCTTTGACTGAACCTACCCACAATGTCGACAACGATGGTTTGGGCCGCCGTGCTGCTCTTTGGGGTGGCGGCGGTTTATGCCTCGCGGCAACGCAAGCTTTCGCTGCCCCCTGGTCCTCCTGGTCTGCCTGTTCTTGGCAACGCGATGGATATGACCCCGCACGAAATGTGGCGGAGGGCCTGGCAATGGGGAAAGGGATATGGCGAGTGGTCACCCAAACTTATGCTGGGATCGACGGCCTTTCTGACGGAGCTAATCCAGGAGACATGATTTACCTCAAAATGTTTGGGTTCCGCCTCCTCTTCCTAAACAGTCCCGAAGCCGTCAACGAACTCCTCCACAAGCGCGGCGCGATATACTCTGATCGTGCCCACTTCGTAATGGCTTGCGAGCTGTACGTGATTTCCTCACAGCCCAACATAACGCCGCCTCCGTACTGAGGCTGGTTCGTGACAGCGCCGGGTTTGGCAATATCGTCCCGCTGACCAAATACGGGGACAAGTTTAAGCTTGAACGGAAGCTGATGAACCAGGCCCTTGGTTTCAGCGCACTCGAGAAGTGGCAGCCGGCTGTTGCGAGAGAGACGCATTTGCTTCTCTCCAACCTGCTGGAGGAACCTCAGTCGCATCTCACTCACTTCAAGAGGCTAGCATTCAACCGCGAATTTGATTGCATGGACGTATTTAATGACGCGACGCATACAGATACGCAGGTTCCCTAATCCTTACGACTGTCTATGGGTACCATACGACGCTGAAAAACGACCCGTACATCGCGGATGCGGAGGAGTTTATGGTTGCCTCCGCTCGCGCCATGGGCGAGGCCTGGTCCGTCGACTTCTTCCCATTGCGTACGTCACCCACCCAACGGAGTGCCCTGCGATCTGTCACCGAGACTTTCCACAGTGCGCCACATTCCCTGGCTGGGCTTCCAGAAAACTGCGGCGACCTGGAAGAGCAAGCTTGCCGTCTGGGTGGACAAGCCGTTCGACATGTTCAAGTCCCTCCCCGTACGAGACCGCTCGGTCCTGTGACTTGTGTCCGGCAAACTGATATTTGGCCGTAGGACTCCGACCTGAAGCAAAATTCGTTCTGCGGCAATCTCTTGCTGGACGATCATGGCAACGTCTCCGTCGATGCAGAGACGGAGGATCGGGTCAAGTGGCTGGCCACGTCTCTATATGGACGTAAGTATTGCCGTATCGTCTCTCGTGCGCTTGTATGGGTCACTGACATGTGCTTTCCGCTACCAGCGGGTTCGGACACGGTATGCGTAGCCTAACAAGGTTTGACCGCGGCGATACTGAACACGAAAACAGACCGTGGTCTCCAACACGATTCTCATCCTCGCGCTCGTGCACAACCCTCACGTCCTGAAGAAAGCGCAGAAGCAGATCGACAGCGTGGTCGGAACAGACCGTTTGCCTACCTGGGCGGACAGGCCGCAACTGCCCTATGTGGATTGCATTATCAAAGAGGTCCTCCGGTGGGGCGTGCCCGTCCCCTTGAGTGGGTGCCTTCAACAGTTGAGCCGCAAACATCGAAGTTTGACCGCGGTGACTCCTCTCGCAGCGCCGCCCCACAGGTTGATTCAGCCCGACAAGTACCGCGAATACCAGCTTGAGGAAGGAACGATGGTGAGCATCCGTGCACCCGGCGTATGTCCCATGCTTGCTCACATCTCTCACTCTAGTGCGTGGGAAACATGTGGTACGTGTTTGATGCGATCCCAGCTTGCCGCGTGCGATAGAGGTAACCCCGCTCCAGGGCCTGTCTCCACGACGAGAAGCTGTACCCCGACCCGGAGAAGTTCTTCCCCGAACGCTTCGAGCTCGAGAAGGACCCCGAACGCCTCCGGCTGATGGACACGGACAACTACGCGTTCGGCTTCGGAAGACGGTATGGTTCCGCTTGTGACTGAGACACGCGACTGCCGTCAGACTCTGACCGTGCGGGCCCCGCCTCTCCCCTCAGGCGCTGCCCCGGGATGCACTTCGCGGACCAGTCCCTCTTCCTCACCTTCTCGTCGATCATGGCGTGCTTCGATATCGCACCCATCACCGACAGCAGCGGCGAACCGATCCTGCCCGACGTGGAGTTCAACGGCGGTGTGTTCAGGCAAGCATCCTTCACCGCTGTCTCTCCAGACTACGGCTCACTAACGGGACTGTGCAGGCACCCCAAGCCATTCAAGTGCTCCATCACCCCGCGCCGCGAGAACGTCGAGTCCCTCATCCAGGCCGCTCTGTCCACCACGTTGATCTAGATTCTCTTGAACGCAGTTCTTGGTAGCAGAGCATATGTAGTTCTAGTTCCCTGAGCGACCGTCTTTCATGCTGTAATCTCGTAGAATTTCTAGACCATAATAAATGCAACGTCGACAAGCATGACGCGTCGTCTCGTCTTCATCATCGCATTAACATGTGTCGACTACTAGTCTCCTGATCCCAAAGACGCAATTACAACCAAGACATGTAAGGGTAGTTCGTAGACAGAAAGGGGCTGGCGCCGGTGCTCAGCACGACTGCAGAGCTGCAGAGAGAAAGGCGGAAGGGCGAGGGTGTAGCAGCGTGGCGTCCTTGTCCCCGCATTCCTCCATCGACCACGCCCACGACACTCTGCAAGCTCCAAACCACAGTCCAATATTGAGTATCATGCGACTGCATGCGTGCGTGCTGAACGGATTGCACCCTGAAGAGACGCGTCGAAGCGGCAGGGGCTCGGGGCAGCGGCGCGTCAGCTCATCAATGGTCCCGTATCGCCGCCTCTGCAAACGCGACGAGACAAAAAAGGTAGGAAGAGCACGCCATCAGCACTCTTCCCGACCGGGCACAGAAGCGAGCGAAGAAAGACGCACTGAAGAACTCGTACGACAGCCAGCAGAGCGCGTTGCTCGGCATGAACGTCAGCACGCGCGGCGAGAGCCCGCGCAGGAAGCCCTTCGCGCCGTCGCGCGTCCAGATGATGCGCGCCGCGTCGAAGAGGCCCCTGCAGCGTCGGATCTCCGCGTCGTGGCTCGACCCGCGCGTCTGGAGGACCGTCTTCGCGACGTCGAGCGGGGTCGTCACCGCGCCCGCAACGGCGCCGGCGAGGCCTCCCGCAACGATGTGCGTCGAGGGCGAGTACGCGCCCTGCGGGTTGAGGAGCGTCTTGAGCTGCTCGTACACCGTAAACTGGACCGCGGTGAAGGGCACGGTCATGGTGAGCGTCGTCGGGTAGGAGACGTAGAACGCGCCGAGGCCCTCGGCGCGGTACACGGTCTTGGCGCACTCGTATGCAGAGCGGTAGTTTGACTTGTGCAGCTGCATGCGCTGCTTGATCACTGTGGGGGAAGGCACCGATCGCGTTTGGGGTCATGCGTGCGCGCGATGCATAGGCGTGGACGTTTGCATGGGCATGGGCGGGACGGCGAAGGCCAGGGAAGCGGGGGTAGGGAGAAACAGGGTCGGATGTACGGTTACGCGAGAGGAGGCGGGCATCTCACCGTCAAAGGGATTCATGAGCGCGTCGCTCGCGACCGTCGCGGACGCGCCTGCTATTGCTGTTCATGGCGCAGCAATTAGACGTCGTCATGACGTGCGTTTTGAGGCGCGTGCGCATGCGTTCCGGACATTCGGCGGCGGCGTTCGTTGATAGGAGGCCCCAGGTGTTCCGACACAGTCAAGTCAGAAAATGTAGGATGCCGAGAGAAACGCAAAGTCAGTGCCCCCATGCGCGAAGAACATGGAGGTCCGCGAGAGACGACTGCACGCACAAGTTGCTATCCACTGGTTCTGCGCACCCTCCACGTTCCCACCCGCGAACTCCTTCACCATCTCGTACGCGCCGAAGTGCACCGCGTGTGCGGGCCCCGCGCCCATGATGACCGACGAGACCCCGCGCCAGAGGGCGCGCATGCCCTCCGTCGATGATATCCGCGTGAACGCGTTTCCGACGCCCGTGTACACCGCCGCTGGGGACGTCGCGAACACCTGCATGCGGGTCTGTTGGGCCGTACGGGCGCGTACGTGTCAGACGCATGTTGAGCAAGAAATCGGGCAGGATCCTGTGAGGGCGGGCGGGACACGCACTTTTATGCTGTCCACCGGAAACATGACTGCGTGCTCCGTGATGCCTGCCTGAAAACGTTACTGTTCAGCGAACAAACTCGTCTCCGCTTCTCCTGATAGCTAATGTTCTTCGCTCTGGAGTGCTCGGCTGGTAATGTACTCACCAGGGCTCCCGCAGCCATGTTGACCTGTGCCGTTCCCTGTGTCAGTATCGCTTCCTTTCACTTTCGAAAGCACGGGGAAACGCACCCCAAGGCCCGCATTGGGCGAGAGACCCTCATACTCGATCTCTTCGAGATGCTCAGGCATGTGTTCTGCCATGCCCTCTTGGACCGATTTCGGTGAACGATAGTGCAAACGTAGGCACAAAAACGCGCGAGTCGCGGTCGACCAGGCAAGGGTAGATCACAAACGCGTCGTAGCAGCCGCGGTGGACGTGACGCGGAGAGTCGAGACAGCAAGGGGGAGAGATACAGGAGCGGACGCGTGGGTCGGCCAGCAAGGCGTGCGTGGTGGCGCAGCAGCGATGACGGCGAGCGGTGGGACCCTGGGCGTGGCAAGCTTTAGGCTTGGTTTTATAGCCCGAGCTGACTGTCTGGAATTCAGGTCACGATGTTCTCAGACCGGTGTATGGTCAGCGGTGCCGCGCTGCTGGTTCGTGGATGAGAGCCGGACTGGCAAATGGGAAAAGAGAGGGACCGTGGCAGTCGCCTTTGCCGTGGGCCGTGCCACGGACATTCATCATGCGTACAGCACAGATCTGAATCAGCGCGACTGACTACCTCCCACTCGACGCGGCCAATCGCCGTCGCGGGCGGGCGACAGGCATACAAACACATGTTGGATGTCTTTCTCTGCTCTAGGTACCGTACATGACTCCCCGCCTTCTTCTGCGACTGTTCGTACAGATGTGCATACGTGTGTGGGTGAGCACCGACTCGCCCGTGCGACAAAACCTCCTACGAGCTCGCGCGGCAACCGCCGACCAATAGCATCGCTCAGCCGTCTCCGCCAATCCGAGCGAGCCATCCTGGAGGGCCACAGGAAAGGTGTGCCTCGCCGCGCTCACGCTCGATTTCGGGACGAGGCCGTCTACTGCGTCTTTGCGGCGCGCTTTTTCTTGCCCTCTGCGGCGAGACGATCGTGCTCTTCGATGTCTCTGCGTGAAGAAGCTCTATTCAGCTCTGGCGCCCGTGGGACAAGCACGGCTAGGAACTCACTGGGCTTCCCAAGGATAGTCGAGCCTATCGATGCATCCCCTCGGTCAGTGCGCACGTCCCAACAATAGCACAGGGCAGATCTTCTCACCAGACATCCTCGATCTCCTCTCCGGCGTAGTATCTATGGAGCGTGTCTCAGGCATGGCCGGGAAGCGCGCTTAGAGGGGAGGTACGTACGGAATGCCAGCGGGGATCTCGGCGAGCTTGGGCTTCAGCTTGTTGTGCACGACGAAGACGGCGAACTTGGTGCGCTTCGCGTCGCGCTCGGACTCAGGCAGCGCCTCGAGCGCGCGTTCGACATCTCTCTGAAGCTCCGTTATGGCGTAGCTGACGGTGCAATGCGTGAACGGGTGGCTCTCCGATCGAAAAATGAGCGCTTCTCACTGGAGGGTCTTGCGGGAGTCATCCACTTCGTCCTATGCAGGGATTGGTTTAGTCGCTTTTTGACATTTGAGACTGGCGGAGTGATACCGACCACGATGAGAGCGCGTCTGCCAAGGAGGAGTTCGCCGGACTCGGGACCGCTGTTGGAGGCAGCAAATCAGCGAATCTTCCCCAATGACCTCACGGGGACTTACAGCCACTGGGTGCGGATAACCTCCGCACCGATCTGCTCGGCCGTCATGCCGGGGAGGGACTCGTACAACGACAAGCCAATAGCGTGAATGGGAATGTTGCCCTTTCGCTCGGGGGTCTTCAGAAACGTGCGCTGAGAATGGAACGCGCGTGTTCACTGGTTGGGGTCTAAAATGGAGCATGAATATATAGATAGAGGGGACGTACGAGGACGCGAGCGGGAAAGAAGCCACTGAATACACATTGGAGACGTCAAGTTCAATACCAAGAGCAGCAAGGAGGGTATACTCGCCCTCCACCTGTGCGAGCGAGCCGGAGATGATCAATACACGACGGTCTTATATGGGACGATGGGAGGGAGGCATACCAATGGCGATGAGCATGTCCGGCTTGAACTCGGCGATCTTGGCCGCGCTCGCGCGGATGAGGTTATGCACGTCATTGTACGTGAGGCCGAAGTGCTCAGGCTCCTGCGCGGCCATGTCTTCCTACGCGCTGTACGGACGGGGTTCAGCGGGGGGGGGGTCCTAGGTCGTCGAGAGGGGAAAGGAGGAGAAAGGGAGAGGATATTGCGGAGGGCCAGACGAGCCGCCCGCGACTGATCTGTGTGCGCGGGACATGGCGGTCGCAGCGGATAAGATGATCTCTCATAGATCATCGGGAAGTTTTCCTGCCTTGTTTGGCTCTGATCCTCCCTGATCTAAGATACGCATTTTACGGACATCCTCCTGCGCCCAGAAACGCGACGCGTGGAACACAACGCGACTGCTGGAACGACCACTCTCCACACCGTCATGTCTGAACAGCCCTCGGGGAGCGGGACACCAGCGTCCTCTGGCTCGGGCTCTGTCGCCCCCGGAAAAGCAATCGCGAGCCTCGCGAAGAAGCAGGGCGACGTAACGAGGCTGGGCACGCAGAAACTCAAGTTCGTGCCCACCCTCCCGCCGCGTCGCGTCAAGGAGTGAGTGCCGCACACCCCTTCATATGACCTCACTCTGAAGAGCACCACCACAGGGAACCAAAGAAAGTGCGTCCAAGCTGACCTCTCTCTTACCCTTGCATGTTCACAGAACGTCTGTCTAGGATGAACCCGCCCCCCCTCCATCCGCCGACCGCGGCCGCGGCCGTGGAGCAGAACGCGGCCGTGGACGCGGACGCGGACGCGGCGGGGCAGACGCCGCAGGACGCGGCACCGCCCCCCGCCCCCCTCCCGTCGAGATGACTGCCTCCGGGCCCTTCGCGATGGGGCCCGCCCTGGCGGGCGCCCCCTCCGCGCGGCGGACTGCGCCCCGTTCCAACTTTGCCCCAGCTCCGCCTCCGGCGGGCTCGGCGAAGCTCGGGGCGGGGCTGACGCAGACGACTGCACCGTCGCTGAAGAAGGAGAAGGAGCGGGAGCAGGAGGCAGAGCGGGCGAGGAAGGAGGAGCAGGAGTATTCGGACCCGGACGAAGGCGTGGAGATTGTGGACATGGAGAATGTGCGGCAGATGGACTGGATGGCGCCGGAGAGTCTGAGGAAGGAGAGGGAGGTGGGGAAGAGGAACAGGAAGGCTAAGGCGAAGCTGAAGAGGGAGGAGGGCGTGAAGAAGGAGGACGCTGAGCTGAGAGGTGTGTGTGCGTCATGTGTGCCTGTGGTTTGCCTTGCTGCTGAACACTGAGACCATGCCACTGCAGGTGAGGTCATGGACGTCGACAGGGAGCCTTCTCCGGAAGAGGAGGTTAACATGGCCAATGCCGTCGACCTCAGCGAGAGCGAGTCAGAAGAGGAGCTCGAAGACATCATTGATGACTTCGCACAAGCTCAGGCGCAAGGCGAGGAGGTGAATCATGCTATCCTTTCTATTCGGTTAGTTGCTCAATCACGAACCAGGACGCAGACATCCGACAAGAGCGACTATACTTTTTCCAGTTCCCAGAACCCTTTCCTGTCTTTCATTCCCGCCACGCACAGCAGAACGCCGACGTCAAAGGCAAAGCCAAGGCTGACTCCACAGCAGGTGAGGAGTCAACCAAGAAAGTCACCTTCGCAGAGGACACCAAACCGCCAGCCGCCACTCCAGCTGGCGGTGCAGATGGGGAGGCCACAACCAACAATGCGGCGGAGTCGCCAACCGTCGACGGCGTCATCGGCCAGCTCGAGATCTACGAGAGCGGCGCGGTCAAGATGCGCATGCACAATGGCATTGTCATGGATGTAGGTCTCGTTCTCACAATTCCTTACCGGTACGTTACTGACAGAAGACTAGGTTACCGCCGCTACACAACCCTCTTTCCTACAACATGCTATCTATCTAGACGCGACCAAGAAGCGATTATGCGTTCTGGGAGAAGTCAACAGACGTTTCGTCGTTACCCCGGACCTGGACGCCCTGCTTAATGCGATGGAACTCGCGGACAATCCTCCAGCATTCGAGCTCGGCGACGGCCTCCTCACCATGGACACCGCATGACCGTGAACCTTGACCGCTCCGTCTCCGTCATTATGTTACGTTGGACTTGAGATGTGTTGAGGTAGTGTACGGCTACGACGGGATTGCGGGCCCCTCCAGTTGTGAAAGACGGCCAGAGATCCTCAGCTGCCGAGAAGATGGAATGTTTCGCTACTGTGCTACCTATTGTCCTGTACCCAACGCAAGATGCCGGCGACGCCCTCCACGTCCAGCCATCCCCACCGTCTAAGCCCGATGAGAAGGCCGACAAACTACGTCCGCTACTACGACTACTATACACTAAGACATGCGTAACGATAATTATGAACATGTACAACAGGACCTACGAATGCTACAAGACCGCAACAGGCTCGCCGCGGGACCGAGACTCGTGAGACTTATGAGCTTTGAGCGGGTTCCACAAGCAGAGGTTCTGGCTCGGGTTGAGGCGTCGACTCTCCAGCGGACGGCGCCGGGCTTGCGGCGGCGGCCGGTGTGCTGGAATCGTCTTCGCCGAAGATGTCGAGGTAGCCTGCGACACGCGCCTTGTTCGTGCCCTTCTTCATGACGTGCTCACGCAACTCGGCCTTGAGGGTGGGCTGCTTCTCGACAACCTCGCGCAGCTGCTCCTTGGGTAGCTGGAGGAGCGCTCCGAAACTTTGCGGCGCGATGAGCTTGGCACAGCGAATGAAGCCTTCCCAAAGCGGGGGATTTGTCCATATCTTCTTGGTGATCAGGCGCGAGAGCAGCGTTGTCGATACAAAACCGCGCAACGAACGGTATGTGGTCACCGCTTGGATCACCTGCGGAGAAGAAGGTATCAGCGTCCCGAGAACAGTCGGGGATTGTTAGAAGCTCCGTCAATAGAATGGTCATACCGTCCGCATGAACAGCGTAGGAAGATTTGGAACATCCACAAGCTGATTCATTACGACACCAAGAATTTCAGAGCGGTAAATGTCAGTCATGGAGAAACAGATTGAAATGGCTGCGGATCTCCGAGTCAGTCTAGCATCGCACACTAGACTCAGCAAGGCTTACCCTCTATGGCGCTCCTCAACCCGATCTCCCTTTCCGACTCATGGAGCAGTACCATAAGCTCCGCCGGTGTCAGCAGCTCGCTTTGCCGCACACGCGGCAGGTTAGACGTCACTTTACCAAACGTTTCTGGTGGCGTGGTGACGATAGAACTAAACACTGAACGCACGAGCTGCTTGGGTTCTGGCGTCCCGTTGAGAATAGATACGATGCGTGGTAGATGTCGCACAATGTCGGCCTGAAGACGGCAGGTCAGGAGGCTTTACCGGCGATAGTGTGCAATTGAGATACCTTGTCCATCTCAGCGATGATGGGGATAAGGAATCTTGCATCGAGGTCGCGCTCATTGACGAGACTCTTGACCAATGCCACCAGCTGTGCACTCGGTCGGCCCGTCTCCGTAAAGATAGTGAGCACACGCAGCGCCAGCGACTCCGCACCAGGAGGAAACGTCCGTAGAAGCGTAAGGAGTTTCCCATGTGTTGGCCCAAGTGCTCGCACTAACGGTGTGATCAACTGTTGGACAGTCTCCTGAACGGTCTCCTCCATCCCTCCGTACGCCGCAAATATCCTGGTGTCACCTTAGTGACGGGCACATGGAAAGTGGGACGGAGAACACATACTCGTCCAAAAACTCCGGAACCTTCGTCGACAGGGCGAACAGTAGCTCCACATGCTGCAAGATCTGCGCGTTCACCGCGGGAAGCTCGAGCTGCTCCGGCAGATACGGCGTTTGGATGATATCCTCCTGTGGAAGTTGGCCATCTTCCATGTTCTCTTCATGGTCGGCGCCGTTCGTCTGGGGCTTTTCAGGCTTCTCTTCTTCGGCTTGTTTTGGACGAGATTGGAGTCGGCGAAGCAACTGCAAGGCGAAATCACGAATCATATCCGCCATAGGTTGGACATCGGGGATCCAACGCTTGACTGTGTTGATCGCTGCACCGCGAGTGATCTTGTCGGGATGCGTCGTCAATTCCAGGAGCATATTCATGGCTTCTGCTCGTAATGACGGTCGTTGCGACACGAACTCTCGCAAAGCGGCAAAGCCCATCTGTCGCCTAATAGTACACCAATGCAGTCAACTGCTGTGCCATTGATTGATACATGCAGAAGCACAAACCGTTCTGGTTCGACGCAGGATTCCCTGAGTAGATTTAGGACATCTTGTGGCACGGCTGGCAAATCAAGCAGGAAGCGAGAAAATGTCCTATCCTTGCCTTCTGCGTGTGTCTGATAGGCCGCTACGATTTGATTCAGCCAGGTCTCGTAATTCGGTTGCTAATGTTGTCTGTGTCAGCGTCTACCCCATCTAAACGGAGTTCGTAGAGCCTACCCAGGCCCGGTCTTGTTGACGTCGTATCCTGTCGTTGTACCACTCCTCGTTCATCCAGGTCGTTGCGAGTCGTATTCTGTCATAATCTTAGTATTTGACTAGGCATTCACCGTTGCGTATACTCACCGGCCAGAAAAGTCGGCCATGATATATTCGCACAATGCATGCCGTAGTCTATCCTGCCGATCGTAGATTTCGGACCGCTTGACAACAGCATCATCCGCCTTCGTCTCATCCTCGTTCGCCTCCTGTTCGATGGAGGGATCGCTAACACGTGTTACCATCCGCACTAGAAGCAGCATCCACATGTCCGCTGGGGTCGTCCGAAGGTGGTGGGGATCTGAAGCATCCAGTGCACCCTCGGCAGCGACAAGCTCTTTGGCCCCTTCCCGTATTCGAGTGATTGCCTTGCGCATAAGAACTTCCCGGTCGTCCGCGTCGAGCTCTCGTGCGGGAGGAAGCTTGAAATCGGTAATAGGCAGCTCTGCCTCCTCCATGGCATGGTCTAGCGCTGCTTCTGCTTCATCGATGGGCTCTGCCTCGCCAGATATCTATAGGCGTGATCAGGAAGGTCTGACGGTGGTATCGAACCGATCATTTCGCACCTCCAGATTGAGTCTGTCAGGCTCATACTCCATCTCTTCGTCGTCAATGTCCATTTTGAGAGGATCCACAGGTTCCTCGATTTTGACCGGAGCTGGTGGAGGCGGAGGTGTGACAGACTTCGCCTTCTTTTCACGGTCTGCACGAGGTCCTGAAGGGGGTGGACGCTGGGCGCTGACAGAGGCTACATGCTCCGCGGTAGATCCACGAGATGGCGGAGGCGTCGAGGATAGTCCAGGTATCTCGGCCACTGCTGGTACCGGTATCGATGTGGTGGCCTTCTTGTGTCTGTATGCTTGAACGAGTCCGATGAGAGCATTTTCCGTATGCGCTTGCAGGTTGGCCACAATCAAGTCGGTCACGAGAGTCGCAGGGAGCGCGCTGAAGTCAAAGCCACCGGCACCGAGAGCAGGAACAGGTTCGTGCTCCAGCTTGGGCCGCTTGGATTCTGGCGCCTCAGTGACGGGAGTCGCTGTAGTGGTACGCTTTTTCGAGGCCTCTGCTGCCGCCGCCCTACGAGCCTTCTCCTCGGCGACAGCTTGTTCCATCCTTGCCGCTTGAGCAGCAAGGGCGGATTGGATCTGTCCCACAAACGGATGGCCCTGCGGCGTCCTTGTGGAGATGAACACGAATATCAGTGCTAGCCAGAAACAGCGCATACCGAGATATGTGCGTGAGCAGAATGCGAATGGTCTTCTCCGCACTCCGGATGACAGACGCTGGTTGGCCTTCGAGCTTGACAGGCGTCCATTGAACCAGTGTGGACAAGACCAATTCGACAAGTGCTGGACGTCGCTTGATGAGGTTGGCCCAACTATTCAAGATGGCTGAAAGCATGTCGGGATTGCTGAGATCGGCGAGTGTCAAACGGATACTGGACAGGATGTGTATCACTAGCACTCACTTGCTGGTGTACAGTGTCGTGATGACGCCTTCGAGGAGCTTAAGACCTTCCTGTTCCAGAGCCTGCACAGATATGAAGGGATGATCGGAGGGCACCATATTCAGGTTGGGATCGTCCTTATTTTGGAGCTAAGTGGCAATGTTAGTGTGAATAAGAGTAGGCAGCAAGGACTTTGGAGGCAAGGGTAGGGAACAAACCCTGGGGTCATTGATCCCACGCGTCTGCACAAGTATGACCCGCTGCATGAACTTGACGGCAGATATCCTCAGGCCGGCGTTGACATGGGGAGCCCAGACAAACTCGAGGATTCGCGCCTTCGCCTGCGTGAGGATGTCCCAAGGCTTGCGATTACTCCGGTTCACACATCTTCAACGCTTTCTGTCAATGTATAGTCTCACACGAGGAGGGGCGTCACTTACAATGACCGAAATAGTAACGCATACACCGTCGGGAAACATTGCACAACCACCTTCACGGTGTTGATGTTCCCGTCATTTAATAACCCCGCCAGGACCTCCAATGATTGGTCCGCCACTAGCCAAACCATGTCGACCATGAGAATCCACAGTGACACTCAGATAGTTGAAACACGCACGCTGAGTGCGCGCCTCGGCACTCAAATTCGACTTGCATATCGCGAAGTGCAGCAGGTTCAGCACCCACGTCTTCATGAGCGAATCCCCCGTGCCCGACAGTGTGTTGATGAGCGTCGAGCATAATATCGACAGACTGGGGTGGTTCTCGAGCGACTCGCGCAGCGTCGAGAGCAGCTCTGCCTGCTCCTTCGAGTCGGCTGGCGCAGCGAGCGCAAGGGAGAATTGCGTTAGGGGGTCGACAGGAGCAGCATTTGCTGACATTTTGGATTCCCCAGCTCAGCGGATGCAGCCGCGCTTTTCTCTATCGCCGTGAAGCGGAGCGAGACAATTCGAGCAGACGGCAGAGAGGACCAGGACGGAGGGGAGGACGGTCGACGCGGTTCCCTCGAGCGCTTTGGCTGCTGTTTCCCGGCGCGTCACAGGCGGCGGAGCCTGAAATCCTTCCTTGCACTGAATCACTATGGTCGGTTGCCAATGCCTTGCTATACCGGAGTATCGCGCTGAACGACGTTTACGAAGGCCGCACAGCAATCACAGAGCATTCAGACGCTGCTCGAAGCTGAAAAGGAGGCCGCAAAGGTCGTGCAGCAGGCTCGCCAATGTCCGTTCACTCTCTAGGGCATTGTACAAACTGGCGGCGAGCTCACGTCATTGACATCCCAGATCGTGTTCAGAGGCTAAAAGATGCACGCTCTGAGGCTGAGAAAGAGATAGAGGAGTACAAGAAGACGAAGGAGCAGGAGTTCAAGGCGTTCGAGCAGTCTGTACGTTCTGTGCTGTCCATGATCTTACCCGACCTCCCCGACGCTCATTGCACACCCTGGTCATACCTTCAACCGAAATAGCATGCGGGTACCACCCAGACTGTCCAGGCGCGGATTGATAAGGAGACCGAGGTGAAACAGAAGGAGATCCGTGCAGCGTACGAGGGAAACAAGGACAAGGTTGTCCAGAAGCTCCTCGACCGCGTCATCCTCGTCAAACCCGAGCTGCACCGCAACCTTAAGAAGCAGCAGTAGACGCATCTGTTACAGGTGCTGTAGCCGTTCCGCCTCCCTGCTGCTCTTGCTTCCGCCCCTGTGGTGGACCTCGCTTGGACGCGTACGATCAACGATTACACGGACTATGACGCATCCGCACACCATGGCAGACTGGGCACACATATTGTATAATTACAAATTCATATACCCGAGCATACTTTTGATCGCCAAAAGTATCTGTTAGACGAAGGCAGAACGAACGACAATGACTGACAATGTGCCTGCTAACAACTAGTACTGTACCAATGCAGCAGAACATCGAAGAATACTAGATATGGACATAGCTGCTATTATTACACTAGCATTCTACAAACGCGTCGCTGCTCATGTGAAATCGATACGACCCGTACACTCCGAGTTGAAAGAATTCGAATCATACACCAAGAACGTCCAACCTTATGTATCATGGCTCATACTGTATGCAAAAGGAAGCCCCAAGACGATGGATTCAAGAGGCCAGTAAGGAACCCAAGGTGAGACTGGAAAATCCTCGGACAACACCAAACACCCACCCCCAACGGTCGAAAATGCTACCGAGGGCAGCGCTCATGGTCGCCCGCCGCCCCCGGCATCGACGAGCCAGTTCATCCCGGCAGGCATGGCGGCGGCAGACCCAGGATTCAACTGCTGCCCCCGGCCCGATCCCGTCCCGGCGCTCGGAGGGCTCCCCAGGCCCTGCGGCCCAAGCGAGAGCGAGCTCGCGAACGCCTCGAACGGCGCCTTCATGTTCAGCGAGTCCAGGAGGCCGGCCTGCTGCAGCGATGGCAGGCTCGTGCGCGGGGCGACGACCCCGGCTCCCCCTGCCCCGACGCCCACCAGCCGCGAGTCAAGGTCTAGCAGCGTGTTGGTCCGGAGGAGAGCGCGCGGGTCCCCACTCTCCCTGCGGCCCTCGTACGGCTGCGCATGTAGGGCGACTGCCTCGGGAGAGGAGTGCGAGGACGTCGGCGAGTTCGAGCTGGACTTGGAGGAGGGGGGCTCGCGGGGCTGATACAGTGCCTGTTGCTTCTGCTGCTGCTGTTGCTGCTGCTGCGCTGCCAGTGCTTGCTCCTTGGCCTTGGCCTGGCTCTGCCGCCATTGCTCGGCGACGATCACGACTTTGAAACCCCACAGTTTCTCGAAGTCGCGGTCCCACACCTGCACCTGCGGGTCGTCGGGGCTATACTTGCTGTAGGACTGCCCCCAATGAACGCAATCAAGCGATGAGCAGACAGCAGATCAGACATTTCAAGACGCAATTGTATAGACCTCACCCAAAGCGCGCAAGCCGCTGATCGTAGCGAGTGTATGTACGGTGTCCAATGCGCATTTGAAAACAGAAGGTGCTTATCAGATGTCTGCCGGCGGCATTTGCGAAGCGCAGTGAACCAGGGGTACGTACAAAGTATGGATGTCTTGGCCCGCGTACCGGCGGCATTGAAGATCAGATTGAGCTGGTTGCGGACCCAAGGGATCGGTTCCGTTAGTGTGCCTTCACCCTGCATACGGAAAAGGTTAATACTGGCACAGGGCGGAGTGAGGGCGGAAATAGCAGCATATCTAACAAGAGGATAGCTTGGCGTACCTCGTGTACTGCGAGGTAGCAGCATGGATACATTGCATGCATGAAGCAGAAAGACCAGGCACCAGAGTTCGAGGAGGTCTCAAACATAGTGACCTGCGTCTCCAGGTTGTCCTCGGTGAATTGTAGGTGACTAGGTAATGAAGCATGCCAATCCTATGTCGTTAGGTTAGTAGTAGAACATAACGAAGGCAAGACAAACTACCTCTAGCCGCTTGCGGAGACTAGGCATAGCGGCGGCACGGGCGGGACCTTCCTTGGTGGCTAGCAGAAGCCCTCTCAGCACCAAGAGCAAGCTTGATTTCGAGCAAGTACGCACTTAACACAACCTCCACATTATGATAGATCTCCATGATACGGAGCATGTGGCCAAATTGCGACGCATACCTCGTCCGAGGTGCAGGTCGACGTAAGTATTCAGAGGCTAAAAGTCAGCCGGCAAAATCGATGTCAGCCAGATGTGAGAGAGCGTCTGCGCGCGTTTGGGGCAAAGATTAGCACGTACTAGCGGAGCTTGTCACCGACGTCAATTCAAACGTCGTCTCGTCGATGGGCAACCGCACTACGTCCGCGAGTTCGACCATGCGCGGCCGGACGTCCCGGTGCGTGTAGATGTTGCTGATCCACGCCATAAGCTGGATCAGCCAGAAGCAGCGCCGGGTGCACTCCCGGTCAACAAAGTCCATCAGTGCGCCCGGGTCTGTGGGCGAAGGGGGGGCCGAGTTATCTGGTCGGTCCACCTCGAGGCTGCCTTCCAGTACCTGGAGCGCCAGTTCTGCGGAGGGCGACGAATCAGGTGAGCGGGTGGTTTATTTTTACCGAGGAGTGCCGGCGGGAACGTGAGTGCGGACAAGAAGACTTACCGAAGTACCTGAAGTGACGAGTCCACGAGTGGCTGGCGGCGATCTCGTGCATCTCGAGCAAGCAAAGCGCTTGAGCCGTGCTCACCGTCGGCTTGCAAAGTAACCTCCCCGAGTTGTCAAACATCAAGCTCAATGCGTCTTGGAAGAAAGGGACCCCAGCGAGGCGCGAATGAGATGCCTTGCTTGCGATAGCCTTGGACAAAGGCGCAGCAACAGCGCATACAGCCAGGAGCAAGTACGTTGGTACCTTGCTTAGTGCGAGATCGGCGGAGAAAGAGGGTTTGTGAATGATCATGCGCTGCGGGTTGCAGTGGGCGAAGAATACTATTGGAGGGACTGCGCGTCAATACACGACGGGCGGTGAACCAACGGTTCGATACGAACTGTTCACGAGCTCATGTGTTATTGCGGGGTCGGGAGTTTGGGTGAACACCTCCGGAGAGGCAGCGCCTTTGGAAGCCAATGGAGGACTAGTGTCCGGGGCACCTGGGCCTTTCCGGGATCGTTTTGTGGTCGGATCTCGTTCGACTCCACCCTGCGGATTGACCGGAGGGCTTGACAAGGTGGCTTGACCCGCCCAGGGTGGAGTCTCAGCTGCCGGGTGTGCCTGGGAAACACGCATGGTTAACATGGGACGTAAGCAGTATCGCGAAGGTGAGGTACCGTAGCAACATCGGCTGGTCTTACAGGGTGGGTATTTCGAGGTGCAGGGACAGGTCTCCCCGCAGCATCGGTGTATGTGCAGTTCTTAGACGCATAATAGCTAGGATGAGGTGAGTATACGGTGCTCGAGCGCTCTGAGATATGCACCTACCAATTGCTGCAGGGAGCTGGTGGAACGGAAATTCAGTGCAGTCCGCCACGCTGAGAGTATGCACGCGTGCTTACCCGTCCCATCGCACCTGCGCTTGCTCTTATGGCATGCATCGCAAGCCTGAAGCAATATTTAGAACAAGCGACGCGTGAAGGCCAAGGTATATGCGCACCTTGCTGAGACGCTTCCGCTTGCCACCTTTGACGAATGCCACGGATAGCTGCTCGTGCTCCGGGGATCCCCCATCAGGAGGATTGGAGAATGCCATGTTTGTGGGCGAAGATATGGGCGCAGAAGCAAGAGGATGATGCGAGGGACTAGGTGGAGACTCGGAGGGAGAAGCCATGTGAGAAGGAGGGCGATGAGAGATGGTGCGGAATGGCAACCGTCAACAGGGTGGGCTCGTTCGGGGGGGAAGATGAGGTGCGCGACGGCAGAGACAGCGCTGAGATAGCGGCGGAGGACTGAGGGCGGCGTTGAGGGATACGAGGGGCGGAAGAGCGTGGAAAGGAAACTATGTTGCGAGGAAGCCAAGAGAGCTTTAACGGGCGGATGTCATGGGGGTATAATTGCGGCTACGGGAGAACGAACGCGACTCGGCGGCTACTTGACCGAGACACCTCTCTTCTTCCGTCCCACTCCCCCGGGCCCGACTCTTACCGCGGCATCCTCTCGACACTCCGTCATACGTAACCGACGCCTTTCCCGTGTGCCCGTCCTGCCTCCTCGCCGCGCAGGCCCAAGCGCGTGCTGGGCTATGAGCTGAAGGCCCATTTTCGCGAGGTCAATGACAGCGTATGTCCTGCCGAGGCTTGCGGACGTACTACGGACAATCTTCTGCTGCGGCGCCTCCGGAATGTCCTGAGAAGGTCGTTTACGCCGCCGGCATTCGACAGAGTTCCATAGCCGGCGGTCTTCCCCGGATTCCGCGCTGGGGTGGCGGTGTGCCTAATTCTCGTCGCTGTGTCGACCGTTCCTGAAACAATCCACACCCAAATATGTCTTATGTAACATGCACATGCACTTCGACGCGACAGCCCTCTCTGGTCACTTGGCGAGTCGGCGTCGTTGGTCCGTGTTTCCCTCCTCTGAATGGTCTCCTTGTCCCGCTTCAGAAATCTGAAAGCCAATGCTTCTCGAACGAACACAGCCCATCTCGCACTGCTACTGATCACAGGCGATCGATTGGCCTCAAGGCCACACACCTTGCCGACGATACCACCCCAAACCATCCACACACGCCGTTCGAGCAGCAATTAATGGAAATCATGAGGCTCGCATCGTGGATAGCTGCGTGCCTCGCGCTGATGCTTGTGTAAGCAGCCGGCGGTTCAATTCCATGATTGACATGCATCAAGCAAAGTTGTGGTATTTATCATCCGACACGTCCCAGTGGCCCGACAAATCAGATCAGAGCGGCGTGGATAGTAAAAGTCGTGCAAGCGTGTCATCATAGCTGCCCGGCCGCCGGCACGGCGAGATGTACGGTACGAACAATTTTGCTAACGCTACATGGTTTAGTCGAACAGACCGAAGCCCATGTCGTCGTCGGACTCCTCCTGTAAAGTCATAAACAGATGGTCAACAACTGCTATAAGGATTTCAAGTAGACGAGGCCAACTGACCTTCTCTTCCTCCTTCTTCTCCTCCTTCTTCTCTTCCGCAGCAGCAGCAGGGGCGCCACTAGCAGCAGCACCTCCAGAGGACGCAGCAACAGCACCACCAGAGGGGACCTGTAACGATTCAAATTAACGTAAGCTTCCCGACAGTGGGCTGCCACACGATGATTAGGACGTACCGAAGCGAGCTTGGCGGAGCCCTCAGCGATCAGCGCGCTGACATCCTTGCCGTCGAGCTCAGAGATGAGCTTCTCGAGGCGCTCATCGTCGGCCTCAATGCCGACAGCACCGAGGACCTTCTTGACATCCGCCGCGGAGGGGCTAGCGTTACCGCCGATCTGGAGGAGAAGGTAGGCAGCGAGGTGACGCATCTGTAGGCCACGGCAAGAGAACCGGGTTAACGGGCCAAACTTCGGCTTGCACAAGCGTGACTTGCGAGACACGCACAGTGGTAGATTTGGGTGGTTATGAGAGGTAGATCGGTAGCCACAAATCACTGTATGATGCGCGCAATGTTAGATACTGTTCAACGATGCAGCGGACAGCGAGCACACCTTTTAATCCGCGAGGGAAGACCTGTGGATTCTATCCGAGGACGATGGGGTGAATTACACTCTGCCTGATCGACTCAAGCCCAGGGCGGGCCCGCGCCGGTGGCTGAGAACTATACAGCTGTGTTCCCACGTTCCTTGCACCGGCGGGCAGCCACTCGTCTTGTTTCAAACTCCGTCACAAAGCCGCCCAAGAGCAAGGCCCCTTCAGTCCCACCGCAAGACCGCCAACGACACCCTCAAGATGGTGAGTACTGCCCATTTGGTCGTGTGTAGAGAACGATGCGGAAGTGCTGACGGCTCGTTGCATGGGGCTTTTGTAGGCTGATTCCTCTGTTACCGACCCCCAAGTCGCCGCCGACCTCAAGAAGAAGCGGACGTTCCGTACCTTCTCCTACCGTGGGGTGGAGCTCGATAAGCTCCTTGACCTGAGCAATGAGGAAGTGCGTATATACTGCTCGCAATGTATTGCTTTGGTTCTGACCCGAACACACACAGTTCGTCGAGGTACGCTAATACATGAAATGGAACCCGCGCACAAACAAGACATCTCACCAACTTCTCCCTCTCGTCTTCGGTTAGATCGTCCATGCTCGTGCCCGCAGGCGGTTCCAGCGCGGTCTCAAGCGCAAGCCCATGGGCTTGATCAAGAAGCTCCGCAAGGCGAAGAAGGAGGCACCACCCAACGAAAAGCCCGCGGTTGTGAAGACCCACCTCCGTGACATGATTATCGTCCCTGAGATGATCGGCTCCGTCGTCGGCATCTACAACGGCAAGGTGCGTTCTCAATTCCATGAAGAGAAGTTGAGAGGTTGGAGGACTGACTTGAATCATCGCTTCGGGTTATCAGGTCTTCAACTCCGTCGAGATCAAGCCTGAGATGGTTGGCCACTACCTCGCCGAGTTTTCGTGCTCGTACAAGCCTGTCAAGCACGGTCGTCCGGGTATTGGTGCCACCCACTCCTCGCGATTGTAGGTTCATCTCGAGTTCACCTAGGTGCTGTGAGAGTCTGACGGTTTGGTGCAGCATCCCCCTCAAGTAGAGGACCGGGTTTTACGACTGTTTATGTTGTTGCTTTTATTCCTCATCATCCATGTGCAGTAGTCCAAAATATTATGCAACATGCATACTATGCGCACCCCGGAACGCATACTCGTCTGCATCGCACGATGACGAAGCTCAACTGTGGGATCGTATCGTGTCGACTGGTACAGGCAGCATCGGGACACGGATGTTGTATTTGCAAGAGTTCGCACATTTTGAGTAACGCACGCACAATCCAAATTTCACCATTCGTTGACCCAGAGGCAGGTCTGAGAGGGTATAGATGTTTGTCCATGCTATAGGTTAAGTGAGTAAGGTGAAGTACAGTTACGCGGCAAATTTAGAGAGGGATAAGGAGGGACGAGAGACAAGCGCGTTGGCAATGGGATGCATGGAAGCAGTACTGATTATATAGAGAGGGAATGAGTGCAGGTGCTACCGTGACGATGCGCAATGGTGATGTGCAGAGGAGTCCGACCTGACCATAGACTGAAAACTAGACAAGGGTGGGTCATGTGTACGTGCGATGTGCTCAATGCTCAATGCTCAGCGACTCGACGCGGCGGGTACGGTATACGGCGTGAGGGACGGAGTAAGGTGAGGATGAAATGCAATGCAGATGTCGTAAGCGGAGGAGCCAGAAGCAGGGTGCAAGAGCAAAGGGACGGAATGGTGCCGGAGAGCGGTTACCGTTGCTGGTGCTGTCCGTTCGGGACATAAGGATGCGGACTCTCGCTGCTGGTCCTCGATGACGGGTTCACGCTGGTATTGATGAACGACGATGGACGCGACGATGGCCTGTTCGGGTCCTGTACACCTGGAGGCCGCTCCATCCCCCAGTCCGGGCTCGGGCTTTGCATGCCCTGCATGTTGGCGGGCATTCGCGGCTGTGGCGAGTGAATGGCACCCATCGAGGGCTGCGATGTCGGCTGGGGGTTCCCTGTTGGTGGCGGATAGGAGAATGGCGAGTGCTGCATTGGTGGAGGTTGTTGCCGCTGCGGGGAGAGACCATTCCGGAGCACACTGTCAGATGGTGTGGGGTTGGCCATGGGGGGCCTATCCAGGAATTGTGGGTTGGACTGCGTTGACCTGTATGGAACGAATGAGATGGGTCGGTTGCCATCTATGATCGAGATGTCCTACCTTGGTGGCATTGAGCGCATATCCTCGGGCCGTGGTGTGCCCGGATTGAAGTTAAATGTCGCATTGCCGATAGTCGGCGATATGAGGCCCGGTGTCCTGCCACCCGACTTGAGGCGCATATATGCGTCAACCTTCTTCAGGAATTCCCTGCTTGGAAGCTCCATGCAGTTGGCGAAGTATTCCTCATCTGCGAGAATGGGCAAGAACTCCTCAGGGACGCAGTAAAACTGGTCCTGATTCTCTAGCAGCGCGGTGACGACCCTAATCGACCCGAAACTTTCGTCTCTCACGGCGTTTTGTCCACGGGAGTACAGAATACTCGGGCAAATGACCGTCGCAAGGTTCTGTAAGTCCATCTTGCTACCTGTCTCCTCGTCCAAGTGCGCGAAGGACGCGACCCATTTCAAGAAGACAAAGAGCACTTCGAGCGTATCGCGGTGCGCTTTAGGCAAGATGAGCGACACCATGTGCAGCATCCGATTCCTCTCCTGCTCGGTTGGAAGCGCTGCGGTACGGAGTTAGCATACTCAGACAGATAGCTCTAGAAAGATAGCGCACATTGAGTCGCGATGAACAGCCGATGCAACTTGAATGTCATGAGGGGATCAGGAAGATCTCGGAAGAACTTCTTTAGAAGCGCCGCAAGTTGTACTGGGTTGTCCTGCGTGAGGTCAACGGACGACGCGTCACGGTCGATTGCTTCGGTGAGGTCTTTCAAGCGGCGGATGTTGCCATTTCGCCGGAAAATACCCTCAATAGACATGTCTAGAGTGGTCTATATCAGAGACGCCGCGTCGATGAGGAAAGTATGACATACCCATTTGCCGCATGGCAGAGATGGCATCATCAACGAAACTCGGGATGCGGAGAGGCGTGCGTCCAGCACCGAGAAGAGAGTCCGCACCCTCGCGCTCTACCAAAAGTTCCAGAGGTACACCGAAGACCCCTACAAGCGACCAGATGGATATAAGTCGTACCACAGCCAAGAAGGCCGACTCGACGTACCTTTCTTCTTCACGTTCTTCTTGTCGTTGCCTGGCTTGAACAACTTGTTCCAGAACGAGCTCTTCTTGGTCTCAACCAACTCAAGGATCTCGTCCAGATCGAACTGATCCCTGAGCGGCGACCTCTGGAGGACCAGCACGGCGCAGTGCTTGACGATCGCGAGCTGGAGAGGGTTCAGGTCCCCGATGTATGGTATCGAGCTCTGGCTGGGCAGCGACCGTCTCTGCTCTCGCGCTTGCGCCGCCTCCACCAGCTGCGGGATGTCTGCAAGGGTGATGCCGTCCTCGATGCCCCCAACCATCTGCTCGTCCTGGTTGACGCCTGCGGGTGAGCTGGGCCCAGACTCGTCGACAATCTTGATCGCGGTGTTCCCTCGCGCAAAGGCAGGTCGGATGACCTGCGACCCCACATTGGTGTCGATCATCCCGGGCGATGGCAGCGATCGCTGTGGCTGCTGGGAGTACGACTGCTGAGTGTGGATGAGCGGCGCCTTCTGGCTTCGCGCCGTCCCATGCTGTGCGACCTGGGGCGCGGGTGTGCGTGCGCCAGACGTGACCTCGTGCGGACGGTGAGCGAGGTCCGAAGGATGAGCATGGGCGACTTTGCCGGCTGGGCTCTCGACGATTGTTGACCGCTTCGGTACCCGCGCGGTGGAGGACAATTTCCGATCCAGATGCACAGAGCGGAGACGATTGATGTCGCCGGAGTTCCGGTAGGGGTCCTCGTCGGGTTCGCGCGATTGACCTTGTCCTGGCAATGCAGCTGCGGGGAGGTCAGCGGAGAGCGCACCGGTGAAACGAGAAGCATACCGGGAGACAGAGGGACGACGCCTCGCTTCTTCAACAGCACATACAACCGCCGTAGGGCCACATTCAGCAAAAAGGCGTACTGCTCCAAGCGCGAAACGGCCTGGAACCCGGCACGGCAACCAGCATGCGCGTGTTCTGTGCAGAGGATGACGGTCGGCACGACGCCGAAAGACGTGGTCTCCTTCACCGACTCCACCTCATACGTGAAGGCGCCGACGTTCGCTGGCGGCCGCCGCGCAGTTGAAGCCTTGGGTTTGCCTTCCTTCTCCTGGCCGGCCTGCGAGCCGTCCTTATCCTTGTCCTCCAAGGCCTTTGGTTCTTTAACTGTTGGCATTGCCGCAGCCTTACCGCAAGTTTGGCAGGTGAGACAGTGAGAGTGCCACCGCTGGTACGTTCCTAGGCGCACGCAATCTTCTTCGACTGTCTGATTGCACTTGATGCACAGGTCCGATGGGGGGTGGACGACGGGGACTTTGGCGAGAAGCGGGTCCTTGGGTGCGGCGCTGAAAGGGCTTTCGCCAGCATTCTCCGGCGCAAGACTCTTGAAACCGTAGGTGACACCCTGGGTCCCAAGGTTGCCAGAATCGCTCTGCGGGATCAGCTCCCCATTCGCGCGCTTCATAATACGCCTTGCGGAAGGGTTGCTGCCCTGGATGGCGAGCATATGCAGCTTGTCCAGGAAGTTGGTGATCGCCTCGCGCACATCTTGCTCTCGCTCGAGCTTCAAGGCACCTGTGAGCGCGATACGGATGAGAATCTTGAGGTAGTGCGCCAGCCCAGTGACCAGGGCGAGCAGCTCCTGGGTCATGCCCATCCGCCGGGCGCCAGTCTCTTGCGTATGAGATAGAAGGGTGAAGAGATCCACGGTCTTTCGGCACAGCATTCTCGCCTCGCGAACGTGCGACATGCCTGACGTATTACCAAGACATTAGCGTGGAGGAACAAGAGAAAGGCAAACGCCTAACCTTTGAGTTTCAGCCGGGCGAAATGGTATTCCAGGTCGTCGATGGTTGCGAAGAGGACTTCGACATGCAAAATGAACCTCTCGGCCATCCGGATGGCGTCCAGGTATTGCCCATTGCTGACTTGCCTCAGCATATCAGAAATACACGCAGCGCTCGACTCCTCGAAGGAGGACAGTACGCTATCCCAAGTCAGGCGGACGCACATCAAGCATGTAAGGTAGCCGACTCACGTCCATATCCGATACACCTGCTGTTCCATCCGTATCTGCTTCTCTCGTAGAGATTGCGCCGTCTCCATGCGCTCCTCTTCGACATAAGGAGGCTCCGTCGGCTGGGTAGGCTCGCCATCCTCCGCCGGCGGTGGTAGGCTGGTAGGTCGACGACTGGAGACTTTGACATTCCAAAACTGTCGAAAACGACTATGAAGATCATCTCCTGTCAGGAGCTATACGCAACGTACCTTATTTATCATATAGCATTCCGGATGCCAACATTCGTCCCGCGAGTTCCGGTTGATTTCCACAAATTGCTTGAGAATGGCACTGTTGCAACCAGCGCATTTGGTTGCGTATCGTGTCGAATAATGGAAATGACAATATACGTCTCCCTCATGCTCGTAGTACGAGTCTTGCGGGCCGAAGAGTGTCGGACATATCGAGCATGTGAAATGCTCGACATGGAACTTCTTGTCTGCAATGCACGTTCGCTAACTGGCGCAAGGGTTCGAGAGACGGGAGTGCTTACTGCACGCCGTAATGTAGCTTCCGCGCAGCGCCATCCCACACTTCGCGCAAATCAGATTCAAGCGCCGAAAGTAGTCCCGTTCACATAGCGGGTGTTGCTTCCCATCTTGGCCGTCAATCGGGAAGAACTTCGAGGCCACGACGGTACCGCAGTCCTGTGCAGACGTCAGCAACCGGGGTCAAGCCAAAATTGGCTGACAAAGCCTTACCATACACTTGAAGCATTGGAGGTGGTATACAGCGCCAAGGGCCCGTACAAACGCGCCCTGCATTGCTTTGCCGCAAGCCGCACATGGTCTAGTCGAACCGCAAAGTTAGACACCGGAATTGATAATCATGGCAGCATGCCAAAGGGACAGGCAAGCTACAAGACCCCGGTCGACACGAATCAGAGTGGACATCACTAGACAGAACGAAGGAGCGTTCTGGCCCCGCCCACTGGTCAGGCCAAGAGCCAAGGCTGGTGATCTTGGCTCGCTGTACGTGATTCCAACTCATAGCCTCCGTGGATCTCATCGACGGCCAGAAACTAGGTCAAGAGTGTAAAAGGACTCACGTGGAAGCGACGCTCGTGCTGGTGTGCGTCGTCGTCGAGCCTCCTCCTAGCTGGCTCCCACCGGGCGTAGAAGATTCAGAACCTAGAGACGAGTCGGAGTGCATGCTCTGTCGGCGGCTCCGTGAGGATTCAGAGTGATCGGATGAAGATGGGGGGAGGGGGTGGTGATTGGAGCTGCTGCCAGGAGTGCCAGGGCGACTGGACGCCATGAAGGGAGGAGCGGGGGACTGAGAGAGAGCGCGGTCAGTGAACGAGGGATCATTCGAGGCCCAGGACGACGAGTGATTGAGGTCCTCGCTGCGGGCATGGGGTCGGTCGTCCGTCCGAGGCTGTCGCTGATCTAGGTCGTACGGGGTGCCAAGCGTAGCCGCCTTGACAGGTACGGGAGTGCGATCTGAAGCATAATGCTCAGGGCGGGGAGACGAGGACGAGAAGCCGTTTGCGTGAGCGGTGGGGGGAGGGTCGAGATCATGGTCTGAATCCGGGTCGGAAGCTATGGCCATGTAGGCGAGAGTCGCGGAGTCGCTGCTAGAGGACTGGGAGGAGATGGAGAGCTGCTGTTTCTGGTGGTCGGGCCCGCTCATGGCTGCGACGGCGCCGCTCTGGGATGGGTTGCGGGCTGAGTGCGGGCGTCGGGGGCGGGCGAGGGTGGCCAGAGGGTATTAGCAGACGGGAACCAGCTCACTCTCGACGTCGATGCTTTCGGATCACCAATTTCGCCTCCATCCAGCCGTGACTCTTACCCACGTGGCAGCGTGTCACACCGCTACGCTCCACCGGATCCTCTGTCTCAAGCAGCTGACCCGCACTTTCACTGCCATCGTCTTCCAAGAATGCACACAAATAGTACCCTTAAAGGGTCAACAATTGAACTCGAAGGCGGTTCGATGCGGAAGCAGTCGACTTTACACCCTAATACCCGTCTGGGCAGTGCTACTCGGGTTTCTACACTGGAATCGGTTGGAATGCCCGCAGACATGATAGATACAGCGCATGCCCTCACAGCATCCAGGAGACGTTCATTCTTATCACGCCTGGAACTCGTCGGCATTCAGGATCAGAGTTGTGAAAAATTTGATCTGTTCGTAGAACGCGTCGGCCACCAGGACTGCCAATCCTTCAGTCAGCACCCGAAGCGTCAATGTCCGTCTCTGACACTCACATTCGTTGATCGTGTGTACACCACTGGCGATCCCCGTGGTGTTTCCACCGTTGTGGTGGTTGTAGCGGTAGATGTGCGGCGTGAGTGCCCAGTAGTACCGAGTGTCTGTGCGGATTCAATTGTCGGGATCGCCGCGGGTCAGCCACGGTACTGTCATCTCCCGCTCTCGCTCGGAGTCACGCACCCGTGTTTCCTGACATGATGCCCGGGGCTACGACGATGTTCTCATCTCCCGTGAGGCTCCGGTGCGCGTTGTACGTGGCCTTGATCGTCCCGGACAGCAGCGCGTACTCGGGCGCGTCGATAGGGCTAATGGGGGCAGGCGCGAGCGCAGTGCCCCACGCGTCGCTGAGGGTAAGCGTGCCGTAAGCAGGCGCGCCCTCCTCGGTCTGTTGAGACCCAAACGCCGTGTACGACAGGTTGAATTGATGGGCGAGCTGCTTCAGGAGCTCCGTGTCGTGCGCCTGGACGTCGCCGACCGAGCTGCATCACCCAGTCAGATAGTTGCCGTAACGAGGGACGCGATGCGCAGAACGGACCTATCAGTAGCGATACGATGGTTGACGACAGCCCACGCAAGCTCGGGAAGCGCGTTCGTCTTGACGCCGCCGTTGATGAGGTCGATGGCTTGGGTCGTGCCGACGAGCGCGTGGAAGGATTTGCTCTTGAAAAGTTCCTTTTGAGCGGCCTTCAACGCCTTGTCAGACTTGACGGACTTCTTGAGCGCCTTGCGGAGCTCGCCAGGGAGGTCGGGCGCGTAGGCTGCGAGACATTGGGATTTCCAATATATGGGCGTACCCCGGGAGAGCTTGGCCTCGTAGGGGTTCTCCTCGTAATGCACGAGTAGCTGCGAGAGAATACCAATGGTCTATGGCCACGTCAGTCTAAGGCATCAACAAAGGAGAATAGTTAGGCTCACAGTGTGCTGAGGAGGCACGCTGGAGTGACCACCGGGCGAGGTAACCTCCACACGAACGTCAATGTAGCCCTTCTCAGCTATGCCAGGGGTGGCGATGACGCTGCCATACTCCTGAGCGAATCCTCCTATAACGGATGTGAATTATAGCTTCCTGCCTTTATCGCGACATGACGCTTACCACCCTCATCAACGAGCAGCAGGAACGAGTTTTCACCGTACGTCTCATGCAAGTACTTGCTGATGGCCGCAGCGCCCTGTAAATACGGATATCAGCCACCAGATGTTTCGGCACGTGACCTTCAGCGAGTGGGCAGTTGCTGCATCTACGCGGGTCAACGCTGATTCTCAATTGGGCTCAACCGAGCACCCGGTGAAGTAGATGCCGATACGAGGCGAGTCAAAGTGAAGACAGACAAACGTAATTCCAATCACTTACATGTAGACCGCTGGTTTCCTCGTCAAAGCCAAATGCAAGCACAACGCCCCGAGTTGGCTGGAAACCAGCCTCCAAGAGAGACTCGATCGAAGACCTGCAACACCGAGTAAGCGACGCGAAGCAGAGTTGAAGTGCAAAAAACCTACAGTATACCGATCAAGCCGCTTTTGTCGTCAGAACTTCCACGGCCCCAGATGCGCTCCCCTTTACGCGTTCGTCAGCTATACACTCAGGATTGACTGCTCAGGGCGTACGCGACTGACCATCAAAGTAGCCGGAGAAGGGGGGGTGAGTCCATTCATCCACAGTGTCAGGGTTGACAGGAACGACGTCTTGGTGAGCGGCCAGGAGGAGAGGCTTCAATGACGCATCGGAGCCCTTCCAGACGTAAACGAGACCCCACGTGTTGACCTTTGTGAGCTCGAGCGTTGAGTGACTACAATTTCAGTGTCAGACAACTCCGCAAGTGGCCCGGCTGGCCTCCACGAATATATGCCAAGGCGAAACACCCCCTAATCGGTGGTAAGATGCGGAATACACGCCGTAACTCCATGGCGTGCTGTACCATTGAGAAAGAGCGAGTCGTGATAGGCAAGCAGCTGATTTTCCATAGTCATAGAAGCGCACCCTTGGCCTGAACACAACAGATTTCGAGATGGCAACTCACATCAACGGGAACGACTTCAGCAAATAGTCATGGAAAGGACCAAATGCCTCCCAACGCTTGTCTTCGCCTACGGGCCCCATCTTATCGTATGACTGGGTCCTGCAACGAGCACATCACGGTCAGCTCAGTCCACGTTTCCCGACTCTGCTTTGGACGTCTGAACTCACGGTACACGGACGGCCCCACCAATCCATTCGACTGCACGCGCCTTGAACGCGTCCGAGTCGAAAGTCTTGCCCAGTGAGCTCCAAAGTTCCACGTTCTTCTTCGGAACGACAGCGGTCGCCTGGGGGCATTGCTCGTCGGCCTTCCATTCGCGTTCGTGCCCGAGGCGGTCTTTCATGCAGGCGGGCACAGGAGCAAGATCGAGCGCGTTCAAGCAAGCCCAGACAGACAAGCCGAGCAGGAGAGCCTTGACGACAACGAGCCCTGCGCGGCAGCTACCCTTCTTGCGCGGTGACGCATCCGACACGGTCGAAGGGAGAAGGGCCTCTTTCACGAAGTCGTCCTTGAGCGCCATGGTGGTCGTTGTGTGAGAAGGGAAGACGAGGAAACGCGAGTCAGAATGAGGTCACGGCAGCTCCGCGCTGACAACTGCGTTCTCGCGTATTTATTCCCGAAGGCCATGTGAACGGACAGATTGTGGCAAGAAAGTGACGAATTGGCACAACGCCTTCTATCCGGGAGACGGTTTAGCAGTCGTTCTGGTGCCTTTGCTCGATCATACGAGGGCGAGGGTAGAGGCTCGCTGTGCTGATAAGTCCGTAATATCCGAAGGGACGCTCAGTTCGAAGAGGTCTTCAAACCAGGGATGGGTCACAACTTCTCCTCCCGGACATTGGCACATAGTTGTGGTTTTGCGCAACGCATAATCCATGTCCAGGACGGATAATGTCGAAGAATTGGTCAGGAATTCAACAGTATGTATATCTTGAGGGGAGGGAGCGCTACACGCCGGCACGGGCCGTGGTCTCCGGGGTCCTCCGGGGTCGCTGCGTCTGCTTGGCGGTTCCAAAATTTGGACGGTGACCTTTCGAGAGCGCGTGCTGGCGGAGGTCGACATCCACTCATGGGCTATGCACAGCGCAAGGTCGCGAACACGGCTTCCAAGCTCGCCCATGTCTCCTCCTCACACCTAAGAGCTCTTCCTCCAAAACACTCCCTCCTCCCTGCTGGCAAGGCTGCTCCACCAGCCGTCTTCGACGCGCAGGCATGGGCCGCGTCCCAACCCCCTCCTCGGTCGACACTTGCGGCCTTCGCGCATAGGATAGGCCTCGGGAAGGTTGTGCCCTCAGTGGACGTCATCGAACAGGCCTGCACGCACCCGTCCTTCGTCCACCTGCACAACCAGCAACATCCCGACCAGCCCCTACCTGCCACCAATGCCTCCCTTGCGACCCTCGGCAACTCCCTCCTCGGCATGTTTGCAACCGAGTTCGTCAACTCATCCTACCCACACCTCCCAACCCGCGTCATGAAGGCCGCAGTCAGCGCACACGTCGGTCCGACGACCTGCGCGAACCTGGCGCGTGAGATGGGTGTCACGCCCATTCTGCGCTGGCATCGCACAGTAAGTGCTGTTTGCGTCGCGCCGTTCATCTCGCTCATTTATTGCGTGCAGCCTGCAAACTTGACGCAGGGCGCCGTGCTTCACATCGACGCGCTGGCATCCGTGCCGAGAGCGCTGACCGCCTTGGTATACCAGTACCGGTCATTGCGTTCCGCACGGAGATTCGTGGAGAAATTCTTCTTCAGCAGAGAGGTCGATTTGCGGAGCATGATGAAGTTCAGGGATCCGAAGCAGACATTGCTGGCGACGGTCCAGAAGTTTGGGAGGGAGCGCCCAATATCGAGGTATGTGTCCTTCTCCATGGCTCTCGCTGTGCTCGTGTTATTACACGATGTGTTTGTTGCGAAGTGGTGCTTGTCGTACTCTTTTTTATGTGGACAGCCCAGAGTGTTGCCCGCTTGTAAGCAAAGTGGACATGAGTTGAATTTTCATCCGTTCGCGCCATTCGACAAGACTGTGTCGTCCCTGGCTCCCTCAGGCTCGCTGATGTCGCGTCTCTGAGCGCGTCTGCCAAATCTAAAGGCTGCTGTTCTTTCTATTTGGGTTGCTGGGTGCTTGGACGGTCAGTGAATCTCGGGGAATGGGGCGCAAGCCCACCCTTGCGAAGTTGTTCCTAGGGTCTGCGTCGCCAGGAAAGGCAGGCTTGGGTGTTTTCCAACGAGTATCTGGCGGGAAGTCTGAGTATGAGAAGCTGACAATGGAAATCTAGATTACTCAAAGAGACTGGTCGACTGTCGAACTCGCCAGTCTTTGTAGTGGGCATCTTCTCCGGTGCTGATAAGCTTGGGGAAGGGTTTGGCAGCTCCCTGAAAATGGCGGAATATCGGGTGAGGGCGTCGCGATCTGTGACTTTTCGTACCAGGCAGCTCATGTACCATCTTCCTGTAGGCGGCGGAGGACTCATTGTTGAGACTCTACCTGACGCGACAGCCACCACACTTACTGCAGCTTCCGACATCGACATTCCCTGACGCGCCAGGGAACGTGTTCGAGGCGACCGGCGCTGAGAGCGCATACTCGCCCGTGTCGCTCGGCGACTCGGAGGTTCTATACGGCAGTGCTGGGCGGGCGGGCGTTCGTACGCCTGGAGCGCGCTCACGAGCTGCCGAGGCCGAGGACGATTTAGAGGACTACGTACTGTAATACAGACATGCTTAATGTTCCAGGACCACCTTGCACACCCCCGTCGCAACGCTGTCGTACATGATTTGCACAAGCTGCCGTTTCTCTTGCGAGGATATAGTGCGACCACGGTCGCAGGCTCACGGTGCGCGCTGTGGGTGCGCTCCTCATCACAGTATCTGTGTCGCAGTCGATGTCGAACCCGCGGGGATATGCCGTTCTATGGGCGCTGAATGTAGCACACCCCGCTCTAGTCGTGCTTCCTCATGGCGCGTGCAAGCTGGGATTACTTATGTTCGTTGGTGAACAGTGTGAGTATGTCAGATACAGCAGATTGCGTGTACATCTCCGTTGTTCGTGACAGCAATGGGTGCTTCGGTCGGACCGGGTGAGATGGCTATGTATGTACGGTGCGGATAGGTAGGGCGCGCATGCCGGGAGCGCCTTTCTCGTCTGCTTCTACGGCCAATGAAGTGCGCAGAACCCTCGCGCACCTGCCAATTGGGCATCGCCGGACGTGGGTGGCGGTGAGGGCGGTGGATTCGGGGGTGAGACAGCGCGCTGTCTCGATTCGCCCGCGCTGCACCGCACCCTTCCTGCGCGTTTCTCTCAATACCATCACCAGCAGCTTGTTGCTCCTGTCCCTCACACGCCCCACGGACGGCTCTACAACACGCCAGCTCAACGCGTTCTCTCCCAGTCCTCCGCTGCGGCACCGGACGCAGGTCCCACCCCGTGCTACATACGCTTATATCTGCCGCCTCTCTCACGCACGCTCACGACTGCCCGCTCGGGTCCCTCTCCTGTCCAGTCGCTGTGATTTTGATTTGTCTGGGGCCATAATCACACGTATACCCGCTTGCTTGCGCGTCCGTGACACCATGGCCGTCCTGTCGCTCCCGCTCACGTTCTCGAATTCGTTCTGGTCGGAGGATTACCGTAAAGGGTTGGAGGTCTTGTATGCCGAGCTGGAGAAGGTACGTGAAGCCTCCTTCTTGAAGTGACGAAACGTGTAGCTTATGGCGGCGTCGTGCTTGCAGGGGATTGCGGAGAATGCTGAAATCGCCCAGTTCATTCGCGTAAGTCTCATTCACCCAGACGTTTGCACCAGAGACGGCTGCGTTGGCGAGGTCGCGGATGCATAGTGCTCCTGTGTCTCGTGGTGCGGTATAGAAGATACCCTGCAAAGTCTAGACTGCCCGCGGCAGCGAGGTCATTCAAAGCGCAGACCTACGCTTGAACAGTATGTGGTGGGCCACAACGAGCGCATGATTGTGTCTAGCGGCCGGACTACACGACTCAGTGGCATGTACGCGTACATGTCCGTCAGGAGGCCACTGTCTCTGTACGCGCAGCCACTCAGACCATATGTCCGGTTTAGGTCGCCTCGCACAGTCCACCCCGCTGGACGGCACTTGGTGCATTCACCCATTCCACCGTATCTCTCGGCGCGGTGTCATGTTCCCCGTGTGCATCAACATTGCCATTAGCGCGTATAGCGTCATATTTTTGCATGGTGCTATTGCATCCCGGATGTTCACATTTCACTGCTATTCGTATATCTGTGGTGCTTGTTATTGATGTGTACTGACGCATTGTTTGTAGCAACGTGCTGCCGCAGAGCTGACGATTGGTGCAACTTTGAAGGCTGATCCGCCTGCTGGTACGTCTACAGTACTACAAAGGTCACCGGGTCCTCTAATCCACCTATTCACTAGGTTCCGTGTTCGAAGAGGATGATGGCGCGTCGTTGTTGATGGCCTTCAGGGGCATACGTGATGAGAGCGCGGCCCAGGGTACCCTTCACGAGAGTATAGCGAAGGAGTTGCAGACCAGCGTGATTGAGCCATTCGAGAAGTGGGCGGCCAGTCACAAGGTATGTCGGTCGCTGTTGGGGGCACGATTGACTACTTGACGCGTTTCCTCTAGGACCGCCTTCTCGCGAGCAAGGTGAACATGCTCGAGGGCTACATTCACAACTACGAAGTCGGTCTAGCTGAGGTATGTTGACCAAAATCACCATGCATGCATTCGAGTGCTCAGGCATGCTTCTAGGTTGCGAAACTCAAGAATGACTACCTCAATAAGACTCGTAAAGCGGACGAGGCCGAGGACGAGTACGTGTCTGTTCTTTTGGCAGAGTTCTAGACGCTGAGACTTCTCCAACAGCGCTCGGTTCGCCCCTATCACGCATCCCGTCGGTGACCAGTACACCACGTCGCCCAGATTGAAGCCTCTTGGCGCGAACCCTGTAGCTGTGCGCGCGCCACAGCGGCAAGCTACGATCTCCGAGCGCATCACCTCTCGCCTGAAGGAGTTCAGGCTGAATGCGTCAACCGGTTCCCCTCAACCGCCTCCCAAGCCAGAAGTGCACTTCGATGCGGATGAGGAAGAGCAGCACACGCCGAAGGTTGATAAAGGTAAGGGCCGCGCCAGCGACGTCGGCTCTGGAGTGAGCACGCCTCAACGCATGCTGTCGCCCCCGCCACTCGACCCGCCGATGCCCCCCGCCAAGGTGGCGCCGCCTCAGCTCGAGACGAACCCGGTGCCGCCGCCTCCGCTCCCCCCTTTGAACATCGCAGGCGTGCTGATGACGCCAGCTGAGGTCACCGCGATGTTGAAGAAGGCAAAGGAACAGCTGCCCCTGCGTCCCGTGCGCTTCCCGCTGCTCGGCGAGTACCAAGACTGCTTCTCGGGCGAGGAGTTCGCGAGCTGGCTCAACGACAACGTCAAGGCGTTCAACGGCAACCTCGACCACGCCGAGGTCGCGGCGCGCGTCCTCACCGAGAAGCACAACCTGCTTCGCCGTCTCGGCGAGCTCGGGAACGACTTCGAGAACGCCGACGACGCGTACTACCAGTTCCGCCCGCGCGCGTTCAGCCTCGACGCCCCGCCCGCCGCCGCGAACAACGGCAAGCTCTCCGCGGGCACCCCAGCCCAGGTCCTGACCCCGATCGAGCAGCGCTTGTCGCCGCTCGCGCAGAACGTCGTTAACCGGACCGGGGGCCTCGCTAGCCTCGTGTCGAAGGCGTTCGCAGGCAACGGCGAGCCGGCACACGTCCGTGCGCGCCGCGAGGCGGACAACGCGGACAAGGAGTACCGCGTCGCCGTGCGCAAGCTCGACCGGCAACGCCTGGGCCTCGAGGAGCGCATCGAGGAGACGCTCAAGATCCTGCAGAAGTGGGAGCTCGACCGGCTGCGCGCCGTCAAGACGGCGCTCACGCAGTACCAGGCGACGCTGGGCAAGCTCGCGGGCAACTACAAGAGCTCGAGCGAGAAGGTCGAGACGCTCGTCGCGGCGTACCAGCCTGAGCAGGACGTGAAGGTGCTGATCGAGCGGTACCGCACGGGGCCGTTCCGGCCTGTCGCGCAGGTGTACGAGTCGATCTCGCACGACGAGAGCGATGTCGTGTTCGGGATCGACTTGCGGCGGTGGGCGGACAGCGCGTATTGGAACGTGGCTAATCCTGCGGAGAGGAAGGAGGAGCTTCCGTCTGTGTTGCTCGCTCTCCTTGGTGCTCTCGAGGAGGCGTACGGCACGCTGCCCAACGATGGCGGTACGTGTGTCGCCTTCCGCTGTATACGTGTGGATGCTGACCGCCGGTGCAGAGAAGCGCAAGACGTGGATTTACGAAGTCCCGCTCCCAGCCGTGCACCACCTCCGCGAGACCCTCAACGCTGTGCCGCCGGAGGAGGACATCCCGCACGACTTGCTGCAGAAGTACGACGCGCCGGTGCTGGCGAGTGGTGTCAAGCTGTGGGCGCTCGAGCTCGACCCGCCGCTCTGCATGTACGAGGGCTGGGACGAGCTGCGTAAGCTGTACCCCACTGTCGGCAGCAACAAGAACGAGCTCAAGCCATCGGACGAGCAACATATTCAGGACGTCCAGAACGCGCTGCTCAAGCTGCCGAAGATTCATTTGTTCGTATTGGACGCTCTCATCAAGCACTTGAAGGAGTGAGTATTCAATTTTGCTTGCACGATCTTCGTGGACTGACCAAGCTTTTCGACAGTCTCATCAGGTCGACGTCGGAGTCTGAGACCGAGTCGAACGAGGTGTATGTCACCAAACTGGCATTGAGCATGGGTCGTAGTATGTTATCAATTCTTGCGAGCCTTGCCTCCTCCACTCACATGCCATCCTATAGCTATCCTCCGGCCCAAGCAGGAGACACAGTACTCTATCCAAGATCGCCACCCTACCTGTATGCGTTGTGTCCATTCCTTCGAGTACTCGTCTGACCGCTTTTACAGTGCTCTTCATGGATCTGGTCAACAAGTACGATGAAATCTTGCCTCCTGCCATCCTGAAAAAGAAGCGTGAATCCGACCGGAAGGTTCCTGTCCGTCGCCGTACCCGTCCTGTCGACATGCGCATGTCTCGCTCGCGCATCTCTGCCGGTGCAGACCTCAAGGAGCTCCATGTCCAGCAGCTTCAGCAGCGCGGAATCAAGGTCAACAAGAGTGCCGCTAGCGTCACGTCAGCCTCACCGCCTCCCTCCTCTACGGGCTCCCACCCTGTCTTACCACGTGTACCTGAGAGCCCGGCGCATTTTGTTGACGAACCTCAGGGCATCCATGACGAGCCTCTGAGCATCCACGATGAGCCACAATCCATCAATGCGGAGCCTGAGGAGCTTCCATCCATCCCGCCCCCGCCTCCGCCTCAGCCCGGCGACATCGTCTTGGATGACGCCAGAACCCCTCCCGACTTCAGCAGCATCCCCCCACCTCCGCCGCTGCCCAAGAACATCCCTCCCCCGCCTCCGCTCCCCACCCAAAGCGCGACGCCCCCTCCCCCGCCCCCAGGCGTCCCGACGTTCAAGGAGCCCCCTCCGGAGACCGACGACCTCCCGCCCCGCCCCCAGTTCAAGGAGCCCCCGCCCGAGCCGGAGTCTCCCCCGCCCGCGCGCCCCGCACACTTCGCCGAGCCGCCCGCCTCGCCCACGCTCGCCCCCGCGCCCCGCGCAGTCCCCGCCGCGCTCAGCCGCTCCGTCTCGCCCCGCATCACGACGCCCACGGGCTCGCGCAGCCCGTCGCCCACGAAGAGCGTGACGCCCACGAGCGCGTCCGGCCCCGGGTCCGCGTCGGGGATCGTGCGCGGCCCGCGCCTCACGCGCGGGCCCCGCCCGTCGAACGCGAGCGGGACCGGGACGGCGAGCGCGATGCACCGCCAGAGCCTCGCCGGGCGCCCGGGGTCGCCCGGGTCGCCGCCGGGCAGCGGCCAGGGCGTGTTCCCCGCGGGCAACGGGCAGAACGGTGGTGGCGGGGCGGGTCTGCGGAGGGCGGGCTCGGGGACGCGGTCGGTGAACGTGAACAAGCGGAGCAGCATCAGCAGGGTGTCGGAGCTCTCGCGGAGGACGATGGCGAGCGACGCGGAGGATGAGATCATTCAGTGAGGTCCGAGGTCGCCTTGGGTGCTGTTTGGACAGGTAGGCCCTGGCGGTCGCTGTGGCTATGGGTTTGGGCATGGAGAGCGATTTATCTACGGTGTTCGATCTTAGTTGTTGTGGCGGACTGTTGCAGATGTGCTTGATGAGTGCAAGTACGGGGCTGACTCCTGGTAGTCTGTGAAGCTACGGCTTTGGTTATGTTGACATTCACATATGCTCTTGACGATATCTATGTTATAACGTCCCATGACTTCCATTTTGCACAGAAGACCTGGTTCTCACGTATCGACATGACCCGGGGCACTGTCTATCCCCAGAGAGGCTGCTCAGACCAGCAGTAGCTGATGACTGTTTTGGTTTGCCAGAACGGATGTGCGTCGTGATTGCAAAAGAAAAGACCGCCTGTAGCGGGGACTTCCACCGCACGTCGCTAGAAGTCGACGCAGGGTCACACCAGCATTCGCAAACGTCCAAAGAAGCGAAACTGCCATGAATCATGGATCATAATACATGTCATGCAATACGAATTAAGAGGCACATACGACAAAGTGATACAGTGTACAAATCCTGACAGGATACGAGACAACCGAGAAGCAAAGACCAAACAAGACGAAAGAAGGCTCTTACACCTCTTGAGAGGCGCCCTCCTTCTTGCCCTTGTTGGATTTTGAGGGGAGGAGCTCAGGGTTGATGTGGGGGACGACACCACCCTGCGAGATGACAACATCACCGAGGAGCTTGTTCAACCTTGATGATGGGTGAGTTGGATGCGCAAAGACAACAGTCAGATCAATTGGACGTACTCCTCATCGTTACGGATGGCGAGCTGCAAGTGACGGGGGACGATACGCTGCTTCTTGTTATCACGAGCGGCGTTACCTGCAAGCTCGAGAATCTCGGCAGCAAGGTACTCAAGGACGGCAGCGAGGTAGACTGTGCAGAAGATGCATCGCATTGGATGTCAACCACATGATTTAAAACCTTAGATAAGAGGGAACGCACCAGGAGCACCTGCACCGACACGCTGTGCGTAGTTGCCCTTCTTCAAGAGACGGTGAACACGACCGACGGGGAATTGGAGACCGGCCTTCGCGGAACGGGACTGGGACTTGCCGGCCTCACCGCCAGCCTTGCCAGAGGAGGACTTGCCACTATGTATCGGTTGAATGTAAGTGAACGACGCGTCAGGTTGTTGTATGTGGATGCGTACGCCTTTCCCTTGCCAGACTGCGAAATCTAAGTCAGTATGCGCCGCAAAGCGAGTGCATTCGATGTATACGCACCATATTTGCTTGTTAGAGGTACGAGAGGGTAGATAGGGCGTGAGGATAGTGGTGGAAGAGGGGAGGGACGCGAGTTGAGGAAACGCGAAGCCGGCTGTGAGTTATATCGCAGGGGCCGATTGTAACTCCGCCCTGCGAGTAAACAAAGGTCGCGCGCGGGCCACGTGACAGACGCGTCTGGGGTTATGGGCGTCTGGTTTGGCGCTGAGAGGCGCCTCGAGGCTGATCGAACTCCGGAGAGAGTCTGGGCAGGTGCAGGTGGCTGTGGGGACCCAAGGAGGACTCGGGTTCCACTCCACGCCCTGCACGCAGGCTTCACTTCGAGGGCGACCTGGTCGTGCTGCTCGCCTGCAACGCAGAACACATCCCTATTAATACTGTGCCCGCTTCCTTCCTGCCATGTCTCTTCCCCCATACGTCCCCCGTCCTCCCGTCGCTCCTCCGGCGCCTCACATGAGTCCCGTAGCCCCGACCCACGACCAGGTGCGCCGTTCTCTTCTCTCGACCGAACTATGGCTGATCGCTTCCCTTATCTTCTGATAGGTGCCCGTGCTCTATGTTGTATGTCGTTTCTTTTATTCCAAACGTCTTGATGCCTCATTCCCTTGCCCCACATACAGATGGTCGTCTATGCTGTCGTCATCTTCGCCGCTTGGGTTATGCCTGGAGCCAGGATGATCATCACCCCCCTCAAACTGTTCACGATAGGATGGCATGAGCTGTGTCACATAACATTAGTGCGTCCACCCTGCTCCGCCTACTTCTCCCTGTCCTAGACCGACGTCTCCAGGCCGTCTTAACGGGAGGGTCCGTCATGAAAGTGTGCATAGACCCCGACGCAGGCGGGGCCACCATCGTCTCCGGCGGCCATCCCCCGACCATCCTCGCCGCAGGCTACGTCGGCTCGACCATCCTCGGCGGCCTCTTCATCATGGCCGGCTTTGACACCCTCGTCTCCAAGATCATGAGCTTCGTCATCGGCATCGGGCTCGTCGCGCCCTTGGCCCTCGTCCGCAACAAGCTGTACGTCCCTTTCCTCGCTTCCCTCGCGGTGCGGGGCCCCCCTCTGACAATCGATGCGTCTGTTCGCTTCCCTGGTCCTCCCCGCGCCTGCTGCCATGTGGGTTCGCGTCGCTTTTCATTGATCACGTGAACGGTGTTGCACTCGGCTGCGCGAAAGAACCATCCTGCTCACGGTCATCTGGGAGGGTCTCCTCATCGGGTTCTGGTTCATCGACCATGCGTGCGTGACTTTCTCGAATTTTGTTGCTCACAACAGCAGACGAGACGCATTATTCAGACAAGCATTACGATGGTACTGCTTGTTCATTGGTGTGATGAAGTACGTCATAGCCCGACTACCCTCCATTCAGTCACAGATAGCATTTTGACCGATGCACCTTCTCCCTTACAGCGCGCTGTACGTCGTCTGTGAGTCTTACCCAAACTCTATCCATGGAAGATCGCGCGTTGAAGCATGCGACCGAAGGGGACATCGCGGACGACAAGTACTTCCGCAAGGCCAACGACTCCGACGCGACCCAGTGGTCGATAATGTACCCCAAGACCCGCGCGCACGTCTGGGCCATCTTCTGGATAGCGTTCGAGGTCGCCGTCATCATCGGCTTCGTCCTCCTCGGCATCGCCGCGTTCAAGCGTACCCCAGACGAGATGGCCGCCGAGGCCGCGCAGTTCCTCCCGACATAGCCCCGGAAACCCCCCGTCCCTCTCTGGAAATGCCCCAAGCATCGTTCCGCATTCTCGTTGTCATTACTATCGCCCAGCAGCACACAAGCATCTGTTGCATATATACGCATCGTCCTCGTCGCTCTGCTCTGTATCCTTCTTTCCTCTGGTGTTCCGTTACTGTAGGTTATTGACCCGCGCCTGCGCCCCGCGCCCGGTCCTGCATTCTCCCCACTCACCCGCCCCGTCCACCCCAATGTAGCATCCCCCGCGCAGGACGTGTTGGGTTACTATCCCAAAACGCCCGCCACGTCCATGTCCCATCTCACGCCCAGCCCAACGTTATCTTCCGACCACGTTGCATATCTTCGTTCTACATATCTCACCACAAGTCCCAGCATTGCCCCCTCTCATACAGACCTGCGATACCGCCATATCTCCACATCAGCCGCATTTCCCTGACTTTTGCTGTCATCACGGATGGACAATATCTTTCTCCTCTCTTCAAGTGCTTGGTCTACTTACTGCGTTTCCTGCTAGAGACTCCGTCGCTTTTACAGCACTGCTTAACATCGTGCACCCACACGGTACAGCACACGTCTTTCTATGTGAACGTAGCCACGATGGGCGGAGAGGGCACTCGCGCTCGGTTCGCTCGTACCGTACTGCTGCTGTACCACCATCATCATTCTAAACGTGTGTATGACCTCAGACGTCTGCGGTGTCGGTGTGTGCTCCGACGAGAAGTCCGGCTAAATATGGTGGGTATTGTTCATGAATACAATCGGGGATATGGACGTCAGGACTCGATGCCGAGCCAGGTGGGGACGCGTCCTGCTGGGAGTCACGTATGGTTCCTGCTCCGCCGAAACGTCCACGCCGGTCGTATGAGGGCATGACGCAGATTAGCGAATAAATGATGCGGAGACCCAAAACAGATCGAGAGCGACGAGAGGGCGAAGGCGAGGCGCACAAGTGGATGTTGATGATATATATACAGTCCGTTTCGTCATTGTCATCGCGCCGTTCATGTTTATCGAGTCCGTGAGCGGTGATCATTGCGTTTGAGTTCAGCACGGTTAACAGCGACGGCATGTATGGTAAACAGAGCAGAGGTCAGGAGAGGCGCGGGCGTGCGATCATTTGCGGGATGCTCGCCGTATGACGGATGCGAGGACGAGTGTGCCGAGCGCTGCGACCCCTCCTACGATCGCCATGCCGATGTACCCATCTACAAGGGTGCAGGTAAGGAGGGACGTTGATATGTTGGTGGAGGACGGAGAGGCGTACCTCGCGTTACTCGGTTGTCGATGAGTCCCGCCAGGCTTTGCGCCTGGAGATTTGCGGGCTCCTTGTCGAGAAGCAAGGCTATGGCGATGAGGGATCGAGTGTAGGTGGGAGCGTCAAGAAACAGTTTGTGGAGCAGGCAGCAGAGGAGTCAGATGCGACGGTGCAGCGGAGGCAGGGAGGACGCACCGTTGAACCGCCGTGCTTCCTCGTAGTTGCCCATCTTATAGTGGCCGAGTGCAAGATAGTAGAGGCACTCCCTTCGCCGCGCGGGCTCAGCGCGATAAATTTCTACACAAAACGTTGCAATCAGGCACGTTCGCTCGAAAAAAACACAAAGGAGGTTGTGGCTGCTGCGCCTTAGCGCAGCTCAGCAGGAATGGCACATACCTTGCAGCAGCCTGACACCCTCGACCTGGTGTTCCCTCAGCGGACTCTTGACTAGTCCCCACGCATAGTTGAACTTCGTCTGAACAGTAACGTGCGATTGCGCGAGCTCCTTCTGGTACTGTAACCGGAGAACCTAATAACACAAGCGGCCACATAATGCGTTTCAGCGTTACAGGTGTTGATTATGTCCAGGTCCACCGCCGCGTGGTTAATGCTCACCTCGAGCTCGTCGTAGGATAGGGACTCTTCAGCGTCGGCAGCGTATGGAAGTTCTGTAGGCATGTTCGCATACGACGTCGGAACGTGAAGTCGAGAAGCAAATACGGGGACGGAGTGGACGTAGGACAATAGCTGAGAGGGACGCGAGAGGCTCCGGCAGCCCAATCGGGAAGGAACAGACGCCCATAACTGACGTTGCTGTGGCGGAGACACCCGATCGAGGCTTGGTTCCGCACCTCCGTCTCCGTCTTCCGAGTCTGCTGGGCTGTAGTTCTCAACTATCTCGCGCAGGCCGCCATGGTTTCGCGGACAACTGAAGCGCCTGAGTCCGACAGGGACGTCACGCTGCCTGAGCCTCAGTCCAACGTGCAGCCCGAGCCATACACGAAGCACTTCAAAGTAGGCCTTGCTTCTTCCCCGCGCGGATGTGCGATGTGTAGACTCACTGAACACCTTCTCACCCGCATTCAGAACAAGCAAGTCTCAAAGTTTGTGGAGTACGTTCTATGTCACCGCTCGAGTCAGGACGTCGCTCACCCCGCTGGCACACCGACGTGCTGATACTATTATTAGGCCGTGTGCGGATGCGTCCAAGGCGTCCATGGATTGTATGAATAAGCATGACTATGACCGAGACAAGTGCTTGGACTATTTCCAAGCGTACAGGGACTGCAAGAAAGCTTGGGTGAGTTGGACTATTAGATACTCTCCGAGATTATTTTTCTAACGCCTGTCTTCTAGATGGAACAGCGCAAAGCTGACCGTAGAGCCGGCAAGGTAGTAGCCTAGCCCTTTGCTAGTTAGTCACTGCTTCTACTGCTTGTCTGTGGCGCAAATGACCTACTTCAAATACTCTCCATCTAGTATGGTCTTCTGTGCTATACTCAAAACGCGTGCTTTCTGGTGCCCTCCCACAGCTCTGCTTCCGGCATGTCTGACCAACTAAACTGGCTAGGGGCTGTAGCCACTTCATGGCATGTCATACGATCCAGTGTCTTCCCCTCAACTCTACGTTCACACTAGCAGCCGTCGTTCCCGATGACCGACCGAATGTAAGGTAAGTTTGTGAACCTTGCCCTTCTCCTCCGCATAGCCAGGTGCTCTCTCGCTGCTATCCGGTTTCCATTCATGATTTAATTTGCCTCTTCCCCGGTGCAATCTACCTGCATGCGCTGAGTCGCGCAAACGCTAGCCTGAGAGCACATGTCTAGGAACCAAATTGTCCAAGAAAGGTGACGGAAATATGTGAAACATATGTGTCAAAGAGACACGCAATCGTCCTGCATACCCCTCCCGAGAGTATACCTATCTCAGCCCTTGCTTCCCTTCACTCTTTCTGCTCCACCCAGTTGAGAGGTCCGAAACCCCTCGGGCCTAGGGCATGATCCAGCACCTTCATCATTTCAATGACTTTCTCGTCCTCCCACCTTCGCCCTACCACCTGCACGCCGACCGGCATGCCTGCCATCTTCTCGGCGTTGTATAGCCCACCGGTGCCGTGCCCGACGGCCCTATCGAGCGTGCCGTACAGCAGCCGCTCGAGAAGGGGCGAGCCGTGCCCAGGGCCGACCTTGGGGTTCGTCCATTCGGCGGTCGCAATGTCGGTCGTGCGGACGCGCGTGACGGGGACCACACCAACGGGGAGGTTCAAGACGTTGTAATGGCAAACCCCGGCGGCGATGGGGGAGACATACTTGCATGCCCTTCGCAATACCGCGTAGTCAGTATACCCGAAGTGGACGGTAGAACACGATGGGCCGTTCTCTCACCCGTGGGGCACTGCAGGCAATGCGATCACAGGAGCAATGATGCCGTCTAAGTTATGCTTCTCCCACACCTTTGGAGATAGTGTCAGCCATGAGCGCCGTCGGCGGGCGTACCGGGAGATGCCCCCCAAGTAGCGGGACGCACCTGCTTCTCGAACATACGCGCATACGCATTCCGTCGAACCACCGACTTGTGGTACTCTTGCACGGTTGTGTAACCCGTCCCGCGCGTGGTCCTGACAAACACGATGTCGCCTAAGATACATTTTGCAACCCATGCAATGATCATGCGCGCAATTTCTGTGGTAATTTCATGTCCCGCCGTCAGTCAGACAGCATGACGGGAAGGCAGGTGGCACGGACTTGGCAGCGAAGCGCTCAATATCGTTGTGGATATCCCCGGTTCCTAACATAGTTTGAATGTGAATACTATCGCGGGGCCGGGGAAACTGGATGCAGGGAACTCACCATCGGATCACCGTTGAGGGGTTCCTGCATCGTCCTGAGACCGTCGGCGGTTGTGATAGACATGTATATCTCCATTGCTTCTGCCGCTGTGGAAGACGTCAGAACTGCAGCCACACCAGTAAACGCGCAGTCGATGAATGCGTACCTTGTGGAAACTCGAATTCGACGCATTCATGCCCAGCCTTGCGGAGCGCCTCCACTGCCTTGAGCACGGCACGTTGGCAAGCGGGTGAAGCCTTCACGTAGCCATCTGAGACAAACCATTCACGTTAGTGATTTATGAGACTCGGTACAACTTGGTTCAGTAGTTCGTCGACAATTGCAGCCGTGGTAAGGCACGTTGACTGACTTATTGAACTCAACCGACGGCAGGGACCACATACACGAGGACAAGAAAGACGCACCGGACAAGTAATACCCGAGACGCAACTTTGCAGGAAGCCGGACGTCCCGGTACGACAGCGGGGCAGGGTCGAACTCCGCACCTTGTATCCCGAAGACCAGGCGCGCAGCGAGCTCAAGATCTTCCACGGAGCTGCTCCGTATGAAACGGGTTCACGATGCCCACGTGAGTGTCACGCACGAATATCAACAGGGACGCGGACGGGAGAAGAATGATGCCTCTTAGTATCTGCAAGGTTATCTGACAGTTGAGGGCGCTCCGTGCGGACTCACCGAGCCATTGGCCCCAGTGTAGAGCGGACACCTTCGATGCCAGGGTAGGTATCTGCGGAGCGGAGGTGTCAGCGCATGCACTTCCAACGAGCGCCGACGGCGAAGACGCCACAATGGAGAAGCACGCTCGGGTTCCGGGATGGTCGGGAATGCGTACCCTGTGTCCCGGTCATACTGATGCGACTCCAGCCGGGTTTGAGGGAATAGATACCGCACATTGACGCAGGAATCCTAGCGAGACGATCTAACGTCAGTCCTTGGCTGAATGGTTTCTGTTGAACACTACCGGAGGCTTCCGCGGATGTACTGACCTCAGTGAACCACCGATGTCGGAACCCCACCCGAGAGCGGAGCCGTCCATAGCGAGTAACGCAGCTTCGCCGCCGCTGGAGCCACCGGACGAATATGATTTGCTGTATGGATTCAAGGAACGTCCCCAGACAGGGTTTGCGCACTCAAAGAAGAACATCATTTGGGATAAGTTGGTCTTAGCAATAGGGATTCCTCCTGCCGCTCGAACCATCGCAACGACCTATCCCCAAGAAGCAACTAGTAAGGACCATGATGTCAAGGAACATACCGAATGTCGGAGGATGCACATGCTCTCACGACGAAAGAGGAGGATCGGCGAGGACCATTCATTTCGGCGAAACTCCACTCACATGCGCGTCCTCAGACGCGGGCTTGTCGGCATAGGACGAGTAGCCCATGGTGGTATCGTAGCCTTTGACGTCGACTTGTTTAGAAGAAAGGAAGAACACGCGTTAGTTGCAATGTGCAAGTGCAACCCAGGCAAATGACCAACAGATATCCTTGAAGCTCACGGGAACCCCGTGCAGAGGGCCCCGTATCTTGCCCGTTAATGTGAACTCTTCGTCTAGCGCCGTCGCTTCTGCGCGAGCCTGCGAGAAGAAGACTAGAGCGAACGTGGGGGGTTGAGCATGAGCATGGCTGTTTCGCCTTGGAATACGCAGAATGTATACAAACCCTCTGTCAGGCAGTTTGTCAAGCCTTGAGCTAAGACCGCTCGAGCGAGGTAGGCTTCGAGGACCTGAGACGCCGTCCATTCGCCCTGAGAGATGCGCTGGACAATCTCGGATGCTAGATGCGATGTCAGTTAGACGCTCTAGAGACAACAAGGTTAACGTTAACCTTACCGGTTGCACGTATGTATTGCTCCGTAGCGTCAGCGAAGGCTTCACCCCTGACCGCGGCGAGGGCTTCGGCCCGGGCAGCCTGCTTCCGCCTGGAAACTTGCTCGTAAACTGGTGAGAAGGGCCACATCTGCCAGTGGAGGAACCAAGGTTGAACAAGCTTCAAGGGATCGCTCATGCCAGCGCAGCCTCAATTTATACTCTCCCGGGCCCGCACGTCATTGATTGGGGTACTCGGTCCATGGACATCAAGATCGCACGCGCAACGGAACAGCTAGTACGCGAGATGACAATGCTCTCGAGCCAATATTTGACGACCCTGAGACACATACTCGCCAAGGCAGCACATACTGTCAATGAGTGCATTCCGCTGAAAACACGTGGCAACCACAAGGAAGAAGCTCCAGAGTCAGGGAGAAACCGATCTCGAGGGATGCACTCATGTGGGACGCAGGGGCTTTGGAAGGCTTTCATCTCGGCGCACCCCAGCCTGTGGCCACATGCCGACGCCGGACTTGGTTCTGTTTCGTTGAGGCTAGCTTGAGTGGGAAATCGCTGATGCTTCAGGAGACAACGTGCCGCGATCAATCACCACCATCCAATCAGCTTGTCAGCTCGTTCGAGAGGCGAGTCCGATGAAAACCCTCCGCGGATGCTCCATGTTGCCAACGCGCACGCCGATAGCGCACGAGCAGACGTTGTAGCCGGCTAGCCGCTCGCCCCTGCAAATGCTGTAGAAGGTGAGACTACCAGCTAGGGTTTCCCAAAAATGTTTCACACAAGCCCAAGGCCGCTAAGGCCTTCTCGTCGCATTGAACCCCCCATCTGAGCGCCGGCACATGACCGAGCTGTAGTCGGCCGTGAAACAATTTCGCCTCCACGCCTGGTCGCGGCCCGAATGGAGTCCCAAGTCTAGACTAACCAGTCTTTGCATATGAGACACTTGTGTGTTCCATCGGGCGAGTCTAGGAATTTTCTGTCGATCGTGCGTGCGGAGTTGCCCCTGGTCGGCAGTCGATCGCCTGGCCGCTCATATTCGTCGATCACGGCAGCCCTGCTGTCGGGTTGATATGTGAACTTGCATCCATAGGCACCCACAGGCACCCCTTCCGTTCTGCAGCCCTGGCCACATGAGAATTGGGAGCTCTTCGCTGGCATAATGACCGCGCACTACATGATTACCATGTGAGATATACAGAGAAAAGAGGGAAACCAGCGCATACGTATGAGCGGATCCAGCAGCAACAAGGGAGAGTTAGTACAGCAATTATAAACGTATAGGATAGCAAACATCCCGGGCCAAATAGAATGTCGTAGTGTCGAGTCGGATGTACAGTAGTCGTCTACCAAGGGCATCAGGTATCAGACAAGGCTATGAGGGTAGCAAAAACGGCCCCGTGACTCACCGCGCTCCTGCTATGCAGGCTAAGCTCATCGACCTTGTTTCTCCCAGGCCAGGGGTCCGAACGGCCTGGGTCCTAAGGCCCGGTCGACAACCTTCATCATCTCGATGACCTTCTCCTCTTCCCACTTTTTGCCGACGATCTGAATGCCCACGGGGATGCCCGCCATCTTCTCTGCGTCGTAGAAGCCGCCCCTCCCGATCCCGTGTTCGTCCGGTTTCCCATACAGAAGCTTCTCGACCACAGGCGACCCGTGTCCGGCCCCGATGTGTGGGTTCGTCCACTCGGTCGTCGCGGCATCCGACAGGCGGACGTGCGTGACGGGGATGACGCCAACGGGGCTGTCAACCGTGTTGTAAAGGAGCGTGGAGGCCGCGAGAGCGGAGAGGAACTTGCAGGAACTGTGGACGGCGTGGTGAATGTCACGATGCGGCGGGCGGAGACATGATGGACACCTACTCGTGGGGCAATGCCGGCAGCGCCAGCACAGGCGCCAAAAGGCCGTCAAACCCATGCCCATCCCAGACCTGATGCAGGAGCCACGTAAGTGAGCATGACATGGATATGGTGCGATGAGGCAGAGTACGGACCTCACGGTAGAACATGCGGGAGTAGTCGTCTCGTTGCCGAACCCAGTTGTGGAATTCCTGCACGGACTTGCAGGACGCTGCGCGCACGGTGCCGGACAGTTTGTCGTCCTTGAATAGTTTCCCTATCATCCAGGCCATGCTATTCCGCACCCAGCCTGAGGCGGAAGGGAAACGGGATAGGATGAGTACCGGAGATATCGTCCGGCCGGGACGTCAGCACGAGTGACGCACCATACAGCCACGGACCAAGCAGGAGGGATGACACGCCAGGTTCCTGGAATCATGTTCAGTCAGCTGGGGCTCAAGGTCTGATAGCGGTACCGGGCAATGTATCTACTTACAACTGGATCGTTCCCAAGCTCTGCAGCGAGGGTCTTGTAGCCATCTGCTGCCGTGAGGCCTATGAAGATCTCCATGGCTCGGGGTGCTGTAGAGCGCCTAGGTCAAAGCCGCGCCTGGCGCACGAGGACGAGAAGAGACAAACCTTGTGGCACTGTGAATTCGATGCATTCGTGGCCTGCGCGACGCAGCGCTTCAACCGCTTCGAGCACCGCCCGCTGGTTCGCGGGGGACGGCTTGACGAAGTTGTCTGTACCTCCGACATCAGCCCCTCACGCTCCGTCATTCATTTCCGACAGGCCACAAAAATATCAGGTGAAAGTTTGGCTGGAAGCATGTTTCCGGCTGCACTCAGAGGTCGCGAGGCGCATTCTATCCAAAATAGCGCCAGACCGCGGGATTGAGCCCCGCGAGGGGCCTACTCCGAGGATGGGAACCGCCGGCCTGTTAGGACCACGAAAGCGAGAAGCGCAAGCATAGAAGACGAGACCTCCGAGTGGAACGGGAAACGAAGGCGGAGAAAGCGATAGCAGGAAGCTGCCGGCCACGCACCTGAGATGTAGAACCCAAAGCGCAGCTTCTGCGGCATGTCCGGCTCTCGATACGGTACTGGCGCGGGGTCGTACTCGGTACCCAGTTTGCCGAAGACGAGGCGTGCGCCAAGCTCGACGTCCTCCACGGATCTGCCGTGAGAACGAATGCGTCGTGGTTGGTCATTTGCAGTGGCGTCCGTATGTGAGTTGAGAGCGCAGCAGATTTCCGATGTGATCCCGCGGCACCATCGCAGAGCGCAGCGTGTCGATAAGAAACGTGGTGGCATGCCCATTGTGTCATAGGCGAGCAAGGTTTCCATTATGTCCGCGGCGATCAGAGAAGGGAGTCTTATTGGATGGGCTGCCGCGTGCAGTGGCAGCATTGGCACTCACCTTCCCATTGGCCCTGCCACAGTGCGGATCGCCTCGAACCCGGGCCATGTACCTGCGTGCGAACAAACATGAGCGTCCCATGCATACCACCAGGCTAATCGGCGACGGGAGCGTCCTCGGAGACAAACATAACTCTGACACATATGGCGTTGGAAAGACGCGTACCGATTGCACCGGCCGTGCTGATTCTCCCCCAGCCAGGCTTCAGCGAGTAGATACCGCAAAATGACGCAGGGATCCTATCGGAACAGAGCGTTAATATGTCAGCATCAATGTTTGGAGCTGCTTTGACAAGGCATGTGAACTATCCAGAGGATGTTGTGCTGACCGACCTTAGAGAGCCACCAATGTCGGTTCCCCAGCCGAGAGCAGCACCATCCATGCCGAGAAGAGCGGCTTCGCCACCGCTAGTCCCTCCGCACGTATACGAGCGGGAATAAGGATTGAGGGTACGACCCCATACGGGGTTAGTGCACTCGAAGAAGAAAACTAGCTGCGCCACATTGGTCTTCGCGATGGGGATGCCACCCGCCTGACGGACGAGAGCCACAACCTAGGTACGAAAAGGTGAAGTTCGGTGAGTGACGGGCAATAGAAGACATATGGCGACGGGTCGAAAAACAATAGATGGCAGTCGTCCATTACATCAGGCACCGATGATCAATTCCATTAGCCTGTGGGCACTGGCGCCCATCAATAAATGAGAGCGGCAGGGATCGCAGCGTCAAGAAAGACGCTAGAACCGCATACCGACCGCCTACAGGCTGCGGGCGAACCGCTCATATACAGACAAAGGTCCTTAGACGCACCTGTGCATCCTCAAAGCAGGGCCTGTGAGCCCGTGTCGAGAAGCCCATGGTAGTGTCGTATCCCTTGACGTCGACTTCACGAGAGGCAGGTTTCAGCACGTAGAATTCAAGACACGGGTGTAAGCAGTCACTGACAGACATCCTTGAAGCTCACAGGGACTCCATGGAGCGGGCCGCGAATCTTTCCCGTTGAGGCAAACTCAGCATCAAGCGCTTTTGCCTGTGCACGCGCCTCGCGGAAGAACACTAGAAGTCGGCACCCATTCAAGGATGTCAGCAAATTTCTCAGTCGAGCAGGGAAGAGATATGAGGATTGCAGACCTTCGGTTAGGCAGTTGGTCAGGTCCTGCGAGAGAAGCGCGCGCGAGATGTAGGCTTCGAGCACCTCGGACGCGGTCCACTCGCCCTTAGAGATACGCTCGACAATCTCCTTCGCTTTAGGTTGGAAGAAGTCGAAGGTGAGCGATGCGTTCCCGCGAACGTTGATAGAAGACAGAAACAGACCTGTCGCGCGTAAGATACTCTCTTCTATTCCCTCAGGAACGAAAGATCGTGTACGCGCTGCACGCAGAGCCTCTTGGCGCACTAGGAGCTTCCTGCGTGAAACTTCGATGTACGCCGAAGTGGAGAAGGGCCACATTGCTGAGATGGCTCGAGGAGGGGTTGAGTAGGGGATAAGAGTAGATGAACGGGCGCCGGCGCAGTTAGGTGACTACTGTCGATGTTTATATGTAGTCGCGTAAACGGGCGTCCTAAATGCAGCTAGCGGGAGGTCCGCGGAGCGAGCGAGTGGGGGGGAGAGGTAGGATGGATCCCAGTTCCCACTCGAAATCCCCTCCTCAGTGCGTGGCTGCGGTCGGGGATCGGCGGGAAATGCATCCTTGACAGTCCCCCGCTAGAACGGGAATGTTTCGAAGATGGCTTCGTGTGGCGTTGAGCAAGTGGCAGAGAGTAGCCTGAGAAGCCCGCGAGCGTGCCGTCACCATCGTCTGTCTGCTAGCTGCCAACGATCCTGACCGGACGCGGGCGATGCTCAGATGCGAGGGCCGGCTCGGTTGCAGACAGTGAGATGCGAAAGTTGCGGAGCGGGCGGTGTACTATCGTTCATGCGAAGTGAAACATTCACGCGCGGACAGGGGCATGCAACCTGTTGCATTTGGGTTTTCCCGCCTCCCCGCACGAATCACTGATTCGCCTGTCTCGTACTCGCGTCCGGTCCGGCAGGATCAATCTGGAAAGCCCGGTCGTCAGAAATGGAAAATGTATAGCACACGGAGGGAAGTCGACGGACCGCTTTCGCAAGCGGGATCGAGCCGTGATAGGCCGGTACTGCCGTGAGTTGCCCCAGTCCGGGAGAGAAGGGGTCAGACGCGGTGGGATGTGGTAAACCGCGACCAGATCGGTCGCATCGCCTGCTCAGAGCGCATGCCCGCACGATCCCAACGGTCGCATGACGATACGTAGGCACGTACGCCTGCGCCATCGGGAGGAGATAGAGTAAGAGCCAGGCAGGTAGAAGGGACAGAAGGCCATCGGACATAGGTCGGCGGACAGCCTGCTGACATGACGTTACCCCTGCCTTGGTGGCAAACTGCGAGCCAATCGCATTCCGAACATGCTATTGGTTGGCCCTAGAAGCGCTGTGCGAGACTGACTCGAGTGATTAAACCATGTCGAGAAGCTTCTCGCTGCCTGGCGCAACATGCGAACCTCATGAGCGCAATGGCTTCCTCACGACCCTTCTGCGCCGCTTTCCAGACGCACCTGTGACCCAACGAATTCACGCTCGTCTTGACGGAGCGCCAGTCACGCGCAAGCAGGACAAGTCGTAATCACGCAATCAGCGTCTTCACCCGAAGCTACGCGAGCAACGTCCTTCCCATGGCAAACAAGAGACCGAGCGTTGTATACGGTCGTGGCTCGTGTGCACAAGGTGACGGGGTTCGTGCACCGTCAAGCTTCAAGGCTGACAACATGTGCACCCAAAGCCATAATGTTCAGCAACGATGTAATAGCAACATAGAGCAATACACAGACCCCGGTGGTACACCCACATCTCGTCCTTACGCAACGAATCGCAAGCTTGAGTAGCCGGTCATCGACGCTAGTCTCCTTTCAGCAATGCTCGATCAACTTTTAGTCCTGGGGAAGGGGCGGAGGCGCGTCGGGCTGCGGGGCGAAGATCAGATTCAGCGGCGGGGTCGTGTTCGCGTCATCGCTCAGAAGCGTCGCGATGATACTCCTCCCAGCGAAGCTTCGTCCCGCCAAAGCCTTGAGCGCGTTGGCGGCGCTCCGTGGAGAGGCGTACTTGACGTACACGCGACCGACACCTGCAGCCTCGTCGGCACGCTGCTGGGCCAATGCACTGTCGCGCCCGCCCTCGCCCCACTTAGCCTTGTCTTTCTTGACCGGGCGAGGTATACGCAGGTCCTCGACCTCGCCGTATTTGCCGCACTCCTCTTTGACGTCCTCGAGAATGTCCGCGTATTCCTGGTCATCTTGCAACTCCTCGGGGACAACCATGTTGAGCATGAGGAGGATGCGGTCCTGTGATTCGCTCAGGTCGCCGACGGGCAGGATCGGTTTGGGAATCTCGGGGTTCAGGTCGTACATTCCCGGGATAGGTGACTGGCCCGGCTTTGCACCGACTGATGCGCGTTGCACAACCAGGTACTTGTCACCCAGTTCCATGCCGCTCAGCGATTGGATGGCGACGTCAGTGACGCTAGGGTCGACGTATTCGAAGAACGCAAAGCCCTGTGGAGCAATAGATTCGACGGAGTCAGTGCCTGAGAACGAACGAATTCGACAAGGCAAGATTGGGAACACACCTTTGAGGGACCATTCCCATTTTCTCTCACAAGGTTGAACGCCTTGAGCTCGCCGAAGCTGCTGAGCAATTCCATCACCTGTTCCTCGTTGAGATATGTCGGCAGCCCGCCCACAAATATCTTGTTCGCAGAGTCCGGGACGTTGGTCGACACGACACCAGGCACATGCATGTTGGGCGCTATGACGTCTGGTCCACCGTAATCCTTCGGACGACGGATTTTGAGTGGGCCATTGAGGAAGATGATTCCATCGAATGCCATTGCCGCGGTCGCATCTTCAGCACTACGGAACTGATACGGGATGTTTAGCGAGACGGTGTGAGAGACGCAATATTTCCACGATGCATACCTCGACAAATGCATAATTCTTCTCGTAATTGCATTGAACAGCTAAGACCGGGTTGCCCGGAGCGCCGGTTCCCAGGTTCATCTCCTTCATCTTCGAGTTGAAGAAGTCCGTCAGGTTCTGTTCGTTGATGTCTGGGGTGATGCTGCCGATATACAAGCGACGGGACTGCCTCGATAGGTTGGGGTTGACACCAGTGCCCATACCGAAGGTCGATACAGGCATGGGGGGAGGAAGCCCTGGAATGGCGAGAATGGGGGGTATCTGCGTGCGGTTTGCACCCGGCAGATTGAATAGACCTACAAACCGCGGAGAACGAGGTCAGCATGCTCTGGAGAATGTTATTGGCCACTCCTTTGTCGGTCCAATAGCAAGCCTACTCGAGACGAACGGCCAATGGCCGCATGCAGAGGGTTACGACAATACTACGGCCTCGTGCCTACCCTGGGGAAGGTCAACGAATCGCATGCTGTCGCGCACCCTTCTTCGAAGCCGTGAAGAAAGTCGGCTTCGAAGAAAATCGGTAAGGGTGATGGGGTAACTGCAGCATGATTGGACGGACACCACAGATTGCCTCGGGCTCATCCAATCTAGGATAGAGTGCCAGATAAGCCAGTCCGCCACCTAAATGCGGAGATCTGATGACTTTCACCTCCGTGAACCGTACCCCCGCTCCCATTGGACCGTAGTTTAAAACCACGCGGGTAATTGACACCTTTACTCACCTGTTTGCTTCGCTTGCATAGCGGTATACTGTTCGTACCCAGGAGCGTGTACGTCCCACCCACTCGCCTTCCTCTTCCTCTGCGACAGAGGCGCCGCGTCCGGCGGCGTCGGAGACCTCCTCTCAGGTGTCCCCAACCCTTCCCGGTGTTTTCCTCTCCCCCGACGATCGCCTCTCTCGTCATCGCCGCCGCCACGGGGAGGCCTGCGATGGCCACCATGCTCCTCCTCTCCTCCGCCTCGGCGTTCGCGCCTGCGGTCGTCGTCGCCACGATGACGTCGTGAGTACTCCTCGTAGTCCTCGCGGCCACCACGCGCCCCGAAGCGTTCACGATCACGGTCTCTGTCGCGCGGCTCGCGGTCCCTGTCCCGCTCTCCGTGCCGGCGAGATTCATAGCGCTCACGGTCGCGTTCTCTATCGCGTTCTCCGCGGTCTCCTCGCTCCCTGCCGTGCTCACGGTCGTCTCGGTGCCTGCGCTCGCGGTCCCGGTCGTAGTCGCGGGAAGCATGGTGACGTTCGCCGCCAAATCGCTCTGCTGGAGTATAAGTAACGTGTGAGTAAGGTGCAGCTGCTCAGAATCTGGGCCTGTCAGTAACCAAAACGTGGAGGTTGGCCAGGAAATGTCTTTCAGCGTGGAATCGTGCGCAACGAGAAACACAGCACGAACATCCCGGGACTGGAGACGAGGAGCGAGCTAGCTGTAAAAGCTGTAAAAAGAAGCCTGTGTACGGGGCGTGCATGGGCTACACTGCGTCTGCCTGTATGCTCGAGTCTGTGCTAGAAAAACCAGGATGATGTGGCCGGGAGTTGCGCCTCTCGTCGACTCGCGCTGTCATCCCTGCCTCCAGAATGGAATGGGAAGGACGAAAAACGAGAAGAGTAAATGTACTCACCAGTCTCTTCGCCCGCTGTCGCCATGTTTTGCAATGAGGTCGGGGTCGTGGTTGGAAGGAACAAGGTCGGACTCCGCGCGTCTGTCGCTGCGTGTGGGAATGGGGTATCACTGCCCTAAATATTTCTTATCGTTCATAAATAATCTACATCGTGCTCCTCGTCCTTCGGTTGAGACGAGTTCGATTCATATCGCAGCATTCGTATGCATGGCGACAGAGGAGGTATTACGAATAAGGTGCAAATGTTATTCCTCCCCCTGAGGGTGGGCCTTTAACTCGCTACTGAGGCCCATAGACGTCGCAATCGGATTGGGCCAACGTCGCTAAACATGGATCAGCTTACTTCAAGCAACACAGCGCCCGCTAATAGTCTCCATCCACACCAGATCAAGCTTGAACTGTCCAAGCTTAGGGGGCTCCTTCCAAGCCAGAGCATGATCGTGGACCAATCCCTCGATGTCGCCAACTCTTGCGCGAAGTCCTGCACTAGGCTACTACTAGTATGACCCCAGAAGCTACGACCCATAACGTATTTCATGGTTATCTCCCTCCCTTCCTCTCTCATACATTTCAGACTTCGCACACTTCATTTGCATCCTGGACAGTACATACGTGTGAAATATGGAGAAAATCGGTGGAGGTTTGCATTGAGCATCGCGGAATTACACGTCTGACCCCAGAAGCTACGGAAAGGCGCCCATAGATTGTCATGGATGGTCACAATGCCGAAGACTGCCGATTTAAACACCGCTGTTATCAGTCGTTTGATAGCGAAGTTGGCCGGGGCAACATTGTCGAAGCGCTCCGATTGAAAGTCAGCTTTATCTCGGTCAGTGGCTGAATGTCACGCTCGAGAGACCTCTTCCTATCTTTCGAATACTGCAACCCGGAACCCATCGGAGACTGAACAATAAAGTTTATTGAGAATTTTCAGAACACTTTGCGAAGTTACAGAAAGATCGGCGCTGCAGATCTTTTTGTGGCAGCTCACCAAGGTCAGCAAACCCCTGAAACCCTGCTGAGATTGACTTGTATCGGGAGCAAATCCCTTCCGATTTCCTTCGTTCTTTTAGACAATGATAGTTTGGAAGTACGTCTTTTCGCGTGTAACCTGTGCACACTTTTTGACAGGGAAATGCGAGAACTGGAGGCGTGTCAGTAGCTTCTGGGGTCAGGCGCTTAATCCGTAGCTTCTGGGGTCACACTATGGTGCAGTTCACTTAGAGACCACCACTTTTGTACGCAGTTAAGCGCCGCTTCGTAACTTCATCAGATTGTCACGAAACACTTCCGTTATTTGCCATTTGCAAGGATTTGAATAGGGGAACTAATCCCCAAAAGCGATTCTCAATTGGGTCAAAACTGGCGAAGGTGACCTCACCAGTAAGGCCGCAGCACGTGATATAGGCGTCTATATACTAAAGAGGTAATCATTTTATTACATAATGTAAAGAGACGTCCGTTGCCTGTATCGGCCACTCCCTTGTTGGATCAGCTCGACTGCAGAACCTCTGGAATGTTGACCAATGAGATGCCAAAGTATACTAGTTTTAGTGCTTTCAGGATTAGCACTTTACCACTGCTGAACATAATTGATAAGTCTGAGGTCGCAGTGATGCACAACAGGCTGTATTGGTGTGGTGAGGGGGTCAAAGCCGTTGAACCTAACCTAAGGCCAAGTCACGTGACGCCTAAGCGCGCGCCTAACTGCGTACAACATTGGTGGTGACTAAGTGAACTGCACCATAGTACATAGCACGAGGTAGCATGGGAAGATGCCGTTAACACGAGCGTTCACTCTCCTAATGAGAGCTAAATTAATACATGTAGGTCCAGGCACAAAATTCTAACCCGATTTAGGATAACTGATAAGAAAATTATGCATGCGCGCAGAGGTCGATCGCTCCTTGGAGATCATTGACATGGGTGGGACCTTTGGTCGGGCATACAGAACGCCGTACCAGGTTGAGTCTGGCCCTCCTCGTCCTTTCGTCGACCCCTAGGCAGGCTTTTTCTCTTCGTGACATTCGCCTTTGGTCCGAGCCGCTGCTCCGTCCCTAGACAGCCCACGATTGACCTTGCAATCATCGACTAGCACCCTCTTGCGCACCTGCACACCATGTCGCACCTGGCCCCGGAGAGCATCAAGGCGGACGCACAAGCCCCTCCGTACGAGGGCGGCCCATCAGGACCGACCGCGCGCACGGAGTCGAGCCTGAGCTTGGATCAGAAGGTCTCGCGGGTGGAGAGCGAGCCTGTCGACGTCGTGCCCGAGACCGCTTCGCGCCCTCCGCTCGACTACTCCTCCGTGGGCGCGTTTTGCGCGAGCGTATGGAGGCGGTTCGCGAGCCTTTGGACGAAGCGGTTCGTTTGGTCGCTGCTGGCGGGGCAGGTCGTCTCGCTGTGCATCACCTGCACGAACGTGACGACGACGGAGCTTGTGAACCGGAACTGGTCTTTGCCGACGACTCAGACCTTCTTCCTGTGAGTACGCCTATAGTCGGAAAGGATAACTTCAGGGATTGATCGAGGGGTGGACAGGTACTTCTCTTTATTCGTAATCTATACACCATACACGATCTACCGATACGGGTTTGTAGGATGGCTGAAGATGATCATGAAGGACGGGTGGAAGTGTACGTCCACTCACTCCACATCAGGAATGACTACCGAATTTGACTTTCGCTGTTAGACTTCATTCTCGCCGCGTGCGACGTCGAAGGGAACTTCCTGGTCGTCAAAGCATACCAGTACACGACGCTTTTGTCCTGCATGCTCCTCGACGCGTGGGCCATCCCCGTATGCCTGCTCTTCTGCTGGATCTACATGCGCCCGAAGTACCACTGGACGCAGCTCCTCGTACGTACCCCCCTACGCTTGCTCTCACAGGTCCCCCTGACCAGAAACTGCCGCGCAGGGCATCTTCATCTGCGTCGGGGGCCTCGGGATGCTCGTCGCCTCGGACGAGCTCACGGACAAGGACTGGCCCGCGCTCAGTCGCGCGAAGGGCGACGTCTTCATGCTCGTCGGCGCGTCGCTCTACGGCTTCAGTGCGTCTCCCTCTCCCCCTGAGAACCCTCCGTGCCATCCCCCAGGGCGCAGCGCTGACGTCCCCGCACAGCAAACGCGACGGAAGAGTTCTTCGTGCGCCGGTCCCCGCTCTACGAGGTCGTCGGGCAGCTGGGCATGTGGGGCGTGCTCATCAACGGCATCCAGGCCGCGGGCCTCGAGCACCACGACATGACCACCGCGAGCTGGAACGGGGCCACGAGTGAGTATCTGTATCCGCGCGCGTGTGCTGTCGCTATCGGGGCCGTCGCTGACGGAGCGCGCAGTCGGCCTGCTGGTCGCGTACACGGCCGCGATGTTCATCCTCTACACGGTCGCGCCGATCCTGTACCGCATGGCGTCGTCCGCGTACTACAACCTCAGCCTGCTCTCGTCGGACTTCTACGGGCTGCTGTTCGGGCTGTTCCTCTTCGTGAGTCCCCAACCCCCCTCCTTCTCCTTCCTCTATGGATGCCTAGGATGGCAGGACGCTGACCGCGCGACGTGGCCCAGCACTACACCGTGTACTGGCTGTACTTCCCCGCGTTCGCGGTCGTCATCCTCGGCCTCATCATCTACTTTTGGCACGCGAAGCGTACGTCCCTCCCGTCCTTCCCGGCCTCCCTCGCCCGGGCGTCTCGTCAAGCTGACTGGGTTCTGCAGCGGAAGACCAGGGCAAGATCGAGCCCCGCGTGCCCGAGTACGTCAGCCCGCGGCAAGACAACCTGAACATCGTCGCGGGGCAGGTGTAGCCCCGCGCACTCCCACACACGACCCTCACACGAAACACGAAACACGAAACGACAAGACACGCACGAGGATGGGACAGGTGCTGTAGCTCTGGTTACTTGCGATGGTGTATGCATGGGCCGCGTGGGCTCGTCTGATAGCTCGACGCGAGTGTAGGATACGCGTGCGCCATGTATTCTGCTTTGGATAGATCTGCTATGTCTCTACACGTGAGATGAGAAAGAGACGCGCGTATGACGTGCTCTGTGCGAATGAGGAGGGGGAGAGGCAAGAGTGAGGATGAAGTCCCAGAATAACTATAGATGGAAACGTGATGACAATGAGCGGGAGGTGGTAAGTAGAACACGGACGCGAATGCTAGTGCGAATGCGGGGGCGAGAATACAAGCGATGCCCGATGATTAGATGCTAGTGGTACACGGGGAGGTTGCCGGGAGGAGCGGGTGGCAGAGCGGAGAATACGGCAGCACGGGGGATCAGACGAGGCGGCGCGGGGGCCCGTCCTTCCCGACGTCCTCCTTGAGGAGCTGCTCCTGCTGGCGCTGCCACTCCTCGAACTGCTTGAACTTGGCCTCGCGGAGCGCCTGGAGCTCGCGCTCCTGCTGCTCGCGCTGCATGCGGTGCTCCGCAAGTTTCTACATGAAGGCGTGGCGCGGAACTGTCAGTTTCACGCAGATCGGTCGCGAAGAACGCAACGCCAAACACACTCACAGCCTTCAAGCTCTCGACGGTCACCAAGAGGTTGTTGAGCGTCGCCTCAGACAGCTCGGTGATCTATCCCACGCACGAACGACGACCCGTCAGCCCGCGCAGCTCGCGTACCCAGAGCCCGAGGGCGGAGAGCCACTCACGGTTTCGGTCGCCTGCTGCACGACGTCCTTCTCGGGCGCCCTCTCGCTGCTCGCGGGCATGGGCATCGGGGGGCCCCACGCGCCCTCTGGCCTCTGCGGCTGGGTGCTGCTGCCCGCGCCCGCGTGCGGGCCCCGGTTCCCCCACCCCCACCTATCCCAATGCGCGTTCGGGTTCCCGTTCGGGGGGTTCTCCTGGCCGGGCGACGAGCCCTTGCCCCACTGGCCCCAGCCCCACCGATCCCATTTGTCGACGGTCCCTGGGGTGGGCGCGTTCTGGGCGTCCGGGGAGGGCGCGGCGGGGATGGAGAAGGAGGGGGGGAGCGGGGCGCCGGGGGCGGGGTAGGCGTGCTGGGGGATGCGGTCGCGGCCGCAGTGGCGGGCTTGGTACCAGCCGGCGTGCTCCTTGTGGACGTGCCACCAGGAGGCGACGCCGGCACCGAGGACGAACCAGAGGAGGCGGGACCGGGTGGGGCCGCAGCGGTGGGCGTGGTGCCAGTAGCGGCCGTACATGGTGACTAGAGTGAGGGGGTTTGGAAGCGAGGAGTACTGGAGCGATTAGCTGAGAGGTGCCGATCGGGAGATCAGCTGAGTTGGGTACACGGGGATGTGTGGGATGGTGGACTCACTGGGCGGGACGGTGCGAGGGATGATATATACGGGTGGGCAGCGGATGCCGCGCCGTGGAGAGTCGTCAGAGGAGGAAGGCCGAGGGTATGCGCAGGCGGGACGGAGGAGGGGCGGGTCTTGGCCAGGCAGCCCGGGGCCGAGCGGTATATGCAGCGTGCCGGCGGGGCAGGATTACAGGCAGGCTGTCGAGGACAAACGGCCGCCATAAGAAACGGCCGGAGGGATGCGTCAACTGCAGAGTACTTGCATGCTCGCGGGAGGACCGGAGCTGACAACTCCTCACTGACCACGCCCCCGCGATGACCAGCGCTCCGACGCCGGAGACGCGCGTAAGCCCAGCTGCCGATCCGGATTTGTCACAGCGTGACGGGACGCGCCCCCCGAACGGCACGGACTGCTTCTCTGGACTTGTCCACAACACCAACTTCGTGCAAGACGCGTCCCCGGCACGGCCACATGCCGTCACTTGTTGTCCTTTGCCGCTACTAATCGTCCCTGATGGTCGAGCAACACGAGCAGGTTCCTCCAGCTGGCAGCGACTCGGACGGCCCCGCTCATGCTCGCAGAAAATACGTCCGCACCAAGATCTTGCACGAACATCTCCACTCCGTACTCCGTGACGCCCCACAGAACAAGGTACGCAGCCTTTCGTTCGCGCATATGCCCCGCACATTCCAGACTGTCATTCTACAGATCCTTCCGCAAAGCCTCGCTTTGGCAGCCGCTCTCAGCCGCTCAACCACGCACGACGGCCAGGATGCGCGTACGCTCGGCGGCATCCCTCCAGATGATCTCACCAACCTCTCCCCCGTGCCGCCTCCGGTAAGGTCTACCTATCGCCGTCAGCGACGGGCTCTCGAACGGGTCACAGTCTGACAACGTCCCAGGTCCTCAGTCCGCGGTCGTGTCGACGGCTCGAGCACGAGCTCCGGCGCACCCTGTCATCCGTCGCCGACTATTGGTCCGCCGGCGAGGGTGCGTAACAGCGCTGACACCCGTCATCCACACGCAGCCAAACGCTAACTGTGACTCTCGGCCTCCTCAGACGCTGCACTAGACGAGGAAGAACGACTGCAGGCGGCGATGGACCTCCCAGCGCGCATCCGCGCACGCAGAGAAGCTCTCGCTCGGCACGACGCCGCCCTGCAAGACTGCCGCGCACGCGTGCTCCGGCTCATCGAGCAGGTCAACGAGGTCACACCACTCGCCCGTCCATCCGCTGCTGTCCCTGACCTGCTGACGCTCGAAACCCACAGGCACACCCGGCACTCGAGGCGCACCTCGTCGACGCGCTCTCCACGGTGCCCCCACAGCTGCACGCGACGTGGGCCGCACAGGCGGACGTCGTGGCGGCCACGATCGAGGCGGCGCTCCTCAAGCTGTCCCTCGTGCGCGCTCGCGCCCACCGCGCGTTGTACGGCCATGCGCCCCCCAATAGGCCCGACGCCACGGTGGCGCGTGCCGTGGGTGCCGCGTTCGATAGGCTCAGGGAGAGGCGGCGGGCGCAGGACGCGGAGATGCGGAAGCTCGACGGGCAAATCGAGGAGTACGAGGGGATGCTGCGCTTGGTGCATGGGCGGCACGGGAGCTTCGCGCAGGTCGTGCAGGACATGGCGAGAGTGAAGCGGGAGACGGAGGAGTGCAGGAAGGATTTGAGGAGGCTGGGCTGGACGGAGGATTGAGCTTGCAGAGCGGAGTTGTCGGGGAGGTAAGGTGCGCGTTGTATTGCTAGGCGGGATACCCAGTGTATCGGTAGGACAATTCACATGGTATACCACAGCTTTGACTACTAGGGGTAAAGACAGGGCTCTCTCTCAGAGGTGCTCATCGAAGTTGAGGATGAACCTCGTGTAGAAGCGGATCGACTCGATCCACGCTTCCGCTCGCACGGCTAGACGTGGAACAAGCGGGTCAGCGGCGTTCTCTACGCAGCGTTTCCTCGGCAGTAGTGATCCTCGCTCACCTTCGTTGATAGTATGCGCGCCGTTAAACCGGTCTTTCTCGCTCAGATGCTTGTACCGGAAGATGTTCTTGGTCAGCGCCCAGTAATACCGAGTGTCTGCGCACGCCCGAACCGCGGTCAGCCCCCGCCATACGCACACAGCACGCTTCCCCGAGGCATACCGGTATTCCCGAGCACCAGCTGAGGCGCGACGACGACGCCGCTCGCGTTGTACCCCCGCGCGCTCTCCAGCGTCGCCTTGATCGTCCCCGCCAGCACCTGGTACGCGTCCCCCGCCCCCGTCGGCGTGACCGGCGACGGCTCCAGCGCGGTCCCCCACGCGTCCGAGAGCCGCACGTGGCCCCCGCGCCCGTCCCCCGCGGGCACCGCCCGCCCGAACGCGTCCACGGTCAGCCCGAACTGCGCCGCGAGCGGGCGCACGACGCCCGCGAGGTGCGCCTGGACGCCCGCGACGCGGTCGTGCTGCGCGATGCGGTGGTTAACGACCGCGCTCGCGAGCTCGGGCAGCGCGTTCACCTTCACGCCGCCCGCGACGAGGTCGACGGCCTGCGTCGTGCGCAGCAGGGCGGCGTTCGCCGGGTACGCCGCGAGCAGCGCGTCCTTGAGCTCCTCCAGCGCGCGGTCCGCGTCCGCGTCCGCGTCCGAGTTTGAGCCGCCACCCGCCGCGGCCTTGAACGCGAGGCGGCGGAGGGGCTCGGGGAACGTGGGGCCGTACGCGGCGGCGCAGAGCGTGGAGTTGTACGCGCTGCCGCCGCGGACGAGCGCGGCGTCGTGCGGGTGCGCCTCGAGCGCGACGAGCAGCGCGGCGAGGATGCCGATGCCGGTGTGGGGCGGGGGGCGGCTGGAGTGGCCGCCGGGGGTGGACACTTCGAGCCGGATGTCGATGTAGCCCTTTTCGGCGAGGGAGGGCGTCGCGAAGATCACGGAGGGGCCGTACGGCGTGCCGTAGCTGCCTGCGGTTGGCGGGGTCAGTGGGAGGACATGACACGAGAGGGAGAAAGAAGGGGGGAGAATGGGACGCTTACCGCCTTCGTCGAGGAGGGCTGCGAACCCGTTGGCTCCGTATTCCTTCTCGAGGTAGACTGCGAGCTGCCCGGCGCCCTGGACGAACCCAGTGATGAGATGGACGGTGTTCACCTCGCTGACGGTGAGCTTCTCACCTGCGTCCCGGCCGCCTCTTCATCGAAACCGTACGCCCAGACGAAAGTGCGGGTAGGGGTGAACCCCTGCTCGAGGAGAGCGGTGATGGCATGTCTGAGTCAACGCCAACACCGGTAAGAGCGGGTTGAAGTTAAGTCCTGCGGGAGGACTTACAGAGATGCGATGAGGTCTGACTTGTCGTCGCCACTGCCTCTGCCCCAGATCCATGTACCTGCATATGGGATGCTCATTGAACCTTCATCAAGATCCTGAGTCGAATCTGCATACCGTCGTAGTGCCCGGAGTATGGAGGGTGGATCCAGTCCTTAGCAGTCGCGGGTTCGACCGGGACGACGTCTGTATACGATCATCAACGAATTGTCGAGCAGTAACAGGCCGTGCGGAACCACCTTGATGAGCAGTCAGAAGCACGGGAAGCAAAGTGGCGTCGGATCCCTGCCAGCGTAGAACGATCCCGTAGGTGTTGACCTTGGTCACTTCAAGTGTTGAGAAGCTGCATGATGAGCAGGTGAGTCATCTCCCTGATTCCTATCGATTGGAATAGGATACAGACACTGCAGGGAACGTCTTCTCCAAGTACTCGTGGAGCTTGGCGAAGGTGTCCCAACGCGGATCTACACCAACGGGACCCAGGTCGTCATAAGACTCTGTCCTGGAACGCGGTCATACCGCATGTCAGTCTCCTGATAGGTATAACATGAAATGAGGGTCCTTACGGTATCTGGACAGCACCGCTGAGTGCTTTGTACGCCGCGAGCCTGTAGTCCTCATCACAATAGACTGCGTCCAGCTTCTTCACAAGATCGGCGTGCTTGATGGGAAGCAACGGGGCAGCTTGAGGACAGAATTCCGACGTTTCGTTGGGAGGTATCGCTCCAATGCGGACTTGCGTGGAGAGAGAAGGCGTCCCATCCGCGGTGTTCTTGTGGAACCAGTGGATGGAAGGAATATTGAGCAAAAAAAAGGAGACGACCACGGCCTTCAAGATATCGAATGCTAGACTGCGTTGAGTTCCAGGCTTTCCTCGAGCGGCCGGTCCAACGTCGAATGCACTTCGGCCAAAAGACGCAGGAATGACTCCTCTCTCTAGATCCGTATGCGACTCGAGCATTAGCGTCTTTTCCTGGCTGTGAGATTCCATAGCTTTTGACATCGTCGAGCCCTTGGCCTGCATTGTGTTGTTCTATCAGCATGATATCGATCTCAACGATATGGTGAACATCCACACTCGGAGTCCAAGCGTTGACACTTGTCAATGCTTGAATTCATGGCGTCTGCTCAACCACCTACCTCGGTATGACTTAACCGGATAATGCTAGCGATTTCCTCCCTCTCGACTGTTCCAGCACCAAGTTAGCAAAGTCGCGAAGGTCACTTTTCAATCTTGCCCTGGGCGATGGCGATGTCTACTACAAATGCCTTGCCCGTACTTATGAGAAGCCAAGATAAGTACCCGTGTGCGAGCCGGGCCATCCTTTTTGCCTATATTTGGTATCCGGCTGAAGTGGGAGCACCTCGGCCTGACCGCGCCGAGCATTCGCGATAAGAAGATGAATGGTGCAATCGGACGTGAATATGGGACATATTACACAGGGCCGCCGGGTGGCGAAGTCATGCTGATGTAAAAGCGTAAACGTCCAAGCCATCTAGAAGTTACCGACTTTCAGGTGCTCGTCGCAGTTCAGAATGAACTGAGTATAGAAGCGAATTGACTGAATCCAAGCCTCCCCTCTCACAGCTGATGGTGAGAAACAAGGTAAGAGACCGATCCCGTTGATTATATCATACAGACCCACCTTCATTAATTGTATGCAAACCATTGTAGAAATCTTCATTGCTCAAATGACTGTACCGAAAGATGTTTTTTGTCAGGCCCCAGTAATATTGAGTGTCTGCATGGGTTGATCAGCTCTCAGGTCAGCCTGCGAGATACATCACAAACAGTGGTATCGTCCACTTACCGGTGTTCCCAAGAATCAGCTGGGGCGCAACCACCACTCCAGTTGCGTTGTAGGCCTCGGCGCTCTCCAACGTCGCCTTGATTGTCCCAGCAAAGATCTGGTACGGGTCTTCTGGGCCCGTGGGAGTGACCGGTGATGGCTCCAAGCTAGCGTCCCAAGCGTCGGTGAGCTTGACGTGTCCTCCGCTGCCGTCTCCCGCAGGTTCCCAGTAGCCAAACGCGTCCATGGTGAGATTGAAGTGCTCTGCAACGGGGAAAAGTACGTGTTTGATGTGCGCCTGGACATCGACGGGTGATTCATGCTGGGCAATTCGATGGTTGACGACAGCAGCTGCGAGCTCGGGAAGTGCGTTTACTTTAACGCCGCCCGAAACGAGGTCGACGGCTTGCGTAGTGCGGAGGATAGCGTTATATTGAGGAAAAGTCTCAATGAGCGCATCCTTGAGCTCCTCGAGGGTATCTGCGTCTCTTGCACAACGCTGTCGTCCTCCTTTCTTGAACCAACTGAAAGGATTGAAGAAATGGATGACCTCTTTGAACATCAGTTTGACTGCGACGCCCATGTCCTTGAATTCTGCTATGATATCAGGGCCTTCTTCTTTGATGAGCCGCCATTCCTCCTTGAGATCGCGCCAATCATCGTTCCAGTCGTCATTCCCCATACGAATAGACTCCCGCATGGTCGTCGACCTCTGGTACCGCTTCTTCCGCGCTAAGACCTTGGCCCTCTGCCCTGCTCGCCAGGCTTTCCTTGCAGCATCGCGCGCCCTTCGGGCCTCCGTCCGCGCTGTCCACTCATCCCACATGCGATGTACATCGTCTTCCGCATCGTCCCCCTCGTCTGTATCAGGCGTCTGGGCTGCGGCCTTGAATGCCAACTGGCGTAGATCCTCGGGAAACGTGGGGCCGTACGTAGCAGCGCACATGGTCGAGTTGTACGGGCTCCCTCCTCGGATGAGCTGCGCTTCGTGTGGGTGATCCTCCAGGGCAACAATCATGGCTGAGAGGACGCCGATAGCAGTATGCGGTGGGGGCACACTAGAGTGTCCGCCCTTGGCGGTGACCTCGATGCGAACGTCGATGTAGCCCTTCTCTGCGAGGTATGGCGTGGCGAAGATCACGTCATCGCCATAGGGTCTGCCATAGCTGTCTGCGGCAGTCATACTGCGTTACGACATCGACCAATTTCTGAAATGCATATCGCTCACCGCCACCTTCATCAAGCAAGAGCGCAAAACTGTCTAGGCCATATTCTCGCTCAAGATATCTTGCAAGATGGTGCGCGCCCTGTATCAGATTGCTATTCGTCAAAGAAGCCCCTGTTTCGATGATGGGAGTGCTATGCACCTCCAAGCCTGACGCTTCTTCATCGAATCCGAAAGCCCAAACAAACGAACGCTTTGGTTTGAAACCTGCCTCGACCAGAGCGCTGATGGCATGCCTATAAGCATCTACGTATCAGGGTCGTGGCGTCGTATGGGGAAGTGGGTCATAGACTTGCAACTGTGCAACAAGGTCTGACTTATCGTCGCAACTGCCTCGGCCCCATATCCACTTTCCTGTAAGGGACAAGTCAGTTAAGACGTAGAGACATGGACCTGCAAATGCTTTCCATCGTAGTACCCCGAGTAAGGTGGATGTACCCAATCCTTTGCGGAGGAGTTGTCTACAGGAACAACATCTGCCAAAGGAGATGAGACATAGCACAGTAAGTCAGTGATCACACTGGCGTTACCTTGGTGTGCAGTCATAAGGACAGGAAGCAAGAATGGATCCGAGCCTATCTTGGTCCATTGGGCATCGACACTCGATGGGACATTTTCGCCAAATTCCACGACTACTTGAAGAAGGCTTTTCCCAATGTGTAGGTCTTACGCCCCCAGTTGTAGAGACTACAACGAGGTTTGCAAACCTCTGGGATATCGGGCCAGGGAGGTATCAAACCTCCCAACCCACGCGGTCTTAGTGATACGCGTCGGTTAGAGTTTCGGTTAGGGTTCGGTTAGGGTTCGGGTTTGGGTTCGGTTCGGGTTTGGGCTTGGGTTTGGGTTAGGCTTTGCTCACAACTCCTCCTCCCCCAAGAGGGGAGGCCGTCTGTATTTATCGCGCGAACGAGGCTTTAGAGTGCCCGCCTGAGTGCTCCCGGCTCGGGGGACCCCCCGAGCGCAGCGAGGGAGGGGAGGGAGCACGAATGGCGGGTCCTCCTCGCGCAAACCCTAAAATCTCGCATCAAGCGCCACAATACCAATTGGGCACTTTGATCATCAAAAATTGCGCGCTGATGCGCCACGGTAGCGCCAGCGTCGGTGGTCTTCCATGTCGCGCGTCCCCCACCCTCCTCTCCCGCCACGCCTGCACAACACTCTGCATCTGTTGGACAAATGATGCCTCGTCAATTACTGAGACCTCCTGAGAGGGAGTATGTTTTTTATTCAAGTTCCTTGACGTTGCCTCGAGTACGTACACCGTTCTAGCTATCAAGATCTGATGCGCCCGTATTGATGTCCCAGGCTGACAGCCAATCATATGCGTGACTGGGAGGTCTCATACCTCCCTGGCCCGATATCCCAGAGGTTTACATACCTCGTTGTAGGCTACTCCCCAGTTATAGTGCTCACTGCGACTTACGTGTTGGTTCCCTGTAGGTTCTCTACTTTGGAGGTTACCAAGGTGAACACCTACGGTATTGTTTTGCGTTGGCCCATCATACACCTCGGTTCTGAAGAGCATGCGAATCGTATAAGCCCACATGACAACTGATGTACCACAACTCGTGGCCCTTACGGAATCCTTATAGCGCCCTCCAGTGCCTTGTAAGCTCTAAGTTTGTAGCCATTCGTAGCATAGACGGACTCTAGCTTCTTCGCCAGCTTGGCGTGCCGTACTGGAAGCAGGGTTTGCGCTTGTGGACACAGCTCCGAAGGTTGATCTGGCGGTAGTGCTCCACCTGGCGAGGACCTCGGCTTGTTCAGGATCGGTCGGTTACCCCAGGGTAGGAAGAACATGACTATCAGGCAGCAAAATAGGAAGACTGTCGAAACATTGAGACCTGAATCATTCTGATCGTGTGGCGCCTGGGGCTTTGAAGGTCCATGACCGGGAGAGGTTGCCTTGCCATCGGGTTGTTTCTCCGGGCTTGGGTTGAGTGCAGTTGTTTTGTCTTTCTCGTCGGCTGTTGATTTTGGAAGGGTTGACTGCGAGGAATCCATGCGGTAAACTATGCCACAAACGTCGTGCTCTGCTTAAATTACGGTCAGCGTTCGCCCTCCTAGAAGGAAACCTGCAATGACGTAGACCAGTGAAGTTGAAGTACTCACGACACTCGCAGGAACCTGAGCGCTTGCTAGAGATCTGAAGTGGGGATAGGACGGGCTCAGCTTGGGCACGCGAAGTTGGGAGTTCCTCGACCCGTCTTGCTAAATCGCCAGCGACAGGGCGAGAAGACGGTTCACGACCGGCGACTGCTGAGTTGCAAGGAGAGGCGTTCAATGCGTGAGTCGCACGCTGAGCTAGACCAACCTTCTCGCCTATATTTGGAATGATGTGGTGGCAATGATGGCTACCCGAGCGTTGCCGGAGGCGATATAAGTCTGGTCGCTCATATTACTTGCAGCAGATGTCGCCACGATCTAGGTGACATTCATGACAGGGGCTAGTAGTAACATTCTACTTGTAATGTGGTATAATACACGAGGCTATTGGCTTGCAAAGTATACAGAGGATGTCGGACTGCAGGAAGCGCCCATGACCGGACAAACTCATGCGAATAGCAATATGACACCGCGGAACGCGAAAACCACAAATGCGACTGTGCGATATATCTCAGGAAGTCGTGCTGAGGAGGGAATGAGCAGGAGACTAGTCCGAAGCCGCCGCGCTTGCGCCTCCATTCTCGGCAGCCTTCCGCTTGTGCACATTCGCATGCCGCGCGAGCTGGTCGGGCCTTGCGAAGGACTTATTACAGCCAGGTTCGGTGCACGGATACGGTCGAGCTCCAGTATGGGTTCGCAGCTGTCCGGTAAAGTGATGAGCAAATGCATGCTACAGACTAAGTTTGATGGCCTCACATGCTTCGACAGATTAGACGATTCAGAGAAAGCTCTGCGGACAAATGGATATCAAAAAGGAGTGGCGCGACGGGCACAGGGAACTGACCTGTCACAGTATGCGCACTTGAATGGCTTGCTCCCGTTATGTGTCCGTTTGTGTATGGTCAAGGCGCCGGCGATTGCGAATGCTTTGCCGCAACAAGGAAAGTCACAGGCGTACGGCTCTGCATTGACAAAGGATAAATCGTGGGCCTGGGATCCAGATGGTTGCGCCACTCACTCTCCTGAGTATGCCTCCGCATGTGCTGTGCCAACGTCGCAGCCTCAGAAAAGCTCTGCCCGCATACCTTGCACTGGAACGGTCGATGCCCAGTATGGCTCTAAGCAGAACCACATGACAGCGTGAACATCACGCCACGGTCCCAAAAGAACGATGACACGCACCTGCATGTGCCGTGAGATCTTCTGCTTACTCGCAAACCCATTATCGCCGTTCCGATTGCAACCTTCCCAAAAGCAGTCGTAATGCGCGCGACCACTACCGATGTGAGTAGAAGCGATGTGCTCTGTGAGGGCGTCGCAGGCAGCGAAGGTCTTGCCACATCGGGTCCAGAGGCACACGTGTGAAGCATGATTAGAACAGTCGTGCTCAGGAACGGGTGTGGGAGGGCCACTTTGCGGGATGGACTCGTTCAACGTCGAAAGAGAGGACGACGATGAGGGTGTGAGGACCGGCGCATGCGGGTCCGAAGGACAATAAGAGTAGAAGGGGCCGCCGTGATGGGAGGCACCCGAGATAGGAAGTGCTCGGATAGATAGGCCGAGGTGGTCACGGAGAAGATGACTTGCGAGCATGCCCATGAGATCGAACGGGTCCCCAGATGACGGTCCTGGAACGGACTGGGTATTGGGGTAGACTCGGCAGTCGCCCCAAAGGCACGCCATAGAATCCGGCCCAGGTTGCTGTAATTGGGTCCCGTGCTTGCTACCGGATGCTGAGGGCGTCGTGTATGACGAGTCGAGGAGCGCCGTGGGTGCAGGTAGCCGGAGGTGTTGTAGATTGACGTGACCGACAAGATCGGACAAGGAGCCGAACGTAGCAAAGCATCCACTCCACTTGCATTGCAGCTGTAAGTTTTGTGGGCCCGGGGAGGGCAAGGGAGGGATACTCGGTGAGGGGACCGCGTTGTGTGATTGTGGCTGAGCGAAGGGTGACGGTGATGGCTCGAACGCTGGACTCGGTACCAGCTGTGGGGTCGACGTCGCAGAATCAAGTGAAGGGAACGCCAATGGGTCTTGCGACTGGGACATCTGAGGCTGCAAGTTTCCGGTGAAATTGAAATCGATGGTGTGGTCCATCATAAATGAGTATTCTGTGCCACCGGCTTGCGGGGAGTAGTCTCTCATTTCTGCGTGGTCGAAATGGTAGTCGTTGCAGCATTGTAGCTGCAAAATGCTTGTTAGCAACGGCCTCAACTGTCTCAACGCCGCCCCACAGCGGGAGATCAAAAGGGATACTCACGAATTGGTCGAAGACATTGCAGTCAAACTCCACTGGACATTGCTCTGTAGGACACTGTTTACCGCAGGGCAAGGGGACAGCGAGCTGCTCGCATGATGGTGCCTCGTCATGAGTGTCGCTGCAAGGGACAACGACGCATTGGTCGGTGCACTGGGAGGTGAGTCCTATTACGGTACAAGAACCGTCCTCGCATTGCTGTGTGCACTCCGGGCAATCGTAGCCATTATCTGCGGCAAAAGTGCAGCCGTCGGCGCCATTGCAGCCTGGTAGAAAAAGCGACTGCATTGGCGTTGGCGACGGTGACGGCACCTCGTGGGTGCTCCTTAAGGCCGAGAAATGCTCGTAGGCGTAGGAGATGTTAGGCGGCTGTATGGACCTGCGACGAACGATAGGTGACCTGGACTTGTTCCGGTCTGGAGGGGAGTTAGAGATGGAGGTGTTTAGTGAGCCATGAGGGTAAACGGGAAGAGACGGAGATAGGTTGGGACGCGCCATCGTCGCCATCTACTCAATGGATAGGCACTGAGGTGAGTACCCTCCCAGTCGCATTCTCTCATCTTCTACCTTATGTAAGCATGACTGTGTATCCTGTTCGGGCGCTTATGATCTGCCTTCCCATTGGCTCGGCGGCACCTCCGAGTCCATGATACAAATCAGAGCAACCAGCTACTCTTCTAATAAGTCCTCAGCCTATAGACCGTTGGACTGAGCCTCATTGAAGTGACTGTTAGCTGTGGCTCAAAGGACGGTACCGTGGCTTCCGAGCTTACCTCCCTACTCCGGCCCCCCAGTAATGACAATTGTTCGAGCAGCCGAATACTATCCATCACTATGGGCCTGGCGCCCCCGGAATACCCCCGGTTCGACAGGGTGAAAAGCGCGTTCAACGGTCGCACCGTGGAAATGGGACTTGGCCGTTGAATATCCCCCGTCAATTATCCGCGGGCGCAACGTGTTTTTAAATCCATAAAGGTTTTCCACCTGGGACGCTCAGCTGAACGGGGGTATTCCACGGTTGCTCTTGGTGTCCGCAACCAAGTCTGCGTGTGCCGGCCCTAAACACGGGCGCCAAATGCCAATCGCACCGATTTTCCACCCCATTCTCGTCTGCGTCAGGATCGCTTCTCTGCGCACTGCTTGTGACATTGTGCTTTCAAACAACTCTCCTATCCTCATCTACCTTTCTTGGTCCCTTTTTCGCCATCATGGTTCCTGGGGTGTGCCTACAGCCTGAGTAGCAGGATTGTCTGACAGAGTACAGCGGTCTTGGCATTGGTGGAGAGTTGGCAGCAGGTAAGTCGCGATGTTTGGATCTGTAAGTTTCTCAGGTAGGTCCAGCTATCTGTGTCTGGCTTTTCCAGGTAAGTCCAGCGAAGGGTGTCTGACCATTCCAGGTAAGTTGCTGTTCTCAAGTCTCCGTGTCTTCTTAGGGCCAGGTGAGTCTTCCCTGCTACTTCCCTGAATATCTGTCTCCATCCCTTCGAGCTCCCACATCTATCCTCAGCGTCGGTATGAGTGTATTGCAGGAGTCGCGAGGAGGATGTGGCCAATGAGAAGTCTGGAGGGTCACGGGCTTGTATTATACTTTGGATCCCCATATGTACTATGTACTCAGCGCGCCGTAATGAGACTGTAAAGCTGCATTCTGCAGCGTGTTTTGAGGCATTATCGCACTGCGTCACGAGTGATGTCCTATCGATATCCTGCGGTGAGCGAGAATCTAGCACTCGGAAACCGCGCAAATTCCCCTGTTCCACAGGTGTAAATCCTGCTTTTCCAACACACGGTCAAACCTGGGGTTTTCTCCTGTCCGAGACCGCGCCAAATTGACCGTGGAAATCGGTCATTTCGATGTCCTTTTTCCTCGTCCGAAAAGCCAGGTCTAACCGAGGTTTCGGAGCACGTTTCCCAGGCACGACAGGGCATTTTCCTCGGTTGCCCACCCGGGGTTTTCCACAGCCCTCTGTCTCACAGTGCATGGCGTTGACGCTGTTGTGATACAGACTTGAATATCAGACACAACGGTTACACCAACCTGCCACTGAGTATACCATACCACGCCCGTAAGTCCCAATTCCCATCGTCCTTGATTGGCATGATGTTTGCCATTCTGGCTTGAATGGATTTCACACAGTACCTCTGGAAGCAGACCTCCGGGAGTTGACGCAAACGGCATAGCTTTCGTTTGACACAAGAGAAAATGTATACATCTGAAATCAGAACTAGTTCAAGATATCATCTCGTTCATAGAGAATCTCAGCATTGAAGCGCCTGCAGCTCCGCCGCAACTCGATGAACGCGACCGGATCAGGGGTACCCGAACGGATGATAATCCGTGACTTGACATCGCGCGCGAAGAGTCCGCCCTCCAGTGCCGTAAACAGCGTCCACGACATCATCTGACTCCTGCTTAGGGGGACTGAAGGATGGCGCAGGATCAACGTGCGAACGGACGGAGGGAGGGGGGCGAGTGCGTCCAGTCGTGCGGGATCCGTGACTTCCAGTGTTTCGACGTTGGGACACGCCTGGAGCATGTCTACGATGAACTCTGCAGGTACGCTGGATAGCGACAGGTGCCGGACGTTCGGGATCCTAATGCGTGATGAATCCTGGCGCCTGTACAGCGACTTGAGGTAAATGAGAAGAGGAGCCAGCGCAGGAGTGGTGAAGGAGTAATTGACGGAAAGGTGTGTGACCTGCGGCGGGAACGTCTGAACGCGGAGTTGGTCGAATATGTCGTCGTATCCCCAGTCTGTGTAGTCAATAGTCACGTGCCGCAGATTGGGGAGTTGATCCAGTACTGTCACCATGTATAGGACTGTCGACATCGCCGTCGACGCAGCGTCGCTCGGCGAATGCATTTGAGTGGCGGGCGTGCGGTCGGCGACGGGGCCGCTGACTAGTGAGGCGCTCCCGTCGACATGAAATGTGACGGAACGACACATTTGATTTGCCACCTTCGACGCTTCGGCAGTCAACAGGTCGCTCACGCCTTGCATCAGAGTGCGCTCTGGAAGGAGGCGGAGGAAGGCCTCTGCACTGGTTGGATTGCAGATGTGGACGCTCCGCGATGTGACACGAACAAATAGTGCGAGCCATGTCCGGTTCACCAGAGTGATGTTCTTCAATAATGCAGACCGTTCCGCCAAGGTTTGTGGCGCTTCCCAAAGCTCGGTGAGGATCAGGGAGATAAGTTCGAAAGGTAGCCATGGGGGCGAGCGCTTCGTTGACGACTCCGGGGACGAAGTGTGCGATAGTGTGGAGGTAGCCGGGTTCATGGCGAGTGTAGACAGTTGTTGACGATGATGGGAGGTGGGCGAGGACTTACGTTGATTTGTACGTGCTTTGCCCTCCAGCCCCTTTATAGTGCCCAGACACACGCTAGACCATGGGGCGGGCGGATGTGGCGAGGCGGATATGCATTACGAAATATGTCTTGAAGTCGCCCACGGTGGGAGCCGATACTGTAAACCGATCCGTTGACACCGCACATTACCTATACAGTCCACAGACAGTCAAAAAGCAAACGAGGCCAATGGAAGGACAAGACAGAGTTTGCCAGGGTGACCGTGCGGTCCATAATCTACGTCCCGAAATGGAGAGACGCCCACACAGACACGGTCCGGCCACACGGCACTGTGCCTGGCCTTTAATGATTGCTTTCCCTTGCATTCCTCCTCGACTGCGAAGTGTTTCCAACTGATCGTATATGTATCCTGTGCTGGGTATCGCATTGCGTCTCTGTACACATGTTTGTCTGTTCGGCATGACCGCCGTTCTTGGACTTGAATCATAGGGGGCTGGTTCGTCATAGCCTAATCAAATCCCATATCCTGTCCCGAAATCGTCTACCTTCGGTTCCTCGAACGGACTCGACTGCTTCGGTTCTCCAAATGGTGTCTCTAGTGCTTCCTTCAGCTCATCCGCTGCCGGCTCGGTCTCCTGTTTCAGCGCCGCGGGTGCACCTTTCATGGTCCCTCTCGCGGAGGCCGACCCCCTCTCCCTCTCCTCACGCTCCCTCACATTCTCCGCTGCCTGTCCCGACTGCGTCTTCCGGAACGGGTCGTGAAGTCTCGGCATCGGCGTTGACACATACGTCCTCCGAGTCGGGATCGATTTCCCTGCGAAAAGATCGGTCAACACCGATTCCACTATGGACCAAGGCTCGTGCGGCACTCACGGAGACTCTTCACGAGGTCGTATCCCTTCAATCGGTCCCGGTCGCAATCCGGGTCTATGGATGTTCCTTCGTCGATGGCCACGAAGTCGATCTGGCGCGCACGTAGGAATTTCTCGTGCAGCGTCCACGGAGCGTCCGGCACGACCTCGTCCACCCACCTGCAATGCCGCAGGACCTCGCAGCGGTCTACGTGTGGAAGTTCTGTTGAGGCATGATGCTCGTCGCACAGCTCGTCGGAGAACACTCCGACCAGAAGATAGACGGAGGGGAAGGAAAGCTTGGCTTGGCGGAGCTGCAAGACGTCCCTGCTCGCGCGCGCAGTCGTGAGTGTCGGACGTTCGGATGTTTGTACGAAAGCAGTGAGTACGTTCCGCTTCCGATTATGCAGGGAAGTGCGCGCACCTCGGCGTGAGCGGCCCAAATACACCATCCACGTACACCCTCCATGTCCGGGAGTCGTCTCCCCGCCCTCCTGCTAATGTCGCGTTAAGCGAACGCTGCACGTACGCTTGGACATCCTCCGCGGTCAGGCCGACAGTGTCGAATTTCTCCATCGCAGACGGCAGCGGCGCGGGCTCCCCTCCAGCGAACCGTGGCGGCCCCAGGTCCGCAATGCTGGACTCCATAGAGCGTGGGCCGTCCGAGATGACATCGTAGTCGGCGAGGTCGTCCGTCGAGAGCACCGACAGGACGTCGAGCGACCGGCGCATCGTCATGGCTTGTACGGGTATACGGGTAGAAGTATGCGCACAGCGGATGACACGAGCAAGTCCGCTCAAGTGCCCGCTCCGGGAGAAGTAAAAGGCACGGGGATAATAACAAGCTTTCAAGAAGGTCTGGGAATCGTAGGATGGGACACTCCGTGATGGGAAGGCCTCGTGCTGGTCGCTGGGCTGCAAATAGGCCCACATATCCCTCTCTGCTTTTATTGCGCTCCCACCTTCCGGAGGTGCTGCCCGGAGTGCCTGGGCGTGTGGTTCCAGCTTCGCCCCTCTGGTAAGTAGTATGATTTCCTAGTCCGCATGGCCGAAAGCCTCTGCCGTACCAGTGTGTAGACAAGTTGGGACTATCGAAGGTGGGCAGCGAGGCAAGATGGGAGTGCGGGGTCGTGGTGATCTAATCAGATCCAGATCACATACTAGCAGGGCTGGGCTAGCACGCACCTACGTAGTCTGTAGATCATAAGCTTAAATGTCTTCAAACTCGTTCTCCACGTCCTCGTCTGCCTTGGTATAGGCCATAACCACCATGGCTCCTGCCGTACGTAGCTGGATACACTCCGTCAGACCACTGGGCAACTTCGGTGCCCAGACCCCATCAGGCACTGAGGACGCCTCCCTACCGCCGTTCATCGAGGCCATCGCGGACGCATCTGGAACCAAAGACGGTCCACTCGCAAAGGCGCTCGCGCTCCTCTTCGAGGCTTCCCCCGTCCTCTACAACGCCCTCGTCCCAGGAGTCGCGGCGCACATCCAGACCGCGCCCCCCGTCCTCTCCTACTCCGCGCTCATCGACGTCTCGCTATCGGTGATTTCCTCGTGGAGCGACGAGCCCAAGGCGCAGTTCATCGCCGGGCACCCGCGCATCGGCGAAGTCAAGGGATTGTCGAAACTCAGCGAGCAAGAACAGGCGGCGAAAGCGACCCCTCCGGAAATCCTGGCGCGCCTAGCTCACCTGAACGCACTGTACGAGCGCAAGTACCCGGGCTTGGTGTACATCACGTTCGTGAACGGGAGGTCGCGCGCGGCGATCAAGGAGGAACTGGAGGATAAGCTGGAGCTGGAGCACTCGGTGAGTGTGGACGAGCCATTGGTGGAGAGCATCGTGAGCGTAGAGGCTGGTAGCGAGGAGTGGAAGCGCGAGCTGGAGAGGGCGGTGGGCGATGTAGGGAAGATTGCGAAGAGCAGGCTTCGGTCGTTAGGTGTGGAGGACTCGGAAGGTGAGTCGGTGGCTGTCTTCATTCTCTCACATAGCTGACGTACACTGCGTATTCAGCAGAGTAGTGCAAACTGCATGGTTCGAGGAATCTAGTGGAGTATACACGGGTATATGTACCAGTGTACGCCGTGAAGCAACACGTATCGCATGGCTTGGGCTGACCGGAATCATGAGCAGTGTACAGTAATAAATGTCCGTTAAATATGCGAATAAGAACGGAGCCGTAGCACAGACAACAGCAAGAGACGAGATATAGCACACCGGAAACGAGCCGGACAATAGACTTCTTCTCCCTTTGCTATGATGCGACGGACGTCGTCGACGCCGTGCGGTTCATCCGCTCCGCTCTTTCCTGTTCCCACATCAAGTCAGCACGTCTCCTTAATCAATCGGACACATGCAATGGATGCTCGATTCACCCTAAGCACCTTCTGCCTGCGTAGCTCCCACTCAGGCGAGCGTCGGCGTAGGTCGCTCAACAACTCATCCACGAGCGTGTACGACCCCTCCGGCTTGTCCTTCACCTCCACCGCGGCGACCTCCGCCTCGCGGTTGATCTGGAGCTGCTCCTCCATCGCCTTCATCTTCTCCTGATACCGCAGCTCGGCCTGCGCCTTCGTGTCCTGGTATCGCTTCTGGCTCGCGAGGATTTCTTCGCGGAGGACGCGCATGCGCTCTTGGTGCCGGAGCTCGGCCTGTCGCTGCCATTCGGCGCGCTCGCGGGCGAGTCGCGCTTGGACTTCGTCTGGGTTGACGATAATGCGGCGACGGATGAAATTAAGGCCGTTGTCGTATGCCTGATGAAGCGAAACGAGCAGGATTAGGGAACGGGGATTTGGTTCGCGTGAAGAGGACAGCTTACCTTGCGCTTGGCTGGGTCGCTGAGCACGTCAAACGCCGTACGGACCTGAAGAGAAGTCAGATCAGCACGTCCAGGCCGTTTCGACGGTTAGAAAGGCTTGACGGACATCTCTGAACTTAGCTTCTGCAGCAGCTACCTCTTTCTCGTCAGCACCAGGACCAAGCTTGTCTGTCATCGGTCGATCAGGCTATCAAGCGGCGCTTTGATTTACATGACACGTACCAGGATGGGTTTCCAACGCCTTCAACTTATACGCCTTCCGAACTAGATCCATGGTCACGTCTGCACCGGACTACACGCATACTCGAGGCAATGGGCTTACTGTCATCTGCGGTGGCATTCTGAGAGACGCCCAGTATATCATACAGATTCAGTCTTGAGGCCATATGGCCCGGGAACGCTTAGAGATATCCAGGATGGGTATGAAGCGAAGCGGGGACAGACGGAAGTTGCAGAGCAACGTGCCAACGGCGTGCCCGCCAAAGCGCAAAGTCCATGTTCGACTACAGCCTGTCACGTGGGTCGCGCACATGGGCGCTTCACGACGCGTCTCTTCGCGCGGCGGCCTTCCCGGAGGCGCGTCGCCCACAGGTCGGAATAGAACTCGCGCTAGCAGGTATGTGTCTTCTGTTCTAGATAACAGTGGTTGTAGGCAGTGTTTCATGATGTGTAGAACGGTTTGCCACGAATAGTCGTGGTCATGGAACCAGATACTTGTCAGATGTGAACGGGACGCGCACGGCATGGTCCGTCCAACGGTGGCTGTCGTTGTGTTCGTCGACGCCGGAGACCATCATGCCCAAGCCTTCTTTCTCACCGTGCTTCTGCTTTCCACCATCATGTTGCTAGGACGCCCTTGAGGTAGGTCGCTTTGCAGCCAGCAGCTGTCCCAGTGCGATGTCCTGGTAGGTGCATATACCCGTCAGTCTGGCACACCATGGAGAGCAGATTCAACCGCCAGTCCAATGAGCTACAGACGAGACATGGTCGGCTTTGGTGGCGCCAAGATGGGTCTGAAGCTCAATGTGAACTGCGGTACCCAGTCACTTTGACGAGGAGTCCGGTCCTGAGCCATGAGATTGACTGCGGTAGCTCGCGTGTGCGCATGAAGCGATCACTGAAAGTGAAGGTCCAAGACACCGGACGCTACAGGCATCGAATGTGACGATCGCCAAGCATATGTGAGAAGAGCGTCGCACTGTTATGTCGCAGCACTGTGACAGAACCTGGCTAGCAGGTGTCCCTGCTCCCTCACTCCTGCCAGCCATCTTTGCCTCATGTATGCACTGGCAGGAGCAGTGTGCTGATGAGGTGTGCGACCATCAGGCTAGCTAGGTATTGGAAGGTGATCAGGTGAAGTCCTATCAATCCTGACAAAGCATCAGAGCTCACCACATCCTAGTTTCCAACCTCCAGGTCTGGTTTTGGGTGCACCACGCGCTGAGCAAACAATTGCTCACTGCATGATTTGGGCATCGAGGATGCCCAAGTTATGCAGTGGTCAGTTGTTTGTTCTCCGCCTTTCGTGCACGAACACGGCACACGCGCATTTCGTACTTATGCTGTGACGGACTCGCGATAGACGCAGCATGTGGCTGGTCAAGACCATGGACGATGGAACGTTGCCGACCTGCGCACTGTTGCGACCATCGCGGTCGCGCCGAGCCACCGCCGCGGGTCTTTCGCGTAACGAGATAAAGACGCGCCGCTCAGAATGGGGCATAGGCACGCTCACGTGTCGCCCCCTGTTGCGAGGCTCATTCGCGTGCCTCTGAGAGAGACTCCTCGATTGCCTGGTCCGTAGCTGAAGTCTTCGCCCCGTACAAATCCCGCAGTCTTTCCTCTCCGACGCGTTCCCCCACGATTTACGCGTCTAGCCAACCTCCCTGGCCACGTCGACGCGTTGACGGAATGACACGAATACGTAGGGATCCACCGGAGACCAAGCATAGGCGTCGCACCGGTACACCTCCGCAGCCTGGGGCACTGGCGGTCAAGCGAGTAGACCTCGGGAGGACAAAGCTCCCTTTCCCCAAGGTCGTCGACATCGCTGGTCTGAAGCTCAACCCCTCCCCGGTGCTGGCCACGTTCTTCGCTTTCGTGTCAGAGCGCCACCAGGTCTTCTGCAGACGTTTGGCCGGAGAACCCCAGTCAGAGTGGACGCAAGATCCGATACTGCAACAATATCCGTTCACTAACGTCTTCCGTGTCTTTGACCGTGTCACGCAGTATATTCTGCTCGAGGTCGTCCGGAAGGGCGACCAAGCTCTGCACGAGCAGTGTTTCCGGCTGATGCTCTTCCGCTCGTTCAACAAGGTCGAGACATGGGAGTATCTACTCGAGAAGATCGGCGACTTGACGTGGCGTGACTTTGATCTCGTCGCGTACGAAAAGGCCTTGCTGACTCGACAGCAGCAGGGAATCCCCCTCTACAACCCCGCGTATATCATCCCGTCCCCGAAACTTGGAGCGAGTGCGGCCGCGTCGAACCACCTGAGACTCATCCAGCTCATGATGGAGGAAGACCTACCGTCGCAGCTGCAAGAGCTCGAGCACCTGAAAGACGCGCACGGGCGAATCATGCTGTTCCCAGGCATGGGCGAGTTCATGGCCCTTCAGTACGCGAACCCGCCTTCCGCTTCCGTCGCTTGCCCTCAGCTGACTTCCCCCGCTTCTTTCTAGGCTCCTCCTCGATCTAAACATGACGTCCCACTTCAACTACTCCGAGGACGAATGGGTCGCCCTCGGCCCGGGCTCCCTCGAGTGCCTCCGCAAAATGTTCGGCCCAGACGTCCGCGGCCACGAGCTCGACGCGCTCCGCTGGCTGCACCAGACCCAGCACGAGCACTTCGCCCGCCTCGGCACGCCCCCCGACCGCGTCCCCCAGCTCGTGCGCGGGCGCGCCGCGGGCCTCAGCATGGTCGACATGGAGCACGCCCTGTGCGAGTGCGAGAAGTACTCGCGCGCGGCCCACCCGACCATCCAAGGCCGCCGCCAGCGCGTCGGCAAGCGCCAGTTCGCCCCGCGCCCCGCGCCCATCACCGCCGAGGTGCCCGCGCACTGGCTCGACGCGCGCAGCAGGCGGCGCACGGTGTACGCGGAGCCGCCGCCGGTCGAGCTCGACGGGCTCGTCGTGTACGAGGTGTCGCACATCGTCGCGGAGAGGAAGAACTCGCAGGCGGGGGATCCGGCGTACCTCATCCGCTGGGTCGGCTGGGGCCCGGACGACGACACGTGGGAGCGCGAGAGCACGCTCGCAGACGGGGCGCCCGACGTGCTCGCGGAGTGGACGTCTGCGAAGGCGAGGATCAGAGCACGCGTGCAGGAGTTCCAGGAGATGGGTGCGCGTTATAGGCCGTCGCTCGGGACGCAGGCTAGGAAAGGAACAGAGACAGTCTGAGCGTCGTGCTGCACTTGATACGCAGCTTCCGGTCGAGTTCTTACTTCGCTTTCACATCGCTCTCGTACATCGCTTGGCTGTCCTTGTTAAGACTTACGATATCGTTTGCCGTTTCACCCCGCCGCACCTTAAGGTGTCGTGGCTTACCATCACGCTTATAATATAGCCACCAGTGTTAGTCACTGATAACGCGACTATGTTGGTGCTCACAGAACGCCAGGAACCGATACGATGCTTCCGTGCGTTGCTCGGCCACTTATATTTGGCTTGGAAGGAATGAGTACGCAAGATGCTCATAACCTACATAACAGCAGCAACCGACAGCGCGAAACCAAGGAATCCTACAGCTGATAGACTACAGTCCCTCAAAGAACGACAGATCCTGCGCAGACAAGCCCCCAACCGTCCCGTTCGTCTGCTTTGCCGCACCACCAGACCCAAACGCGCTCCCAATCCCATTCTGCGGCGAGGTCGTCCTGCCGAAGTCCCAGGCATCGAACAGCGGATCCGCGGCGGGCGTGCCCGCACTCGATGTTGAGGGGTCCGTGTTCATGGGCGCGGGACTGGCGAGTGCTGGGGGCGGCGACGCAGCCCCTCCGATCGCGCCCAAGCCACTCGACGGCCGCGTGGGGTTCAGCGTCGGTGGCAGCGGGAAGCTCGCGGACGGTGCCAGTGGCTGTGCAGCCGCTGCGCCGGCGGGTGGTTCCTCGTCGTCCATGATGTCGAACAGGGCGGCCGGGCCCTTGGGAGGGGCCCCGTTCGGTCCGGGGATGATGGCGGGAAGCGGGGAGGGCGGGGCGGGCCATCGCTGGCCTTGCTTGGCGGCGGCCCTCTCGAGCAGGTTGAGTGTGTGCAGGTGCTCTGCTGCTTGCGACCTTCTGCGGGCGAGGAGGGAGGAGCTCGCACCTCCCGATGGGGTGTTCGGGGTGGCCGAAGCCGGCGAGGATGCTGATGGAGGCTGGCTTGGAGGGCGTTGGAAGAGGGGCGGCGGCTGCAAAGGTGGTACTGCCCTCGCGGTCGATGAGGATGGCGGCGGGTGCAGCGGAGGTGGCTGCAGCGCAGTAACAGCTTTCGCTGGGGGGTGCAAAGGAGGAGGCTGCAGAGGTGGTGCGGGTTTCGTAGGGACGCGTGGTGGGGAGGGCGTAGCAAGAGAGTTGCCAAAGAAGTCCAACCCGTTGAAGCTGGACGGGTTGCTCTTCGGGGTAAGTAACGCCTTGTCTGATACGCTGTTTGCAAACAGAAATGTGTCTGAAGTCGACTGTGAGGTGGAGTCGGACATCGGGGGCGAGTGAAAGTCCGAGAAGTCATCGTCATCGAAGCCCGCGAGGTTGTCCTTCAGAGGAGCAACCGGTACCTCGACGGTAGACGCGGAAGGGGGTAAGGCAAAAGGGGCCAAGGTAGGCAGGGTTTGCGACCTAGAAGACATGTTCCGTGGCGCCCCGTACATCGTGCGTGGGGACTTGGATATTGGAGGAGGGATTGGGGGAGAGTGTGAGAGCTGCTCGACTGGAGACTGGAAGTCGGAAAAGTCGTCGTCTTCGAAGAGGTTCGATGTCACCGGCATCGCACCTGCAGAATTCACATTCTGAGCCTGTGAGGGTGGCCGCAGTAGCGGGATAGGAGCCGCTGACTTCGAGAATGTGCTGGCCAGCGGGGTCTCCGTGGCGAGTGGGCTAGATGTCAAGTTGGACCGCTTCTTGCCTTCCAAAAATGGTTGCGCTGAGCGCTGGGGTGTGCTGGGGGACGACATGAGATGAGGGTATAGTTCACCCAGAGGCAGCGCAGATGTGGGGGAGGGTGGCGAGTCTTCAGCGGCTGTCCGGTACGACGTCTGAGACGACGTAGAGGATGCAGACGTCGGCCCAGCATCGAACTGTGACGAAGCGGGAGGGGGAGGAAGAGGAAATGGTGACGATAGTGTGGGTTTTGGCCTGGCGGCCACTGACGGAGCGATAGGCGTGAATGAAGGCGGAGGGGGCAACGAGAAGCCTTCCAACGGCGGTGTCGACGTCTGTAAGCGGGAAGGAGGGCGAGAGGAGGGTTGCGACGAGAGCGCAGGCATGACTGGAGGTTTGGACGGTCCGGCTCCTGGTGTGGATGAACCCACTCCTTTGAACGGCGCGCCAAGCGAGGGAAGAGAAGACGGGCTCATGTTATGAGGGGGCGATATCGCATCCATGGAATCCATCGAGCCAAAAAGCATGTCGAAATCATTGCCCATAGCATTCGCAGGGGAGCTGAGCTTCGATCCAGCGCTCATCGGATTGCTTGCGGCACTGATAGGTCGCAGCGGGGGTGGCGCTCTCGGTGGAGGAGCTAGTGGTGGAGGTAGGACAGGTACTACAGAATCCCTCTTCGCGTTGACGAACTTCTCCAACGCGTCCGTAGCATCCTCGTCCGTATCGTCTCTCGCGCTTGGTACGATATCCGACAGGAACTCCAAGTCATCAGAAGACAACGCGAGGGAGCTGCGGGGGCTACCCCCACCACTCCGTCGTGAGAAGCGAGTGAGAAATCGTGAGACTGCAGAGGGAGCAGGAGGAGTCTCAGAGCGCTCCGCTACAGGATCTGGGGCGGTGCTGTAAGACGACATCGCGGTGATGGGAACAGTCTCCACGGACGTGGGCTCCTTCGAAGGAGAAGGAAGTCGTGTTACGCTACCAGTCATGGACGAACGCACGCTGTCCTGACTGGGACGTCTGGAATCCGACTTGACCTCGCTGGTCACCGGGCTCCTGGGTTTCTCCGTCGAGTTAGGACGAGGTTCGCTGTCGGTGCCCGTAGCTGCAGATGCATTCGTGACGACCTGCGACTGACGGCGACCCCAGAAGGAGAAGAGACCTCCTGTCTTCTTCGTAGTATCGGTGGCTGGCGCGGCAGGGGCCTTCTCGACGATCCGCCAACCAACCGGGATATCATCCTCAACCACCTCTTTGCGCTCCTTGACAGAGGTTTCCCATGCAGTAGAGCCCTTGGCTGCAAGGTAATGTGACATCGGACTACCTCGTGTGATAGGCAGGTTCTTCGTCAATTTCACGGAAGATGCCACCTTTTTCGCCAGTTGAGTTTGCGCGAACCGTGCCAGCGGCTGCAATGAGAGAGGGGGCAAGAAAGAGTCTGAGAAGGTAGTCCTATTGAATTCATAGAGTAACGACACATGGCTCAGTGGCGCGTTGCACGAGCTGTAATGCGCACCACTCACAGACCCGGTACACCTTCTATCCCACTGCGTCTATCATTGCGCCAAGCATCCTGCTCGGACGTCTGCTCTTCCTCGGGATTAGGGCAGATCTCGCGAGACAATTCTTCAGTCTGAGCTAGGATGTTCGCTAATATCTCTGGTGGCTGAAGCACAGGAAGTACAATAGGCCTGAGTATGTCTCCAGAGGCTGAAGCGAGAGAATTACTCACTACACGACGATCCTGCTTTGCCCTCTGCTGTCTCGCTCGCTCCCACTCGTCCACGACGGGTTCTTCCTCATTTGCTTCCGGTTCAGCATCGTCCCAAGCAGACGCGCCCCAAGGGTCGGCGTCGGCGCCACTTACGATGAAATCAGGTGTGTCGTCTGCTAGACCAGATTCGAAGGTTCCGAAACCGTCCGGGCTGGGAGGCGCCACTAATTCTGGGGCAATGTCATATGTTTCGATCACAACGGACCCCGTACGAGGAGCAGGGATGGTTGGCGTCGTTAGAGTTGGCGAGAAAGAGGTACTTGGAGAGTCGTTGGACAGAGCATCATCCAGAGTAGGAGAAGAAACAGAGGGCTGTACCGGAGACGAAGGTAGACTGGAAGCTCCCTCGACTGGTGAAGCGGCGAGGGGAACGTAATCGTTCACTTCCTGTGCAGCCGTTTCCGTAGGGTCCTCCTGGGCCTCATCTGTACGTTCGTCAAAGACTTCTGCCTTGTCCTCTACCTGCACTTCTTCTTGGATAACCTCTGGTTGAGGTTTCCTGAGCGTGATGCCTTCGTACGTGCTCGGCCCCCATCCTGCGTCTGCGTCGGATTGCGACCATGAGAAGCCTGGGCTCCCAGACGGTTCGTCCCAGCGGATATCAGCTCCGGTGGACCAGGACGGCGCTGCTAGGTCTGCCTCCTCATCAAATGGACTAGTGATTTTAGATGGGGAGGACCATGATGGGCGCGGATCGCTCTTGAACGTCGAGGCGGTGTCATGTGTTGTTTCACTCCATGCATTTTGATAGAGGTCGTCCATGTGCGTAGGAATCGTATGTCATCAGTCACCACGACGTTGTCGAGGCCGAAGGGGAGGCGGGGAAGGGGGAGACTGAGGGTGCGGTGTGAAGCGTCCCGGAACGCGAGACCGGTGCAATGGAGCGCCTAGAGACTGCCCCGGCGGCGGCGGCAACTGAGACGCCCGACATTGGAACGGGTGTCCGGAGTCCGCAGATGAGCGCCACGTGCTGGACGGGTCCCGGGACACGCCAAGACGAACATCGCCCGAAATGCGGACGGGCTGCTCGCATTTGGACTCCATCCTGGCTTGGCTCCCGTCTGGCTTGTCTCTCCCCGCTCCCTCTCGCCATGGACGCGTCGTCCCTCGAGCTCAGAAAGAGCATCCTAGACTGGGATGAGAACGACGTCCACGCCTGGTTCACCTATCTTGGCTTTCCGCAGTACGAGCAGCAGGTTAGAGGTGCGTCCGTGTAGTCGTCCGTCGATACCAACAGTCGCCGAATGGCCGTCCAGAACACAACATATCCGGTGATGTCCTCTGTCTTCTCGACCCCGACAGCCTCAAGGAAATGGGCATTGCTACTATCGGCCAACGACTCGCGATTTTGAAGGCCGTCTACAACGTTAAGCTCTCCCAGAACATCCCTATTGAAGCTGACCACTACGTCCCACCATGTGCGTTCTCGTGCTCATATTCATTCACAACCCTTCTTGACATTCTTTGCAGCGGAGGTGGATGAGCGCCACGAACATATCAGCGTCGAGAGATTGTATGATCTGCTCAAGGATCAAGGTGCGTGCCTTGCTACCTTTGTGCGTAGTATTTTTGGTCCTCATATTCCCAACAGGCGACCGCCTTCGTTCACTAGAAGAGGACAACAGAAGACTAAGCGAGACCCTCGGCAGTTGTCTAGAGGACCTCAGCTCACTTCGCCATGCATCACAACGACCATCCACGGTAAGTTAAGTCCTCATAGCCTGCTTCTGACCTCACATCTGTCCGCAGGGGGAGGCGGAGAGTCCCGTGCAACGTTCACATTCCTTCAAGTGGGCGTCCTTCGTGAAGCCATCCAAGTCTCCCACCAAAGCTGCACCCGAAGTCGAGTCACCACAGCCCTCCCCCCAACGTTCAGAACACGATACGAGCAGTGGGCCCCGTCAGACCAGCAGCACTCTCACCGACAAGACCCGCGCATCCGGCTCTACGCTTGTTGGCAACGAACCTTCCACGAGTCAGCATACGTCATATTCGACCACAAACACATTGCTGCCCAACCCCAACCCCCCTCGTCCACAACGCCAGGATAGCCAGGATAACCTGAAGAGCTTCAAAGTCAGTCTCGATGATCCAGCATGGAAAGTTCTTCCTGCGGCCCTCAAGAAGTATAAGATCAACAACGATGATTGGCAAAACTACGCCATGTTTATCTGCTATGGCGCCGCGGGTACGTTGCTAGGCTGTTACTTTGATCCTGTTCTTGCTGTTTACGTCAAGTCATGTACAGGGAACCGTATCGAGCGGTGTCTGAGTTACGACGAGAAGCCCTTGTTGCTCTTCCAGAAACTCAAGGATGCGAAGAAGAACCCTGTGTTCATGCTGAAGCACATCAAGGATATTCGGTCTCCAATCGCGGTCGCGCAGCAGAAGCAGGCCGCTCGGAAAGCCTCGGCCACCACCGTCGACGGGGCACCTTCTGCGAGATCTGTGTCGACACCAGGAACCAGCTCGTTGCAGACGTCACCAGGGCAGGGCCGTGGACGTCCACCAAAGCTGCAAGTGAACCAGCTACCAATCCAGACGCCCGGCCTCCTCACGAGTGTGCCCAACGGTCAGTCGGGCTGGCCAGAGCTTATGTCGCCGCTGGTCGACCACAAGGGCGATACCGCCGCCGACGCATCCAAGAGTCATAGCGACGCCAGTGCTGCGGGCGCGTCGGAGGGACCAGAGGCGAGTACTCCTCCTGTCCTTAGGGAAATGCCTCCGGCCACAGAGGTGTCTTTTGCCGTCGCTATCTACCCCTACATGGCGGAACAGGAGGACGAGTTCGACGTGGTTGTGTGCGTGCTCTGTCTGGTGCGGATCATCGTTATATGCTGACGCTAGTGCAGGGGAGACACTTTCGTTATCGTTTCTCGAGCACGAGGCTGGTGGGTCGTCCAGCGCGACCCTGCAGGGACAGGTCATGTCGAGCAAGACCCCTCAAAGCAGGGCTGGGTACCAGCAGGATGTCTCCTCGAGACTAAGGTCCCTGTGGCGACAGCGATCGCAGAGGCGACCGCGAATTCCCGAACTACAACAGGCACCTCGCCGCCAGTCACACCACCTGGCACGACGCCCATTCTACCGCTCAGTATCCTATCCACGAGCTTCCCTGGTATCGCGCTGATGGATTACAAGAAGAAGGGAGACGAGGAGCTGGATCTACAGAAGGACGACTGCTTGCGGGTGTTCAAGCGGTATAATCATTGGTCATACGTGAGTCTCGCTTCTGCCTCTTCCCAGCACATCAAGTGTCAACTATTGTGTAACATAGGCCGTCAAAGAAGACACGGGAGACAGAGGCTGGGTTCCCTCGTGGTTCATAGGGAAGGTTCCCACATCGTCAGGCACACCTGCGACGCCGAGTGCCGCCACAGCACCCGGCCTCACCGCAGATGCACAGGAGGCACCGTACAATCTACTGAGCAGTCAGGCTGCGCAGGTCTCTCCCATGTCGTCGGCGTTCCCACCCATACAGACGCGAACAACAACGGCTGTTAGCTAAGGGTGGCCGATGTTGCTCTGCTTCTTCGTCCGGACTTCTTTGGCTCTGCATCGTCACGCACTTCACGAATTTCCCCGCACCCTACCCTCATACACCCCATCTCGTCTCTCACATAGACCACATCGCATGGTCTGGTCTTTCGTTCACTGTCTCTGCATGTGTTTCCTCTCGCATCGTCTAGTACCACCCCCGACCACGTCGCTCCTTAACGTTTATTGGTTTTCTCACCATCGGCTCGCTAATGTCAATAACGACTCGCATATCATCCCGTGTCCTTCGTTGCCGTCTTGTGTCCCTGTACGCGCTCGCGCTCATCCTGACGATGCGTCCGCACGTGAAGCATACAGATCTAGCGCAATTCCCTCCCCTGGATTACTCCTTCGTTCCCTTTCTCCGTCTGCTTTGCCGTAGGTATTCGCCACTCGCTGCCCCCTTCAGCTCGCTGCTCTGAGCATCGCATCATTGATAGCATGTCAGCCGTCTCGTAGTACTGTACAAGTAGTATCTATTCTCTCATATGACATCTCAAAGCATATCGCTCTGCTAGGGTCGGTCTTAAGAGCATGCATGATCTGGATGGGTGATGATGATACTATGCGATGCGGAGGTGTCAACATATATCAATGAGTTATCAATAGGGAACAAAGGTATTGGTCTGACGTGCGGCGAGACTCGGGGCGTAACAAGACAGCGACTGGATAGCGATGGAGAAAGCAGAATATGGGTACATACAACTATAGTCCAAGTCCCTCCAGAATCATAATCCGCCGGGTCGAGAGACAAGGCGATTTGTGGCAACATTCTCGCGTACGTGTGGAAGCATGCGGTAACATGATGGATCGACGTGATGTCAAGGTGCGTTCAGGAACACGGGGATTCGCTACATCTCCTTGTGATTCCGCCGAAACGGATGGAGGACGTGGGTCAACCTGCGGGAACAAGACGCAGCGCGCGTACGTAGAGCAGAACAAGATGGACACTGTCAGCACGGCCAGCCCGGAAACGCATCAAGAGCCAAGGAGATGCGGCACCTATGTCGCCGACGCTCACCATCCGCGCCATCCGCGCCGGCTCCCGGTCGACGTCGTCGGGCTGCCGGCGTCCCTGACCCCCCCGCGTTCACGCTCGCGCTCGCGGTCCCTGGTCGCGTCCTTTCCGTCGTGACTGTGTCGCGGGGAGTGCCCGGTGCTGATCTTGCTCGCGCGCTTGTCCGAGGGGTCGTGGCGATCGTGATGGCCGTGACTGTGACTGTGGCTGCTGGGGCGCGTGCTGGTGCTGTTGTACCGGCCGGGCATGGGCGGGTCGGCGTCCATCTGGTTGCTGTGTCGCCTGTCGCGGTCGACTGGGGAAGTCGCTGGACACGATGAGATGACAGAGGAGTCAGAACAGATACGGAGAGCGGGCGAGCGAGAGCGGTCGACTTACGGGGAGGGACATACGTTCCTGAGGACCGACGTGGGTCTTCCGTCATCGCGCGCTCGCGGTGGCTATGGCGCGACGAGCGGCGCTCGTGGTGGGACGGCTGGACGGGAGGCACGACCGGCACCGGCTGTGGCTGAGGCTGAGGCTGGGCGTAGGCATGGCTGTAGCGATGTGGACCTGCCGAGGGAGACGTTAGTATGGCGCTTGCAATGCGGGAGGTAGCTTGCACGGGAGCATACCGGACGAGATGGGTACGTTGAATGACTGCGCTGGGGGAGGGGGGGGGACGACGTTGACAGGAGGCTCGGCGGGTCTGTCTGCGATGGCGGCGGGCGGAGAGCGAGGTGTGGGCATGGTGCTTGAACGGCGGGGTGCGTCGATGTAGCCGCCGCTGGGCTGCTCGACGCCGTTGATGGTGTACCGTTCTCCGTCTGGGGAGGAGTAGATAACGTGCTCGTTGCCCTGGAGGGACGAAGGATGGTCAATATCGACGCGCTGTGTATGTTGGAATTGTGCGCTTACTTCTGCGTCGACACGCTTGGTGATCGACTCTGTTCGACCGTTGATGGTCCGCGTCGTCTGGCTTTGCGAGACGAATCGCCCGTTGCTCCCAATGGTCTGTGACCTGGAGCTGTAGACGCGAGTGTTTGAAGAGTTCATGGCGGGCCCGGTCAGGAAGCCGCCAAAGGGCGACCCGCCGAGCAAGCTTCCACCAAAGGGAGAACCGCCGAAGGGCGACGAGCAGAACAGGGACCCGCCAAACGGATCACCCAATGGCGACGAGCCGAACGGGGAGCGGAAGAAGGGGTCATCGAATGGCGAGCGAGTGAAGGGCGTGTTCGCGAAGAATGGGTCGTTGTCGAACGCCGCATGGAGGTCGCCAAAGAGGGAGTTGAACAGCTCGAAGGGGTCGGTGAAGGTCCACTGAGGTCCGCGCGAGTGTGAGCCCGAGCCGAAGTGACCGCTGAAGAAGGGGTCGTTCGCGAAGGGGTCTCCAGGGAATCCGAATGGAGATCTGGCAGAACTGCGGCCGGCATCTGGCTGCTCAGCAGGAGGAGGCCAAACGCCGTGTTTGTCGTACAACTAGATATTTTGTTAGTCGCAGTCAGCGGTGGGGAAGTCCGGATGCGCACCTTGCGATTCTCCGGGTTGTTGAGAACTTCGTAGGCATTGTTGACTAACCTGAACTGCTCTTCGGCAGCCTTCTTGTCTGCCGGACTAACGTTCTGGGGCAGCCGGTCGGGGTGGGTTTGTAATGCCCTCTTGCGGTATGCTTTCCTCACTGCGGAACACAGTCAGGACCAAGGCGTCCTTGTGCGAAGGACCAGCAGGAACGAAGATCAACAGAGACAAGACGTACCTTCCTCCGGAGTGGCTTCCTTCGTCACGCCGAGGATCTCGTACAAGGTAGCAGAGGCGGACACGGACATAAGAGGTCTAGAGTTGGGTCAGTGCGAAGGTATGCAGTATAGAAGGCGAATGGGGAGGACGAAGGTAAGCACTAGTCGTCTGGCTGCAACGAGGGCGTCGCGCCGAACAGGGTGTGTACAAAAGGACGATGTCGTGCTGGCTGGTGCTCGTGTGCGGAGTGGGCGGGGGCAGACAGGAAGACACTCGAACTTTCCTGTGCCCATGCCGATGCATACTGTATCTGGATTATGACTATGGCAAGCAGCACAGACGCCTTCACAGCGCCCTGGACCTTGGCACAGCCACCCTTCACCTCTGGTCTCCAGCGCCTGTTCGCACGTGGCCGTAGATTTGCGCTCAGTCCCGAAGGACTGGTCTATTGTTCCACCCAATATTCGCTCCTGGCAGTCTCTAAATCACACCTCTGAGGCAGGCGGTGGCAGCACGACGCCGAATATCTTGCTCCGTGGCCGCGGCTTGAACCATGCACCTGAACGAGGCCATTCTCTGCGCGACCGCACCGTCCGCTTCTGGCTCTGGACCTGGCACGCTCTCTCTCCATGACATCCAGACCGGAACCTCCCTCGCCTCGTGGAAGCAGTCTTCATCAAGCACACATTGCACAGCAGTCGTGCAGTCGAGGGATGGGCAAGGCGGCTATATGCTCGCTGCTCAGCAGGACAAATCTATCATGAATGTATATAACTTCCAAAAAGTATGCCATCCCTTCGCTTCAACATGTGATCGCTCCTCAGACACAGAATGCCTCCCCAGGACCAGCTTGCTCTGAAGATTGTGCTGCCCGAAAAGCTCTCGGCGATAGCGGTCGACCCGAGGGGGAAGTACTGTGCAGGGGCAACTGCCCAAGGCCGGATATTTCTCTGGGAGGCGCGTAGGTCGTCAAGCAATCCAGCCCACGCCGTCTGACTTCCTTTCGCAATATAGTAGACCGCGTCCGGGATCATGTACAATTCGTGGGACGCTCATTACCGTCAGATAAACGTCCTCCGCTTCACCCACGATGCCGCCGCGCTCATTGCCGGCAGCGAGGACTCGGGTGTGAGCATATGGTCAATACCGAGGTGAGTCTCCTTCGGACCGCTTCGCAAACCTGGATGCCGGTCGCTCATGTGGGCGTGCAGGCTTCTGGACGACACCCTCCAGAATGAGCTCCCGACCCCTTACTGTAACTTGACCGACCACACGCTCCCCGTCACGGACATCGTCTGCGGGGTCGGCTTCTTCCCCTCCTGCCGCATCCTCACGGCTTCGATAGACCATACGGTCAAGGTGCGTGCCCGTATGATTCCACTTCGCGCCACAAATAGCCTGAACGGACAACTTAGCTCTGGGACTCGGCCTCCAAATCCCTCCTTACGACGTTCTACTTCCCCCAACCCATCTCATGTGTCGCCTGGGACGTCTCCGAACGGCTGTTCTTCGCGGCGTCCGCGGACGGGTCCGTACATCAAGTCAACCTCTTCCGTCAGCGGGAAGACAGGTTCAGCCGCGCGGCCATGGAGGCCGTCGGCGGCGCGGGCGTGGGCGATGTCATCCGGATCAACGACACCGACCCCGCTGCGGCGCGCAAACGCCTCATTTCCGTAGGGTGCGTCTCGCAGGATGCTCTGTGTGAGCCTCTCGGCCGGCTCGTGTCTGACGCCCTTCACGCTCGTGCAGGGAAGCGGTCACGACGCTCGCGATCTCCCTCACCTCGTCCATGCTCCTCGCGGGCACCGCGACGGGCCTCGTTCATATCTACGACATTGCGTCGCACCAGCTGCTCCGCACGCTCTCGTCGCACAAGGGTATGCAGATCACGTATCTGGCGACGATGCTGCGCCCGCCGGACCTCATTGGCCATGTTAGCCTCTCGCTCACGGCTAGTGGGGCGGGCGACGCGAAGGAGAGCATCCCGGCGCGCCCTGTGGCGCCGTTCCAGCGCATTCGTGATGCGAAGACGCGGGAGGCGCATGAAGTGTCGTTGTTCCTGCCGCAAGTTCAGGTATGTTTTCCTCTGATAATGTTCGGTACAGAGAGCTCAAATGTGATCCTAGGCAACGACGAGTGCATCTTTTGGATACTCAAGACAGGAACTCATCAAAGACCACGCATACTTCGTCAAACCTTCTGCGGTAGGCCCGGAAGCTACAGGCGTGTCATTACAGACGCGGGTGACAGAGCTTGAGGGCGAAGTTGCTCGTCTGAAAGAGCAGCTGGGCAAGGCAAGGGGTATAAACGACGTGATGTGGGAAACCGTCGTCCAGCGGCTTGTTGCAGAGGGCAAGGAGAAAAAGCCGGAAAGCGGCGTGTCGATAGACGAGGATGGAGCAGAGCAGAGCGAGGGTGGACGGAGACGAAAGCGCAATCGCACATGATGCTCGATTGTAACATTGCTTTGCTTTGCAGATTCACACCTTGCTCGGTTCGCGTCACTGTCGCATTCAGAACGAACGCGGGGCTGTCGAGAGATGCAAAAGCTAGGAGAGCATTCCATATTATATCTACGCGGATGAATCGTCCTTGGGCTTGTACTTCTCCGGATCCGTCCCGTGGTGCTGATGGTTGACCAGGTTGAACCTGCGGAGTGTCAGTTATGAATATCTTGATGCATGGCGAGGGGTGCGTACATAGGGAACAGATCTATGATGTAGGAGGTTGAAGTCAATGAATGCAGAGTATTCATGCAAAGTACAACACCTACGGAATTTGAGCTGCGAGAACGCGGAGTTGCGGTATGCAACACCCTGGATCCACTCAGGCTGGTCGGACTCGCCGTAAAGAGGGAGACCGCGCCTGGCACGCTCAGAAAGCTCGGCAAAGTCTTTCTCCTCCTCGCGCTTGTTCTCGGACCAGCCCCAGAACCGGACTTGTGTACGTGAGCGACAGGAACGAGCGTTCGACATGGGGAACTCACAGCTTGACCTCTGGTACGCCAAGAGGAACCCACCAACGAAACCGAGCACACCGCCGACACGGAGCTGTGTCCTAATCTTCAGTTTCGAGGGATCCCATTTGTCTGTCTCGCTTGGTCATTCCTCTGTCTCATCAGTAGCAATGGATAGCTTGCCAAACGTACCCCAGAGGTACAGCGCAGTCGGAAACGCGGCGGTCGCACCGGCCCAGACGGCGAGGTCGGAAGGCCGGAAGTAACGAATTACGCGAGAAGCATGAGGGTCCGCGTCGATGAGGGGGTAAGGTGTTTCCACCACCTTGTTGGGCATGATTGTCGTCTACGGCGGCGGCGGCAGCGACGACGAGGACGGTGAAGGGAGCTGCTGTGATTTAGCGCCTACCAGCCCAAAACGGCAGGTAGCTGGGGGCGTGACTGGGATGTTTAGGGCCGGCCGAAGAAGCAGCATGGCTCGTGCCGGCCACGCTGCTGAGGCCAGAGAACGATCGCCTGGAGTCGCGACCTTCGACTCTCTTCCACTTGTCCTTTGTTCTCCCCCGCCCTCTCCAGTCCATCTCCTCCAGCACACGAGCGCGAAGACGCGTCATACCGCGAGAATAGCTATCATGAGCGGTGGCGCCGTCCGCACCTCCAGCACTCGTCGACACACAAGGAACAATAACGCGTCCCCATACGCGCGCCCTTCGGCGAAGAAGTCCTCTGTGCGTGTATCGATGTCCCATATCAGACTTGCTTGTTCTCATTTCTCGCCCTTGTTCGTCGCAGGGATGGAGCCTTACTGGCTTGCTCAACTACCTCAACCCATTCAACTCGTCGCATTCAGAACAAGAGCGTAGCTCGCCGCCTCCGGAGGGCGAGGTTGCGTCGCGGTTAGCGGCTCGCGGCCAGGAGGTGCGTGCTTCCCAACCTCCTATCATCGATCATTGGTGAACATCTGTCCGAGCAGATACAGACGGAAGGTACTACAAGACGAGATTCGGGTTACTCCAACTCCTTCACACAGCAGCGGCCGGCTCAACCACAACCACAACCACAACCCCCTGCACAACCTACCTCCCAATCGCCCCCAGCCGTTTCTATGAATGGCAGCCAACGCATTTCGCCACGCAGCGACCATTCCAGCAGCTCCTCTATCGAGAACATCAAGAAAATCCGGCAGTTCTTGGACGAGAAGGAGGGACAGGGACAAAGTCTGAATGCGATTGAAGTCGCCGGCTTGGTTCACCTTCTGCAAAACAGCGTCGAAGGTTAGTATCCCATACATGGTGCTGTATGTTTGATACATGGTCATAACGACCCGCGGATCTAGACTATGACGAACAAGAGCCTTTCCGATTTTCCAGGAGCCCAAGTGCGACGCCGATGCGTGGTATGACTCCTACCAACAACATGTTCTCTCCGAATGCCATGGAGCACCCGGCCGGTAACGGTGCACAGAGTGTGCCGAAGACTTTAGCCAAGAACCCGATGGGCGTTTACCACTGGCGAGGAGGCGGTAGTGCTCGCCCCCGCAATCGCTACCAATCGCCGAACTTTGGCTCAAAACCCGTCCGAACTACTATCAAGCTCCAGCCGGAGAAGTCCAGGGCAGACACCAAGAGAAGGCGTGTTGGAGAGGAAGCGACGACGTCCTCGCCACAGCGAGCAGGCGCTACGGCCGTTCCGAAGGCGAACGGCACGACGACGCCTTCAGTCTCCGCTTCAGCTTCTGCGACTAGTGCACTCAACGGATCAGCGTCCGTGAACGGCATGGCGAATGGTCGGGCAAACGGAGCTCCTCCGCCCACCACCCCTAGCAGACCAGGCATTCGTACCAGCGGTGTCAAACCTACTGCCCCAGCCATACCCTCGCCTCTGCGTCAGACATGGGGCCAGACGGACTCGCCGCCTCAGCCTCAGGGCAAGCCCACCCGTGCAGCGAGCTTCATGACGGAGCTGATCAAGGAGGTGACGCCTCCCAAGAAACCTGACTTCGTGAACCCGTACGAAGCAGCAAACCCGATCATCAAGCCCCCGCCGAAGAAGCAGCCAATCCGGAAGATGCGGGTTGCTGCGGCGAAGACTGAAGAGCCCAAGAAGGTGCCCGAGCTTACTCCACAGGCGATCATCGAAGCTACTGTGCCTAAGGTGAGCAGTCGTTATAATGTTGCTGAGCGCGCAACTAATTAATTGAGTAGGGGAGCAAGCGATCGAGACCACCGCCGGAGCTCATCGGGGTCAAGTCTCCTGAGAAGAGGGTCACGTCTCCCGAGTCTGCTGCCCCCCGCCGCAGCACGCGTCTGAACGGTGCCGAGTCTTCGGCACAGGTCAACGGCGCGCCGAAGGCACCGGTTGTTGAAGAGGTATCCGAAGAGGAGCAGCCTTCGCCGCCCAAGAAGCAGCGAACTCTCACGTTGCCCCCCGCTCAGCAGAGCAAAGTCTCCACATTCATTGTCGAGGAGGTCGACGATGTCGAAATGTCGCTACCGTCGCGATCGGCGCAGCCTTCGTACACTTTACCCTCCGAGATCATCGAGCCTGGAGACGACAAAGTCGACAAGAAGCGGGCGACGTCTCCCACCTCTGCCTTCCCAGGCTTTGGTGCCGCAGCCCGCGGCGCGAAGTCCTCTGCCCCTAAGGCACCATCGAAGCTTCGCTTCAGCATTCAAGTGGAAAGGGAGGAGAAGGCAGATGCTGTCGCCGCTCCTGCCTCTACTCCTGTCCCTGCTCCCTTCTCCGCGCCTGCGCCGACATTCGCGGCTTCTCAGCCTGCCAAAGCACCTGTGGCGCCGGAGAAGCCCAAGGATGTGCGTGTGTATGTCGCTGCCATGCGCCAGGACGAACTTCCGACGTACACGTTCACACCTCCGCTCTCTTCCCCCGGTGCCGGCCCTAGCACGCTGAGGGCTCGCCAGATCGCCAAGGCTGCCCCTGTGTCGTCGCTACCTACCTACGATTTCACGAAGGTCCCAGCGCCAGCCCCCGCGGCCAAGCCGACGGGTGGATTCGATTGGAGTGCGGCAGGAATCAAGCCTCCTCCCAAGGCCGCCGGGGAGTCGTGGACATGCTCTGTGTGCATGCTCCAGAACTCGACGGCAGGCGACAAGTGCACGGTGTGCGATGCGCCGCGGCCGGACAAGCCGAAGCCCGCGACGGCCCAGGGCGGGTTCAATTGGGCGGCCGCTGGGATCAAGCCCCCTCCGAAGCCCGCTGGGGGACAGTGGACATGTTCGGTGTGCATGCTGTCGAATCCGAGCGATGCGGCGAAGTGTACGGTATGCGACTCGCCGCGGTGATGCTTTGTCCTCGTTTTCTTTCCTGATTACAGGTTTGTCGTAATCGTCTTCTGTGCATACGTAGTTGATCCGTAGCCGTGAATCTGCAGTAGCAGTTCCTGTCAATGTTTTCGTCTCGTCTGCGTTGTTTCTGCAATTAGTTAGCCAGCTGTCTGTGACCCGCAATTCTCTCTTCCTTTTTCGCCCTCGCTGTCGCGATCTGCAGCGATGCCGTAGATATTACACGATGATAGTGATATTACATCCAGTAGCTATCTACTTGTACATACGAGTCCGTGTTGTGTAGTAGCGCATCTTCGCCACCGCTACTGTTGCTGAACAAGATCTAGGGGTACCTTGCGTACTCTGTCTCGGCTTCAGAGGCATTCAATATCTCTGATATCTTGTCTGCTGTGCATGTGTGCTCATCCAAACCTGATGAGGGCGCTGGGCGCATCGAGCGTGAACGCCCCAGCGCGGATGCTCGGGATGCGCGATGTGAGAAACGTGGTTGTCGAGGGACGTGATGTGGATCGGCGGGACTTGGAACGACTCCGTCATTTGCTGAAGTCGAGCCGTCTAGCGACCGGTCTACTGCTGAGGTCCTCGGACGAGTGCTTGCGCTTGAGTTTGTTGGGCGGGTTCGCCTTCACACCGGGCCCGGAGCTCGCCATCTCAACATTGCCGTCCATCTCCTCGAGAGGGACGTCCTTCTTTGCAGGCTTGGGGAGCTTCGAGGGGTGTGAAGGGTAGGGGAGGGCGAAGAAGTAGGGATGGCTAAGGGCCTGTGTGTTGGGAAGGACACATGAGCATGATGGACGGTGAGAGGACAGAGGGGCGCTCACATCTTTGGCGCTGATGCGGCGCTTGGGGTCATAAATGAGGCACTGGCTCAGGAGATTGAGACAGTCCGTGCTGGCAGCAGTGAACAGCTCTCGCAGCGGCGTCTTGGGGAATTGTCCCACTGGGACGTAGTCAGGCAGCTTCGTGTGCCCCTAGTTACGGACGTGTGAGCGTGGGCGTGGGTGGACGTGGGGATTCCGACGGTGCGGTGGCTGGATGTCAATGCTTACAGGCCAATCTGTTTCTGTTGGCGTGCCCAATGCACGAAAGATCGTCTTGAGCTGGTCCATATCGGTCTCCCCGGGCAGGTACGGGGTACGGAGCATCAACTCCGCGAAGATGCATCCGACCGACCAGATGTCAACCGCAGTGCTGTAGTATCTACATCCCCAGAGAAGCTCGGGTGGACGGTACCATCTACGGTCCAGATGTCAATAGAGATGTGGAGCGGCCTGACCGGAAATTAAACAGACAGACCGCGTGATAACTTGGCAGGTCATCTTGTACCCTGGGTCGGCGAAGTCGCGGGCCAGACCGAAATCAGCTATCTTGAGTTGACCATCGGAAGCGATGAGCAAATTGTTGGGTTTGAGATCCTGTGCAGTAGACGTCGGTGTCAACGTCGGGCTGCTTCTGCTAAATGCTGCGCCCTTGGTGGGGCCCCGGTGTAACGCGCCACTTACCCTGTGCAAGATGAAGTTCCGGTGGCAGAACTCAAGACCGCGAAAGGTCATAGCCATCCAGCTCTTGATGTCTGCAGGAAGGAAGACGAGAGAGCGGTCCTTGATGACGAGTTCCAAATCTGTATCGAGAAACTCGAGAACGAGATTCAAGTTTTTCTTGGACGAGAAGACGTCCAGAAGCTACGCTGGTGAGCACGATAGTTGAGAAAGACGGATAAGGCACCTACTTCTATGACGTTTTGGTGCTTTGATTCGCGCAGGAACTTGACCTCGCGAATGGCGGACATGTCCAAACCATCCTTGAACTGTCCTACTTTGATTTTCTTGATGGCCACTTTTCGCCCTGTGGCTAGTTCCCTCCCTGTAGCGCAGACATGTGAGCGGCGCACTACACGACTGCGATGGTACGCAGATTTACCTCTGTACACCACGGCATAGGTACCTTCACCGATCTTCTGGTCCTTAGACCTGGAGACCACAGAGTCAAGATTGGCTCTGATAATTACTATCAGGACGTACCATCGTCTTTGCCTTTCAGCATTAGCCTTTTCAACTGCGTCCATTTCGGTATTGATACGGTGCGCTGAATACTAAGACCACGCTTGCAGGGACAGCACGTTGGCCAACTTGTTTCGCACTTACGCCGATGCTGGGAAGGATGGATTAGCTCCTAAGCAGAGCCCCAAGAAGACAATGTGGACGTGGTGCATTGAGTGACGTAGTTTACCCACCTGATATTTGGCAGGACTTCGTCAATGCAGGCTAGGATCCCCCACCGTGTTACTCGGCGTGAACCACATCCAAGACGCTGGACGCCCATGCCAGATCATCGCTACTTCCAATTTGGGGTCTGTATCGCCGGTGGATACCATACTAGGCGCGCGCCCGGTCGCACTGTCGTACGTCCATCATGTACAACACCGCTAAGACTAGAGCGGCAGTGTGGCGGGATGATAGTCCCTGTGCATCCGAGACACCTTATCGGACTCGTATTATAGTAGCTGTATGTGTGGCGGCGGCGACAGCAGTCTTCCATCCTTTCCCCTCCTTCTCCCGCCATTCTACGGCTTACTCAACTCTCCGCCGCTGGCGGCTTCATATCGTTCTTCCTCCTCGCTATCTTGTGTTTTTAGGCTCTGAAATCCTATATACTTGCTTCCCCTATCTTCTACTGCCGACGGTCAGTGCAGATGGCAAGCATCGACCATGGTAACCTCGTCACTCCCGACGATGTCCTCCGCACCCTGCCCAATGGCCAGCCACTCGTCATCAGTCAATATTATGCTGCTGGCGAAACCAGTGGCGTCGTGGTATGTCGTCTATAATCGTTGCCATCCTGGAGTAGCTACGACGGACCATTCTGTCGCAATGCTAGGTTCTAGCAGTGATATCGTGCACCTCTGCGATTGCAGTCGCTTGTCTGCTTACTGCCATTGCCGTGCGCGTTCTACTCCCGCATCCCACCTAACTCAGATAACAACAATCTAACATTAGATCTCTGCCTGGAATACTCGGAAATTGTCCTCGCCAACTCTATTCGTGCGCAGCCATGTCGCTGCGTACTTTGTTTCCCTATTGCTTTGCGAGATCGTGCAGAGTGCGTATGCCAGAACCATCCATGCGAGATGTCATGGTGACCGTTCGAAATTAGCCATCGGGTCTATCATGAGCATCCGATGGGTTCAGGAGAGGGCTGTGTCATACGGGCCGTACTGCACAGTCCAGGGTGTGCTCAAGCAGATAGCAGATGTTGGCACGGCGTATTGGTACGTAAACTTTCGAAGTGTTAGCGGCAGACCGCTGACCGCAGCTTCCCTCGGTCCGTATCTATTATAGGTCACTGGTACGCAGTAGGCGCGGCACGACCGCTCGCGGCTTTCATTTACTGACGGTCGTCTGCCCAGATCATCGCTCTGAACACCTTCTGTATCCTTTTTCTGCGATGGAGGCTCGGAAGATATGTGCTCATCTCTACGATGATCATCGGGTGGTCAACCATCGGCGCCATCATTACCTCGGGCCCCACGGCCATCCAGCGAGTCGATGCCGGACCATTCTGCAAGTCGAACTTCTATGGTTGTGTTGTGAGCCATGCTGATATAGCTCTTCTTCGAAGATGCGATATCCGGGTACTGGTGTTGGATCTCTGATCAATACCCATCCGAACGTATAACGTGAGTACCTCAGTTCCGCAAATGCAACGGGGTCTACCGGACGCGTCCGGTCAGCACGACAGAATCAGGTCGGGACTGCATGTGAACCAGCTCTTGTTAACGCTGTGTCGTCACACGGAATCCGTCACCCGCAACCTTCATTGGTCTCCACACACTTGCTAATCACCTTTTCTACCAACAGGCTCGACTACCTGATTGTAAGTGGATATCTAATCCACATAACCAACTAATCCACCCAACTCGTCATGGAAACAGATGTTCCTATCTGCACTGCTCAGTTTCGTTATGTACAGCCTGGTGTTCCTTCGCCTTCGCGGCAACATCCTTGTGCACGGATGGCACATAAGTTTCCACTTGCGTCCCGAATGTTCTGAGGGTTCGCCCAAGAGCATCGACACGCATGTCATGAACATTGCCAAGGGCATGCTACTGTACGTGCTCTAGCCCACGTCTGGTTGGTGGTTTACTGATCTGGTGCTTATCCAAAGATATCCGGTGGCATACACAATTTTATTGCTTCCGATCGCCATATGTCGCTTCGCAGAATGGACTGGGCATAACGTGTCATTCGCTGCGACCATCTCCAGGTACGTCTTATCCATCCCCCCCCCGAAGGTCTGCATTGACGTTGAGCCATTCTCAGCGATGCCATCTTCCTCCTGTCGGGAATCGTCAACGTGGTATTGTTCCTGACGACGAGACGCGTGCTCCCCCTGCACAGTGTTCTGCCAAAGACAGTCAGCTCACTGTTTCGCTCGTCCAATGCCGATCAGTCCTCTCCTCGATCCAGCACCTTCTCTGCGAGCAGCTTCTCCAACGACCCAGAAAAGTCGATTTTATCCTGCGAGGAGAGTATACGTATGCAAAACTCCTTCCCGCCTCGCTCCGCACTGCCCAACGCAGTCCCGACGCGGTACTCTGCAAACAGGCCCGATTTTGCGATCGACTCTGCCACATCCGAGGCATATGGGCGCATCTCCCAGGACAGCTCGTTTGATGAGGTTAATATCACGAGCGCCTCGTATTACCGGGGCGGGAGCTCCAAGTAGTCTGACAAACCCGGAGGCCCCTACCACCGTTCCCATGCCTTCGGACGTTCGATCCTATCGCAATCACAGCTGGGAGGTGATCTTTCGATGGTTGGGATATTGAATCTAGGTGCTACGTTAGGTGGTAAGAGTGAGCGGGTCCCGGGCGCTTGGTAGGCGGCGAGACGATACAAGTTCTCATTTACTACAGCGAGTCTTTACATTAGTAGTGATTGCACTCCAGCAGTGCCAAGGTAGCCTAGGATAGCGTGTACTATATTATATGTTTTGATTCGCAGGTCGTCCTCTCTTCTTCTTCTTCTTCTTCTTCTTCTTCTAGATCCCGTTTATTGCCCTGCGAGGCCGAGCCTCATGGTAGGCCGTAAATACAGTACTGTCTACTTAGATGTTAATGATGGTCGGCGGGACATGATTGTCCTCTCTTCTGCTACAGACTGGACGTTTTGAAGGGATGGGACATTCCTTCCTGTACACCTTTCCGATCAGCAAAGACGATGACGCTATTCTAAGTTCGTCCACACATGTGTGACACACCTTTACTCACTGCATGTCTCTTTAACCTCAAATTCGAAACCATTGAACCCACTACCATGCGGTTTGGATTGAGCCAGCGAATACCGCCGGGGTGTTGGAGTGCGTACGGCGAGGCAAGCGTGGTGCGAGCCTCGGCCGTGTTTCGGGCGGACAAGTCTTGTCGCGCCGTTGACGCGCCTTGTCCCGCCTTGTCCCGCCTTGGCGGATTCACCCCGTTTTGTTTACGAATGCCACGTCTCACTCATCTTGTAGTATGGACGTCTTGTTACAAATGTGTACTTAACTCTTTCGATTCACGTTGGCTCACCTCAGTCCCGCGTATAACGCGTGCTGAGGTGAGCATATGCTTGTTACTTATTCTACGTACTCATACTGATTAATACGCTGTAGTTACATTGCTATAGGTATTACAATATACTAGTCCCGCGTATAACGCGTGCTGAGTTACATTGCTATAGGTTATGAGCCCTGCCTTCTAAGGCAGACTTCAGGCACTAGAAACTTACCCCTTTAGGCAACCCCTCCTCCCCGAAATGGCGTCCATCAAGCTTACTGACGATGTCGTCCGAGTTCCTAAACTCGACGTCAGCGGCACCAACT